CAGGAGACTGAGAAATAAAACCCAAGACAGCTCGCCTTTTCCAACCACACAAGACCAATAAACTCACACATCTGAGTGAGCTAAACACTCTCCAGGACACCTGACTCTGCACACAATCAAGGTCTTTTGGAGCCCACCTCTAAATAAACACAATAGGCCTTTTATTCATTAATAATAGTATTAGATTGGCACAGAAGCCAGTTATTATACCCCCAATAATTCTCTAAATATTTACAAAGAAGCAGCAGCATATCCAGAATAATATGATAATAATCAAAAATATGGTGCGGATCATAAACACACAGCAGTTGCTGCTTCATTTGCTTGTTTTGCCTGTGAATTTAAGGCTAGCTTATTACAGTGTGTCCTCATTTGTGCAGAATTTGTTATACAGTTAGTGATAATAAGCAGTGAAGACATGATTGGTCACTTCAACCGTCATTTATAATTAGGCTTTCACCAAACGGCTATGGCTTGGCTATAACCAGTGTTTTGCAGGACCATCAAAAATTGAGTCATTTCTACCCAGCAACAGCAGAGGTGGAAAATTCTGATTGGCTGAGGAAGATTCGTCTTCTATCTACCTTCGCAGTCCAATATGACATGATAATGCCGACCACTTGCTTCTCTAGTTTTACCAACTTTAGTAACGACCGCATGATAGCAATACACAGCAGTCTGAGGAGCCATAGACAAACCTCAACCAAAACGCCACTCTATAGCCACAAATAATGCTCAGAACAGCACCTAACTTCATCAACAGTACATATAGGGTCCTAGCCATAGAACTAGCCATTTCTTTATCATTTCCTTAGAGTAATAATCACCATATTATTCATTTTGCACTGTGTGGTAGTGCAACGTGGTAGATCTTCTATCTTAGCGTCTCGGTCTGATTGCATTTCCATGAAGAAATGATCATAAATGTTCTTCCTTGAGCTGCGTCACCCCGCAGCAGTCCATAATGGACTGGCCCGAGGTCTGGCTACAAACAAGCGGCTGCTGGAAGAGAGTAGGTGAGTTGAGTTTAGTCTCTTTGCTAAAGAAATCAGGCAAAGTCAAAAAGATGTTTGGTGGCTAGTGCTGTGGCTGGGACCCTATATGTACTGTTGATGAAGTTCGGTGCTGTTCTGAGCATTATTTGTGGCTATAGAGTGGTGTTTTGATTGAGCATGTGGCTCTCTGTATTGCTATAGTGGGGTCGTTACGAAAGTTGGTATAACTAGAGAAGCAAGCAGACGGCAACATTCATCTCTCGAGGGGGTGTCTAACTCTGTGTTACGGTGTGTTTGTTTCTCAGAAAAATTAAATCTATATTTTGATTGTCAAATTATGATTTGATCAAATTAAGATAGACCTGAAGACTTTTACTTCTTTCTTTCTTTTTCTCTATAAGGGCCTATCCTAAAAGAGATAGATAGATAGATAGATAGATAGATAGATAGATAGATAGATAGATAGATAGATAGATAGATAGATAGATAGAGTATTCTGCATGTTTAATAACACTGTGAGATTCAGTTTTTCGAGTTCATTCCTCTTTCATGGTGTCAGTGTAAGACATGGCAGTGTAAAACACAGTGCGTTTGCCAGGTCTGGAAGCAGAGGGGCAGGTGGGTGCTGACAGAGACGGCTGCACAGACACCATGAACAGAGGGAAGGAGCCAAGACCTGCCAAGCATACACAGACACCAGCAAGCCCCCAAATGACACAACATATGGAGTACAGCTGAGAAATCCCTCCGCCCTCCTCCAAGCGCCATCATCTCTTCCTGCCACACAGCAGCTCTGTGAAAACAGGCACCAAAAGCTGTGATAGCGAGTGGAGAATTTGAATATCTATTTCTGTAACAAAGGAAACCGTGTTAGGCATTCTCTGAAGACATGCTAAACCGTATCCTGATTCATGCTGAGAGCCCCTCTGTTGAAAACATCCAGTTCTGTATAATAAGTGAATCAGGGAAGCTTGTTGGGAAATAACATTTTCCCTGCAGTATCAAAGACTGCAGGTTGATACCTGCACAATGCCTTCTGGGGAAGACGGAGGATATATAAGAAACAGAAACAAGGGTGCTGTTGTATACTGTGCATGTTCCTCTCAGTATCAATAGAGTCAATGTTTTCTCGAACAAAAAGGCCAGTTACACCACTTTCCATAGCCAAATCCAAGAGAAACGACAATAGACAGGCCAAAAAGAAGGCAATGAAGGATGGCTTGACTTGGTTGGAGAGAGACACCTCCAATCATCTCTTCCCATGTGTAAGAAAACAGTGAAATTAAAAGCACTGGAGCACACAGACCAGGTTTTCATCTGAATTAGAGCGCCTTTATTGGACGTTCACTTCAAATGAATGAATGAGTGAGCATTTTTGACTGAATTTTCAAAAAGTAGCAGCACTATGGTTGGTACAGGCGCCAGCTCAGATAGCACTGTAATATGTGGATTGGTGCTTTTTTTTGGCACACAGAGAGAAGCGAGGGCCTAAAAATCATCCAAGTGATTTTACACGAGGCAGCGTAAGTCTGTCTACAAATCTGAAAATCTGTTATCAGGACAAAAACCAGGCCAGAGTAAATAAATGAGAGAATATTATATTCATATCAACGGGGACTTCACCACAGAAATTAAATAGGCTTTAAAAACAGATGTATCATCTCTGTTTTTGTCTATTCTGTGAGATTAAAATGCATCGTTAAAGCAGAAGAGGTTTTGTGACAATTTAGTAGAAGCATGAATTTGTGTTCAACATTAATCAAACTACAACAGCTTTAATGAAGATACATTAAAAATAACGAGAAGACAAATACCTCACTAATAAATGATGAACTGCATTATAGAGAGGCAGATGGAAATAAAGAGAAAAACTGACAATGAAATTAAAGTCGTAAACAGTTTTAAAAGTTAACTAATATGGGGTAGGTGAACCGAAATTACCTCGCTGCTTCGACGTCTGCTGCCTTATTTGTTGTAATTGTTCTTATCATCATTAATATTGTTGTGAAAATAATGAGGGAGCTGTTATACTTATGAAACAACATGAGGCTCAGACAGCAGCTGGCTTAGCTGAATTCTGCCTTCAAGGAAAAGCAATTAGAGCCTCCTGATGAAAACAGTACAGAATGCGTGGTTGGAAGGAAAACAGAAAGGAGGCAGTTTGTTCAGGTAATAAGCCATAGAAAACTAAGCTAATGATGTGAATTGTAGAAAGTGTACTGGAAAGGATTTGCAAAACTAAGTGACTTCTTGCAGATTTACCTTAAACAAACAGAAGTGTTGCATGCAGATTTGGCAAACGTTGATATTCAGCGATATTGGTCAGCTTGTGGGAGTTTGCTGCTGAGCACCGTGGGAATTATGAGAGGTGACTTTTGCTTGGGTAGCAAAATTACTTAAAAAAGGGAAACTGTGATTGATTCATCATGACTCCTCTCTTGAAATCTACTCATCTAAATGGAACGCACCCCATCCGAATAAGGCCTGACAGGTGACTGTGTCCCTTGTGCAAGCCTCTGCGTGCACGCTGAAACTCTCCTCATGGGGTATTTGTTTGGGATATCACAGAGCAGTACTTGCTGACTGCTACTTTTCCTAATTGGTATAGTATTCAGAGGAAGTACCCCGGCGGTGCCATTGCTAATTATACTTTAGGCCTTCCAGCAGCTTGGTGTCACTTTTTTTGTTGTTTAAAGCCTGTAGAGAGGGTGAGCAACAAACTAGGATTCACATAGTTAAAAAAATAAATAAAGAAAGAGAGAAAGAAAAAGGTAAGCTAATTTAATTGTTTTCTCAAATTGCTTGCTCAGCATGTCAGGTGAAGGCAAAACTCCATAATAAAAGTTGCATTCTGAAGAGATGAATTGGAGGGCTTACTAATTTGATGAAGCAGAAAGAAATGATTTTCCATCTCCTGTCATATTTGTAGGTTTCCAGCTCGATGTGTATTTTGACTATTTATTTCTCATAGAAACTGTTGCTCCTTGTGTATCTGTTCCTCCTCTCCTCTCCTTTCCTTTCCCTCGCTCCCTCTGCTGATTGCTATTCGTGCTTTGGAAACAGCTTGAGCCCTAGAGCTCAAAGAGTTCAGTACAACAGTTGTGTACAGCGGTGAGAGGAGGAAGCAGCAGTGGAAATGTGAGGTAAGACGAGCCTGAAATTTGCAACAGCAGCTGCTAAAAGCCAGTGTAGTCATTTCCTTATCAATAATTTCAACAGGAATTAAGGTTGACAGGATCTAGTGCCCTTTTCCATCTGTAATGTGAAGCAGCTGGTGGAAACAGGAGGAAAAATAGCTCGATGTAGCTGTTTTGGAGGTATCATCTGGGATCTTTTTGTGTCACCTTATGAAAGCTTGTCTCTTGATCCTAAACAGCTGAAGCGACATATTGGTAAATAAGACCATTTTCCATTTGGTAGAAACCTGCAGCATATTGCACTCATTAAAATACCAAGTAAATACACAAGAAATGCAGTTTTCTGTTGTGAAATCTTTCCATTTTTAAGTTAATATAAAATCTTCTGTATTTGCATTTTGCTTTTAGCTGTTTTTCTCTGCAAAAAAAAATCCATCAAAAAGTTTAGAAATACGCAATAAAGTGTTTGTCATTCTTATATTCTTATTCTCTTGTTGTCTGCTACCACAGAATTGGAAAAAAATAGTCTCAAAGATGCACCAGCATGCAAAACAACTGCACAAAAACCTATCAAAGATTGCAAAGCTGCATGTACCCTCTCTCTGTACTCGTGCACACACACACACGCCCACACACAACCGCTGGAAAAGACACTCCGGCAAACACTGTTTACTGATATGCGGATTGGGTTTAAGACCGGAACGCTGAGCATTTCAATCTAAACAGTAAACACTCTTAATTGGATTGTGTGCTTATGAGCTTTGATGTGAATCCTCTAAGGACTGTATATTATTAGGCCTAATTGATTCTGATACATATTTACACGAGTTGGGGAAATTAGTCCAAAACAAATGAGAGCGGTTTCATCATGGATCTAATAACGCTGCATTACAAGCCGCCACCTTATGGTTCCATCAGCCATTACTGCAATATTGTGGCGCTGCAGTGTCAGAGTTCACCGGTCATTTGGCAGCCCGGCGAGGCCGCTCCGTCTGTGTCAACATCTTGTGGAAATGACACAGCGGACCTACCGCTCATCACAAATGAGGCCCAGAGGGGCCGATGGGAGCTGAGCGAGTGGGTTTGTCGTCGCACAGAGGTTGAGAGGTGGAGCGCTGATCCTCTGTAGCTGACCCCGTATACCATAACCTGCCTCCAGAGGTGTGAGCGTGTCAAATGATTCAACCCCGGCCACATGGGATGCAGGTCTGCCTCAGAGTCCCTGGAAATGTCAGCCAGCACAATGAACAGTACAGAGGCTTTGCTGAGAGAAATGCCACCAACACCGGAGTGTATTGAACACTGTGGATGTGTCAGTCTGTCTTTTTATGAGGACTGTGTGATTTATACTTAAAAAAAAAAAAAGGTTATACAGTCAAATTCAAACTAAAGATGCTGCAGACTGATTTATAATCTAAAGAATATTCTGGGGCCCACTTAAGTCTTCACCCACACAACTGAGATCAACATCTGCGACTAAATCAAGTACAACATGTTTTAATATAATTTAAAGCTCCTGTGGGGAGATTTTAACATTGATGAAATAGACTTTTATCCACTGATACATTTTTATGATATATATCAACCAGCTGTAGAGGCATATAGAGTACAAAATAAGAAAAGACTCTTTAATATTTGATACTTTTATAATTATTTGTAAAAGTACATGAAGAATAGGGAGGCTGGGGACAAAATAATGTGTATTAACAGATGTTTTAACAGTAAAATCTTGACAAATATAGATAAGCGTCTTAGTCCTATAGGATCACTGATGCTTAACTAATTGAAAGGGTGAGTAAGGGACCATCTCGATCTAGAATATGACCACTAGATATCAACAAATACTTTAATTTCTACACACTTTTAACCTTTAAAAAAAATAAGATTTAGAAAAAAGGTCCTATATACATATATAACTGCTGTAGCAACAAATTTTATACAGTTTATGAATTAGTGAATTAATCATTTACTGTTTTTAATTATTTTTAGTTTTTAGTTTATGTAAATGACCTATTGTTATCTACCTGCAGTACTATAAGACCCCACCAGGTGGCAGAATCTGAAATTTTGGGAACCACTGACACTAAGTCAAAAATGGATTGCATGTCTCCAATCCTCTTAATATAAAAAGGTGTAAGCAAAATTTTCTTGCTGTCTCATTTTGGTGGCATCATTTGGAGTCAGAGACTGTTCAGTTTTAACTGGTGGAGCCACAGTATTGATGTCAAGCACATAATGCCACTACAGATGAGCCCTTGTTGACATTAGCACTCTTAAAAAGTCAAGTGCCACCACTGTACAAGTGTTATTTACCTTTAACCTTCTTCTTATATCCAGCTAATCTGGTGCAGGATGCTGCTGGAGCCTTACAGGTCGGCAGAGCTGTCAATCATCATACAAAACCCCATTCTCTCTGGCACTAAGGGAGAGGCGGGCTTTCTAACCTAAATCAGTAATACAGAGTATTTGGCTCCACTTTCAGGGGGCTGTCATGTCCTCCATCTTTCCATGCAGTCTATGATCTGGTCTAACCGTAACAACAGACAGATGGTGCTGGGGGTGCAGGAGCAGAGGATTGGGTCTGTAGGTCGATGGGACTTTTTGGCTCCCGTCTCCCCCGGGTGACACCGTGGCGGGAAAATAACAAGAGCTCCTCGGCCGAGCAGACATTCACATCTTTGGTTTCACATCACCTGCAATTTAAATTCCATTACTTGCTGTGCCACACTTCAAATAAAGCTCAGGCCTATTAATTACCAAAGTGTGGGTTCAGGGTAAAAGGTGAACGTGCAATTACAGAATTAAATCAAGCTCCCGTTTTAGCTTGTCAGTCCTGACAGAAATAATTTGAGTGAATTATTAAATGCTTCCCTATGCTCTCAGCTGGTGCACTGTTGGCTCAGACATAGCCAGCTACATACCCAGAATCCTAGATCTGCTCTTTTTGCTTTCAAAGGATTTTATCCTCTTTTTATATGTAGTTTTAAACTGCACGTTTTAGATGAATGACAAATTAAAGAGTTGATTGTTCCTGTAAGTGAACCTTGTACTCAAATCATACATAAGTTGTGTATGATTTTCATGGCTTCAGGTTTAGAGAATCAGAAGGTTAAATACACAACTGGATCTAATCATTAAAAAGTCTTGGGTGATGTTATTTATAGTGTAAAGGCTACGAATAAATGTAAATCCACTTACATATGACCATGTGTCCTTCAAAACCTTTACAACCTTTTACTCCTGAGTACAAATATCAAACTGAGCTGAAACTAACAAATTTCATGATTTTTATCCCTGATGCTCTCTCTGAATATGTGTTTCATTTCACTTACATTAAAATAAAAACCAAATATTCTGTTTTGTTGCTTTCTGCAGCAACCAAGCATTCTAACTAATTGCCTGTAATGAATCAATTTGCCGGTGGCTGACTGGCTTCAGCGGTTGAGTTTTGCTCTCCATGAAAACCAGCTGTCTGTAATTAGTAAATCAGAGCCAGGGTGAGAGTTTGGGGCAGTCACAGTGGCTGCAAAACAACCGAAGAGTGGCGAGTATTTTCTGTAATTGTGCTGCTATGAAGTTTATGCTGCCATAGCTGCAGGGATGCGTACACCTCTGCTGGTTTTTCTCAGGTATTTCATATGTGACTGTCACCTGTGGTTAAAAAACAAGCATGGCTGTTCAGTGTTGTGCTGTGTGGCTCACGGTGTTTGTTGTCCTTTGCAGCGCTGTTGTGCTTCAGTGTGCATCAGCTGGAGGTGTGTATTGTGCTAAAACAGCAAGAGGTATGTAGCGTGCTCTGATTGATGTCGGTGCTTTCTTTTAATTACCAATTAGTTATAAATGTGGCACTTAAAAGTGAGGAAATAGCACCAGAATAAATCAATTTTAATTCATTTTTTGTGCTACAGCCCGTGCAGCTGCCTTGGGATTGGATTATCCTGGCACCCATGGAGCCCCCGACCTCTACGGACCACCTCACATTGGGATGCACCCTCGCACAATGCCTGAAAGTTACCCAAACAATGATGGTGAATTGTCTGAATCCAGCATGGCCTCCTACAGACAGAATCGACCAGGATTCAGACCCCAAGATGAAACAATCCATATAAAATCTCACCCCATGAGATCTGAATCTGCTTTTCTACCAAACTATGATCCAGAATACAACCCCAACCAAGGGCTTAGCTTCCCCAGAGGACGGCCAGTTATTAACCACCGGTCTGATTTTGAGCAGGTCAAGCATGTTGCCCCTGGAGCCCCAGGCCAGCCTGACCTTGTGCATTTGAATCCCCAAAGTCACAACAAGCCACCCTCGTTTGTCCGCGATAGGCATGACCTTGTTGTTGATGAGTCTGTCCCAAATAGACATGGCGTGTCTCTGAGTGGGCCCCCCTTGCCTCAAAGCAGGGGTCATGCCACTTACCAGAGGGGTTATGGCCCAGTAAGAGGAGCCCCCGTCCTTGGGTCAGCTGGATTCACAAACAGAGAGCACAGTGGAGAGATGAGCAGCCGGGCTCCTGTGGGCAGAAAGCTGAAAAGAAAGAGGTTTCCTGGCCGTTTGTCTCAGTCTCTACGTAGAAGAATTAACGCCAAACGGTTAATGCGAGGTAAACGTCTTCCTAGACATCTCACAGAACCAAAATGAGGTCCAGTTTGAAACAGTCTTTAGGTTTAAGGTTCTGGCATGGCTACCTTGTAAAATATAGTTTATATTGGAGTCTGCTACAGATCACTGACTGCAGGATTTCATCATCTCATCGTCTAGTTTCTTGTAACTTTGACCAAAATATGACAATTTCTTACTTGTGTAAGCTTTTGCATTTTACTCCCTCATTTCTACCTCTAAATAAAAAATAACAAACCATACAATAAACATGAAATTACACTTATTCAAATGCTGCTGCTGTGTTTTTCTCCCGTTTTCCTTCACTTCAGTGATGGCTCACTGGGGTCTGGATGTTACCAGAGTGCCATCTGTTGGTTCTAATAGGTAGATATCCTCTTGGCTCACATTGTTGAACACAGGTGCTGCTAAACAGAAGGTCAGCCCTTTAACAAATCCTATAATCTGTTTACAATCTGTTGTGTGAGAGTACTGCAGTGGTTATGCTAATTCCTCTAAACAACCTTGGTCTTTCACTAATGGCACGTTTCACAGGTGGTCTGGCATTCCCTGAAAGAGAAAATAGGTGTTAAAATGCAGACTGAGGTTTGAGAATTCAGGTACCTGTCAGCTAATGTGGAGCATTTACCCTCTCTTTTATTAGCTTTTCAAAGGAGCGCAGGATTTCAGAGCGCAGGTGGGTTTTATAGACAAGATTAATAAAAGAAAAGCCTCAAATATATTGACCCTTTTTGCTTTGATTGCTCTCTGAAAGACCTCTGAGTGTGTGAATGGTAGGCACGCAAGGTGATCCATTAATTGACCCATAAATCAGTCAATCAGGGGGCCGGAGAGTGAGTCGGTTATGAGCGCTCGTCCAGAACACGAACAAGAAATGGAAATGGCACAGAACAAAGTGAAGCAATCAACTGTTTATGGAGGGCAGGAGGGGAGTCAGTCGATGGTGGCTGTGGATCATAGGACGTCAGGCTGCACAAAAAGAACAGCAGGAGGAGAAAGTTTGAAGCCCAGAGAGCACATTTTAGCATTTCACTGAAAACCAAAAACCTTTGTAGGCTACATCTTGTTCCTAAAATGATATTACTATTATATTCATAGTCTTTTGTGGCACATCTGCCTCACTTGAAAAAGTTCAAACTCCTTGTGCACTCTTGGTATTTGGCATGTAAGATAGATTCTGCAGCAGCAGCCCACAGTTGTTCGCCTCCTTACCCTCAATCAATAACTTAATGACCCCATGTACAGTTTGAGAAAGGAGGGAAAAGTCGGAGCAGATCAGAGAACCAACTGTGTAGAAACAACACGTGGCCATCCTGAAATGAACCTGGATTATATAAATGCCACAGCAAGAAATGCCTTATCTGTTAATCTGCTTATTTATCTAACACAAGAGTGCGGTGAAATGATTTGTGTGTGACCATTGGTTCATGTCGACATTAATTCCAACTGGATGATAATACTAGCTGCTATAGCTTTTACACAGAAGAACGTATTTTACCAATTTGATATTATGCATGTCAGTGAAAAGTGTTGGAACAAGAAGGACCTCATCTCTAATATTATTGGTTTCTTTGATCACTGGCTGGTTTTGGTATCAGTTTGCTATTGATCCGGCTTGATTGGCAATAAACTGCAGAAAATTCTACAGACCAGGTATTTTTTTACATACAGACTTGAACACCTACATCGAAAGAGTCTGTAGAGTTTTTGCCATTTAACTAGTCAGTCAGTGAAGGGCCTATATGGGCATGACTGCAAATTGAGGCAAATTTTTTAGTTTTTTTTAGTTTTTTAAAGGATACAGTACTGACAGTTGTCAAAGCTTCATCCCAATTTCACACATACAGGTTGAGTACTCTCAGGTCGTGCCTAACTGTCGAACTGTACAGAGTGAGGACATAAATGAGGATAAAGGACTTTCAAATTGCAGAGTAATGCACTATAAAATGATAGCTTTTGGTTTAAACTCAAGGAAACCATAGAAGTGTTTTACAGGCAGGCATCTTGAAATGTGACTTTAACTTTGAAATATTGCAGGTGATTTTTAAGTTATATGAGGCAAGCTATAGACGGGTTTCTTGTGTACAAACAACACCAGGTGCACACGCAACCAGGGGGCAAAAGCCTGCCTAAGAGTGAACTGATATCAATGAAGATGCTGTATTGTTTGCAAGTTCTCCCTGACACAGTTGCAATAAAATGTCATTTCATTGAAAAATGAAAAGCACTTGCTGAAATGCCCGTGAATTTAACTAAATTCACCAGGTTGTGACGTTGTTTTAGATGTTTCTAATATCAGGAGCAGGGTCATAATGTTTGCTGATTCATGCAGTTTACAACACAACAGCTCCTTGTCATTTTCTTTCTCCGTTGACTCCGCTAGTAAACAAATAAGAAATGTCCCGCTTTCTGCACCCTGGCTGCACGCATACCTGCAATGACATTGCACAGAAACCCGTCTATACAAGCTAGTTAGCTACCAGTATTACCTTATGATCTTCCAAACAAGTGCATTACCAGAAAAAAAAAAAAAACATACTCCCTATTGAGTGGGTTCCATGGTAGCCAAGAGTTATCTAGACCAAAAATGTTTTTTAATTTTCTTTAACCCTTAAATGCCTTTTGTATCATATTTGAGACATACTTTTATATAGTTCTATCAAATTAATATAAACAACAAATTACAAAAAAAAAATCTGAATACAGTCTGATAAACGATAAAAATGTCCTCTTGTAGTTTTTCAGTTTCCAAAAACATTGAATGTATCAAACAAGATAAATAAAAATATTTGTTAAATTTTAAGGACATTTTGATTTTTTGGGTTTTCAGTAGTAAGTGAAGTGAACATTTCAGCTCCAAAAAAAATTGAATTTTCTGGCCATAATTTGTGGTGTCAGGCATTAAAGGGTTAAACAGGCTGTTGGTAAAAATAAACACAATAAAATGTTCCTATTTTTTCCCTGATGGCTGTCTTTTTTGGCTTAGTGTGGAGATGGTTTCCAGTTTCTTCTTGGAGTCTTCTTGGAGTCCTTGGAAGGGTTGCTGAAGAGTGCTCCTTCCTGGGACTCCTTTATTCTGCAGGGGGACTTCAACGCCCATGTTGGTAACGACAGTGACACCTGGAGGGGTGAGACTGGGAGGAATGCCCCCCCTGATCTGAACCCGAGTGGTGCTTTGTTATTGGATTTCTGTGCTCGTCACAGATTGTCCAATGAACACCATGTTCAGACGTAAGGGTGTCCACATGTGCACTTGGCCGTACCTCAGATAAGTGGTTGAAAAATAAAATATAAGAATATATCATCTCTCTAATCTAATTTTTTCATCTAAACCAACACAAGACAAACAACATTTGATGGTACCCTAAAAGTGTCTTTTTTTTTAGAGGTTTTGAGCATAGACTGTATATAGAATGGACGCCGTCTGACTCCTTGCTGGGTGAAGCCACTCTGAGAACAGCACCCTCTGGTGACGGGCTGCAGTATAGGTCATAAATCCCACCTCCGCCAGCAAAGCAGTGTTGCATAAATATGTTAAACATGCCTTGCCAGTGTGACAACCACTGCATACAATGTTTAGCTTGACACACGAGGTGATAAATGTGTTGAAATTGAAATTATGTAACACAGCTCGGTCTCCAGCATTTTGGGGAAGTTACGAGCACATCTAACACCAAGGACCGTAGACTTGTTTTTGTCTTGATGACAGGATGTGTCTGAGACTATGACGTACAGCCATATGGTGAAAAAGGCACCCTTTGCCAAACTCAGCTTGGCTTAGCTCTGTTTTTGTCTCTTGCAGTCTGCTGGTCTTTTTTTGGGAAAGGTTTTTCTTTTGATATGAGCAAAATGGCTCAGTGGACCTTGTTGCAGAATCACTGAAGCTGGATTATGCCGACTTTGATTTGATTTGAAATGAGCAGCATGTGCTCAGATAGAAACGGGAAAAAAGGCACTGCAGAAATGAACGCACACAGTATATGGTATAAAATGCATTTTACCTCAAACCGTTGCTGTGTTTCAGTGCTGCAAAATCTACTTTTACAAATCTTGGATTGCTCACAACGTTTTATATGCTTTTAAACTTTTTCTGCCTCACAAAACAAATCCCATCAGTTTTATCAGAGCTCTGCCAGCCTAGAGTGTGTCTCACTACACGTGTTGCAGCATACACCCTTTCTCAGGCAACCTTTATTATCTTCTTTTACACAATCCAGGAGAACGGTGGTTAATAGGAATGTGTATCTGCACAGCGTGTTTGTGTGTTTTTGTAATGTGTGTGTTTCCTCGTCGTGTTCCTCTCTCCTCTCCTCTTGTTGTCCCACATAAGGCTCTTGGTGAACCCACTCTCGCCTGCCAGCACAACTGACCTGTGGTAAGGGGGAAATCAATAGTCAATTCCATTTTGCAGCCAGCGTGTGACAGGTACTAGATAGGAGTGGATTGGGTCCATGTAAGGAGCAGGAGCGTGAGTTGGAGCTTCTCTCTCTCTCTCTCTCTTTCTCTCTCTCTCTTTCTTGCTTGACCAAGTCTCATGGGATAAACAGAAGCTAGGTTCAGGAGGTGAGGCCTGTTACAACGACAACGCAGGGATATGTGATGCCATTAAGAATCATCTTAACAACAGATGATTTTGCTAGAAATTAATCACAATAAGTATTCTTAGTGCAACAGAAATCAGATTAACTGATGCAATCACAATAGAAACCAGGAAATTTAGCTTTGGATGTGCATGGTAGGACAATTTGTTCAATATACTGTATATGCAAAAAGCATCCAGTCATGTGCAATGATTATAGCAGGGATGACAAGAACAGAAAGAAAAGCACATGTACCTTCCACATTGCCACTTTCAGGACATATGGTCCCTCCATCTGGGAGTTTTGATGATGATGTGGGCAGCACACATTAGACTGTCTCTGCTGAATACATTCAGCTTCGGCAGTCAGTTTAAATACTGTCAAGGAGTTGGGCAACCAGTCGAGTTATCCATGCAGTGCCCACACAGTATAGAGGCTCAGTCTGCTTTATACATCTTGTGATCAACACGATCCATGAGAAAAGATGTTAAAGCTCCATTTGGTCTTTACGTTTGGCTGTGATATTGTTGACACTCCTCAATTTCACCCCATTAAAAAAAAAAAAAGAAGTAAAGCCAGAAAAGGAATGCAGAGATGTGTGCCTTAATATTCAAATGGTAACATATTTTAGGTCTTATGCATGTGCTTTGGCAGATTGGACCACAGGTATACCATCATCACACACTAATTAGACAGCAAAGATCACTCAGGTTGGTTCAGTCCACAGGAGAACAGATCTTTGGCTTGATTTGAACTACAGACTCATAATTACCAGCCTCTTGCTGCATTCCAGCTACCACGGAAGTCGGATGTCGGAGCTGGGAATGACGTTACACCCAAGTTAAAGGCGTTCCAGTTAACAAGTCGGAAAACCAAAATAGACAACTACAGTTAGCCGTTGTTAGCTGTTGTTTACAATTGTCAGCTGTCGTTAGCCGTTGTTAGTTGTTGTTAGCATTTGTCGGCTGTTTTGAGTTGTTGTTAGCTATACCAGTTGTAAACAACTAGAGGAAAAGATAAGCAAAGACTGCTTTGTTTAAGAACAAAAAAATCCTCACATGAGCTTTAAAACAACTGACTAGTGTTTGGGAAGACATGATATAGATGCCAAGACTTTGCATTTGTACATAATTTCCACCATGTAGTGACTTGTGGATCATTCCACACTATCAGCAGCCTAGAACAGACTCACTGGTATTAAGAGGTTTTGATATAAAGGTTTGGGAATATTGAGATTTTCTATAAAGATTTAAACAAATGTTTGAAATGTTATTTCAGATAGTAAAAAAGTTAACTATTCATGCACATATTTTCACTCTATCTGCTTTTTTGCCGTAATCTGGCTGGCACAACACTTATTAAATAATGAGCAAGATAACACATGATTTCTTCGCAACACACATAAACAAGCTGATTAATGTATGCCTTACTGGTTAGCTTTGTGTAGATATTAATTTGATGGGAATAGTGACGTTATTAGCTGGAATTGTATCAACAAAGTGCACAAGGCCTCCAATATTTGTCCATTAGTATATGATCATTGCAGTAGCTATGACTGCATCATCTTTAATTACAGCTACCTATTGTAATGAAGTGTTTGTAGTAAACAGTGGAGACTAATTTGTGGTTAGCCACATCTCTAATGTGAATAAGAATCTAAATAAGAGACAGCATTTCGTTAAGTACAGTACAAGAAACATAATCAAACCTAGCAGAGCTTCATCAGTTGGACTTAGCTTCAGGGCCCTCAGCTAATTTTACTGTTCACTGAAACGTAGCATGTAATACTCAGTGGACGGAGAACACTTTGTTCATTACTGCTGATTAGGAAAAAAGGATCAAGCTAAATATGTCAACGAGTGATAACCAGTAATGTATTTTTAATTAGTGCCTGCTTGTCTTTTCTCCTGTTGATTCCTATTGAAAAACGCAGCACTGTATGTGTTTAATTCCTCCTCCAGTGGCCTCTTGATTAGCCGTTAGCTTCCATTATGTTTCTGAGGGCGGCAGAGTGACCGAGGAGGGATACAGCTGTTAGATTAAAAGTTGAGTGGGTGAGCTCACTGGCTCGCCTTGTGCATGATTTGAAATGAGGCCTGAGCCAGAGAATCATTTTACAATTTAATAAGCTAATAAACGTGATATGGCAAGTAGTTTCAAGTGCCCTTGGGGGGTCAAGGCACAGTTTACAATCCCATTTAAAAGCTTGTTCTATTACCGTGCTGACAAAGGCTTGAATGGGCTCAGAGAGCGAGATGGCTGCATTTTTTTTTTTAAGTCAGCCTCGGTGATACAGCAGATCTGCTACCTCAGAGGTCAGATTCGACACAAAGGGGTCAGTGTGAACCAGACTTATTGCATTTTTTACCCCTGGAGTCATATATATGGGTATTTGACAGGCGACACATTAACATTTGTGTGTAAAAAAGATCATTAAATAAAGATGAAATATCTCCGTATTCATGTAGGAAGACGGGCAAGACACCTTACCTACTGGCATTAAGATTCTGTAGTTGTCCACTGTTCACATTGCCACCTAGCATGGTGGCCTGTTCAACGTGTCAATCAACATCCTCCAATTCTTTCACTATACTTAAAAAAAAAACCATTCCTTCATACCCAAATTCTGCAGCAAATTCCAAGCTGCAGGAGAAATGTGTCTGGTACAGTATCACAAGCTTCTTGTAAATGACAGCGAGCTTGATACTGTGTTGGGGTGGAGCAGCAAATGACAATATCATCTGCATACAAATGAAAATTTGCATTGGAGATATTTACGACTGACCAGTACTGCTGATATGAATTGTAGAGGTCCCAAAACTGAGCCATGAGGCACTCCATTTATTATCTTATGCCTTCTACCTGTACACATTTGGATCTGTTTGATAAATATCATACAGTCTATGGGCATTACACAATAATGAGAGCAAATGCTCAGCCATGTCAGCTATGAAAAGATAAGACCATGCTGTCTTATTTTGGTTCAGCTTTTAAAATTAGAGTAACCATGGGGGTCGGGGCGATGTGATATTCAAAACCAAAACACAAACTTGGTACAACATTCATATTTTTGTGTTTTTATTTCAAGCTCTTGTGAGTACCTTCTGGTTTTTATTGGTTTTGGATAGGTGACAGTTTCAAGCTTTAGAAATGAGTGTAAAGACGTAATGAATTTTATTACTTTTAGTCTTTTTTGCTTTTAAAAGTCCTAAAAACAAATCAGAATTAGGTTAAATTTGTTTCATAACCCCGAAATACTCTCCATACGAGTTTTAAGGGGATGATGTTGTTTTTCTCAAACCCTGATAGCTAATTGATGCTATTCTTTATTACTTTGTCAAACTGTTTCACGCCTTGCTTCTAAAACAGCTTTGTGTTTTAACACCTCACTTTCCTTCCTAGAAGAGGCCCCCTTCAGTCATGCGTGTCTTCCTGAAAAAAAAGTGAAGTTGCAGCGCTTCAAAACAAGGACGTTTCTGCTGTTGCTGCTGCTGCTTGGCTAACACACGCACACACAGGCACGCACACACAGGCACGCACACACATGCCCCCTTATCTGAGCCGCTTTGAGCCACACCGTTTCATCTGGTGCTATCAGGGCTGATGAGAGCCTCTCGTCTTTCTGGGTCTGCAGCAGCTTCTGTGGTGAGCGGTGAGTGAAAAGCCTCTCTGATGGCTCTCCTTTATCTTCACATCAAGCCATTTGCTGGTCCTTTCATTTTGATACTTGTGCCAGATTGAAAAAGGAAACTTCACAAAACTTGTGTCTGGATGGCACACTGGTTCAGGCTTGGAGATTTGCATCCTGATCCAGCTCATGGACAGCTCTACTTAATTTCTTTTTATGCTGTTCTGTATTGTACGGGAGCCATTTGTCTTCCTTTGTAGTTCGCTGTCAAACAAGGCCAAAACATTTTTTTCCCAACCTGAAATACTGAAGTAGAGGATTGTGGGTATCAGAGCTTCCAATATTGAATGATTTGAAGAGGTCTTCTAAGATAAGATTATCCCTTTAAAGTAAATGTAAGCAAAGTGATAGACTCAGAGTATGTAAATTAAAACTCATAAGTTCATTTTGAGTGAAAACACATGGTTTTGAAGCTTTATTACAAAAACAGCCACTTTTGTTGGTTTTATTTCATTCTCTTAACCATCTCCAAAAGGGGGATAGTGTTACAATGGAAAAGAAAAACTTAAACATGTCAAGACATGGCTAACTTTTTAATGTTCAGTTTATCCATCTAAAAAAGAGGATGTGAAACAGATTTCTTTCCTCCTTTTAAGCTTTTGGATTTTTACAACTGCTGACTGAAAAGGTCACCGTCTCGGAGTCAGAGGCAACTCAGCTCCAAGGAAAGCGTCGACAGAAAACGACATGTAAGTTACTTTAAGACTTTAAAAATAATTAAAAAAGAATTACTCTGTGAGAAATAGGGCAAAAAAAGGGGAAATAGTAGAAGGTTTGTCATCACCTTCTGTTTCAAGGATATTGCCAAATCCTGAGAGTGGGCGTTTTGTAACCCCCCAACAGCATTGCAAAAGGAAACAGACGGTGGCTGTAGCAAGATGTTCATCTACGCAGGAGCATGACTCACTGAGGGACCAAACTTTATCCAGATAACAAATTTTCATCAATCCATTGAGAACAAAATTGTCTGGAACCCTTAAAAAAGCCAGTTTTATATTAAACTGCCTTTCCTTAAGTGTATCAAATTGTTTGTTGTCAAAATACACTCCAGATTTTCTCCCTCCCTGTCCATCTCTCTCGGCTGCCTTTTGTCTGGGCCACAGGCAATTACGTTTTAGGAGTAAGCAGGAATCCGAAAAAGGAAAGCAAGAGAAAATGAAGGCCTTTATGCATGCAGCTGATAAGAACCAGGGAGAAACTCCATTTCCCTTATGTCGCTTTAGCGCAGGCTTCACCAAACGGTTTGTTATAGTGGTCCAAGGGCAGCGAGCTGAAGTTACAAATTCTCAAAGTGGTACCCACCGTCTCATGAGATTGTTTGCAATTTTAGGGGTCCAGATGTCTTACAGAGTTGTTCAAGCTGCTTTCTAGTTTTACTGGAAGCAGAATAGATGAAAGCTGTAAGAAAACTGGAGTCTGACTCTGAGAAATAAGTTAAAGTCTTTTCACAGTTTCTGGAACAACAGTCTCCAGATTTTTCCGTTTCTCACCAGAATCAGTCTCGAGGACCAACACCAAGGCTTACCACAGGAACTTTCAACTGTGTTTCAGTTTCTAGCTCAACATACATGTGAATGTGCATACACATACTTGTGTGCGTGCAAGTGACTCAATCTCAGATGGAGAAATCAATGAAGGTTATCAGCCCATCCATCAGATAACACATGAGAGCTTTCCTCCCTGCCGGCTGCTTTATTACCTCTCTCTGATTGAGAAGACTTAATGAAGAATTGCTAATGTTTTTCACATTAGTGAACGAGCAGGTCTGAAATTAAATCTCTTACTAATTAAGGGCAAATCTGTGTTCTTTATCTTCTTGGTAAACATGCATTTAATATCAAGCATGCACAGTCCTGAGTCTGTCTTTACAAGAGGTAGCTTTGGCATGACACATTTCATAGTCTATCTCTTAACAATGTATTTATGTTAAATCAATAAGATGAATGTTTGAAATTAATCCTTTATCTACATAATGCCTTTAAAATTTCTCAAGGCCCAAAAAGACATTTTGTATGGTTAAATATACTTCTGCAAAAAATTATCCTTTTTATTTCTTTTTCTCCCTCGATCAATCTCAGTTGCTGATACCAGAATAAAGTGCATTACAGTAATCCAGTCTGCAAGAAATTAATGCATGACTGTAAAGACTTTTTCTTAGTCAGGAGGCGAAAGAAAAATATTTGATTTTCATTAACTATCTGAGCCAAGAAAAGCAGGACAACACAACTTTAGTCACCAGGGTGTCAGAGGGAGGAGTCAAAAATGACTCTCCAGGGTTTTTCTCCTCGGCTGGAGAGCCTTTAGCTAGAACTGGGACAAGGGGAAGTAATAGCGTTAACTTCAGATTTAAAGTGATTCAGCTGCAGAAAATGTTTGTACATCCACAGACAGGACATAATATGAGACACATCAGCGGTGCCAAGTTTTAACGGTTTTAATGCATAGAGCTGAGTGTCATCTGCATAGCAGTAAGAGTCTATACCATGCCCATGTAGTATTTGCAACAGGGGAATAAGAGGGGCCCCAGGATAGACCCCTGGGGGTCCCCACATGAGCACAAGAGGAGAAGGTAATTCCTAGCACTACAGAGAAAGACCTATTTGACAGATATGGAATGAACCAGACCAGCAACACATGGCTTGTTTCAACAACAACAACAAAAAACATTTAACAGTTTAGTATAAACAAGACTGTTTAAACCACTTGTAAATACATGAGATCATACATGGTAAATACGTCCAAATGCCCAAATATTAGCTTTTCATATGTTTCTTATGTGATACCAGTTTGTAGACATATCACTGTTGCCAATAACTTCTGTTTATTTACTCATGTAGTGATACACAGAGCTGCAGAAATGCTGTGAAGGCATGTCTGTTCCATGTTGGAGTTTCATTGTGAGCTGGTAGATCGTCCAGTGAAAATTAACCTTTCATGACTGTGTAATGGTGAGTACTTCTCAAATTAAGTTTTATTTAAACTCACTTTATAACTTTTTAAATTATGTAATTAAACAACTCTAAAAATCATGGCTGGTTGTCCTCCAACAGCTGGAAATAATCCTCCTGTCTTCTTCTATGAATAATATCCTGGGAATGGATGAGTGTAAGAGGACACAGACAGTGTACACGATCGGCATATGTATTTATTCTGTCTGCAAAACAAATTCAATTGTGTAACGGCATGCAGAGCTTCAAATGTCACATCCTTTGTGTAATAATGTTGGGTAAATGTGGACCCAAGCTGTCACAGTGTTGGATTTTTATATTCATGAGTGTGTCATGTGTCTCTGTTTGGGTTTGTTCTGTGAATGCTCCGCAAACACCCTAAACAGACTACAGATTGCTCTGTATTGTATTGTGAAGCAGCGGGCGCAGTCTCTGTCTGCTTATATTGAAACATTATGCATTATGGAGATCGCACCGTTGCTCACATCAGACACTTGAAACGCTGCGTTGATGATGTCTTTTGAAGCCGCTGTCGTTATTCACCGCACAAGAAGCAGCATGCCGCTCTGAAGGGATGGCAATTCAAATATATAGCTTCAAGAGGGCATGAGAGTTTGTCATTTAAATATAATGCTTTTTCATTTTGGCTACCTAACAGGTTTGATCATCATGATAGCCACATGGGTGTCAGTGATTGTCATGCTGGTGGCTTTCGTGGATGGAGCGAGAGATGGTGAGTGTTGGGCTCGGATTGAAATGGCAGATCTAAATGGCAATACCTAACTGGCACTGATGAGGGCGACTGTTATGACACCCTTCATTGTTTGTCTTTTGCAAGGCTAAATAAATACATTGCTTTTTTTTAACATGCCATGATAAGATTCAATTGTCCTTCTCTAGAGGATGACAAGCAGCCGCCTGCAAAGATCCAGATGTCCAGCTCTGTGGTGCTTTTGGGGTCACCTGTCACAGCCAATTGTACCATCAGAGACGACTTCGCTCTAGCTGTCGGTCAAGCTGCTCACATAGAGTGGCACCTGGGTGATCACTTTCTACCCAGCAGCCCCGGGGCTAATGAGAGCAGCAGGGTGTCCCAGGTTGTTATACCAAGCTTCAATCACACCAGAGCATTTCTCACCTGCAGCGTCCGGGCCTCTACTTCTCAAGTGCTGGGAGGAGTGGAGATCAGAGCTGGATGTAAGGAGGAGTTCAACAGTTTTTTCTTCATTTATTCTCAAATTGGCCAACATTAACGACCGAAAGCGAAAAAAAACCTTCAACCTTTATCATTCTGGTGCAGCTTCACATACAAAAATATACAAAAACCAAAATACTAGCCTTAAAGATAAAAGATATTGCATATTTCAATGGATAGGGAGATAGATGTAAAGAAAAAGGAAGCTGCACCTCATGATTTGGAGTTCTGCATTTGTTACCCAAATAACCAAGACTGCAACTGTTAAAGAAATACAAAGGGAGTTAACTTGACAGATGTTAAGGAGGTGGTTTCATTTTAGTGTAAGGTTAGGACTCATTAAAAACACTGAATGGGAGTTTCTGTAGTTTGAATTGCTTCACATCTACAGAACAACAGTGCTACATAAACAGAAAATACATAAAATGATCTTACATATACCACTGCTATAGATACTGAAAACATTTACTTAAAAAATACATAAACTGAGAATGCATACACTGAAAAAAGATATGCTGATGATACTTATATTTTAAATACATAAACTCATGCTACATACGCTGACAAAATATATACTGAAAATACATATACTTCTGCCTCCTCTCCTGAAAATCATTATACTTTGAATACACCATAATTCTACAAATACAGGAAGTATAATATATACTTAAAAAAGATAGTATAATGATGCTGTATAACATAAAAATAGATAGACTAATGCTACACGTACTGAACGCATATAAATCAATGCTTTATATACTGAAAATACATGTACAGCAAATACATACACTTATGCATATAAGGATGTTACATATCCTAAAAATACATAAACTTTTGCTACATATTCACTGAAAATATATTTATACAGAAAATGCATAACCTGATGCTTCCTTTATTGAAAATACATAATAAGCGAATATGTAGCCACACTTAAAATACATGTAATGATGCCGCAGATAAAGAAAATACATTAAAGGGATACTCTGGCGTAAAATTAATTTAGGGTCAAACACACCGTAACACCAAGTCAGACACCCCCCCCAAGAGATGACTGTTGCCGACCGCTTGATTTTCTGGTTATAACAACTTTAGTAATGACCACAGATAGCAATTCACAGCGGTCTGAGGAGCCATAAACAAACCTCAACCAAAATGCCACTCTACAACTTCAAATAATGCTCAGAACAGCACCTAACTTCATCAGCAGTACATATAAGGTCCCAGCCACAGCATGAGCCACCAAACATCTTTTTAACTTTGCCTAATTACTTTAGCAAAGAGTCTAAACACAACTAACCTACTCTCTTCCGTGGGGTGACGCAGCTCAAGGAAGAACATTTATGGCAAAGTTTCTCTCAAGGGGGTGTCTAACTCGGTGGTACGGTGTGTTTGACCCTAAATTGATTTTACGCCGGAATATCCCTTTAACTGAAAATAAATGTACTAATGGTACATACAATGAAAATTTTGAAAACTAATGTTACATATACCAAAAACACATACGCATTTTACACATACTGAGAATACATACACTGATGCTACAAATGTATATTGAAAATCTCTGAGACTCTGCTGTGAAAATGTGGTTGAATATGAACATGAAAAGCTCCATGTTTGACAGACCACTGGAAAAATATGTGTTCCATATTAACAGATCCGCCAGTCGCACCACAAAACCTCAGCTGTCAGACAAATCTCACCACCCCAAACACCCTGACTTGCAGATGGGACCCAGGGCAGCAGGAGACACACCTCCCCACCATCTACACCCTCCACACAGAGATACGGTAATACTCTTTAAATGCCATCTGCCAGAAATACTCTGAAACAGTTACCAGAAAGCCAACATCATGTTTGTGTCAGGAATGTCTTTTACAAAATCTGCCCTTGAGGTTGCTCAATGTGTTTTTCACGAAACTATTTCCTCTTTTCAGGGATAGAAACGAGAACCACTCGTACGACTTACAACCAGGGGTCCACCACTACGTAATCCCCCGTTCTGGCTTTTCCTTCTTCTTAGAAATAGGGGTTTACGTGAAGGCAGCCAATGAACTTGGACAGGCGACCTCAGCACCTCTTCTTTTAGAGCCTGTCAGTGCAGGTGAGAAATGCAGGAAGCATGTCTTCACTGGATGTTTCTGTGATTGTCGGTATGTTATGTCATCTTAGGTAATCCAGAATAAATGCAACTACTGCATTTAATTACCCCAAACTGCAAGTTGCATTCTGGGAAATGTATTATCGAGAAAAGAGGATGCATTGACCACAAAGCTCAAAATTTGACTGTTTCCCTTGAAAGCTTTCTGAATTCAGAACTTCTCTAATTCTGTACTAAAGATATTTCAGAATATCACCAAGTGTTCAGGACAAAATATTGATGTTTGGATCCACTGCTTTGACTATTGATTTAAATCTCTGCTTGGAAAAAACACTCTGCAAGCTCCTGGTGGGGTTTTACACATGTCTCCCTCACATGAATTAGAAATGTGTTCTTCTTAAAATTTTCTGTATGTGTTAATGAACAAATACAATGATGCCTAGAGGGTAAATGACTTGTTCATCACATTCTGGCTTTTGCTTTGTGCACTGTTGCAGCTAAATTCGACGCGCCAACCATTACAAATATTGAAGCGGTGTCGAGGAAATTTGGCTGCTTAAAGCTGCACTGGAGTTTGTCCCGGCACCAAGTTTGGCTGCAGGATTACCGCCTGAACCTAGAAGTCCGATGTAAGACTGCAGACAGCAACCAATGGAACCCACAGCCCGTGAGTAAAAGCTCATCCTGGCAGTGTTTAAAAATGGTTGATTTTCGATCAATACAGCAGCTTTGAGCAGCCACAGGAAAATATGTGTTATGTTTACTGACAGTCAGATCCACTGAGGTTTTTTTGTGTTGGGTCACATGTTAGGTGCTAATGAGTCGGGCCAAAACCAAACCTGTGGACTTGTGTCGTCTGCTCAATGGGACTCGGTACAACATGCAGCTTCGTATCAGGTACAGGCAAAGCCCCTGGAGTGAGTGGAGCGGCGTCCGGTCTGGAGTCACCTTGGAGAGCGGTTAGACTCGGATCAATTCAGAGTGACACAATCAGTCACTCTTACATTTCCAATCTTTGGCCTTTTCTTCCATTTCCTGCTCTTTTCAATATATGCTAATGTCATGTTCTACATCCCCCATTGCTTTGCTCTACAGCACCGGCTCAATTGATGTATTGAGCTCTGCCGCCCACTCGGCAGTGAATCCATACACACGTCTTGTAGAGAAAAGTTTTATTTCTAAAAGAGTGAGAAGAAAGGTGCCAGCTTTTGACAAGGTGCTAAGATGACAGCCATCTTTTTTCTTTTCAGCTCCCACTGGACGCCCCAATTTGTGGATGAAAGTATCAAGGGATGAAATGCATGAACAACTCAATATACACCTGTTTTGGAAGGTACACACACACATATGTGTTGTTGGACACCTGTCACATACAGATGTATTTCCTGATTTATGTGTGAGGTCTGCTTTTAAAATAGCTTCTCACCTTTTTTACCTTTTTTTTTCCAGCCATCAAAACAATTTCATGCCAACAGCCAGAATGTGTCATACACTGTCATGGCGCAAAAGCCGTCGGGTGAAAAAGGGATGGTGTGCTCTACAACTGGGAATTACTGTTCTTTCCAGACGTCTATTAAAGCAAAGAAAGTATATTTGAGAGCAGTCAATGCAGCAGGGAAATCTCCACCGATTGAAGTTTGGATCCACCAACCTAAAGGTATAACTGACTCAATTTAACCAGCGTCATTGTAAAAACCTCAATCATATTCATATTTTTTTAGAAACTTAAAAATATGGTCTGTATGGGCTTGAATTTTAGTTAAATCTGAGTTGTTGTTTTTGCTGACATATCTAAGGAGGCAAATTGTCCTTCACTTTCAATCTGGGCACATGGTTACCTCTGAAGTGAACACCTGAATGAAATGGGCAGAAATTATTAAAGCAGTGTAAAGAAAATGAGGTTTTGCCTGGAAGTTGTTTGCAAAAGGCCCAAAAAGTTGGCCAATGTTCTCAGAGGAAAACACTGCAGATTGGTGATAGTATCCAATGCTGTCAGGCTGTAGTATATGTTGAATTAAAGGTTGAAAATTACATCTGTGTCTTGTGTCTTGTAGCTGTTTCTGCCTTATCACGCGTCTCAGTTGTTCCTCAAGACGATCAATCCCTCCTGGTCCAGTGGAAAAGCCTTTTCTCTCCCAGCGTCACTGGTTTCGTGGTGGAATGGAAACCTTTGTTAAACACGGACATCTCCTCCACCCAGTTTGAAATGACCGATAGAAACCAAACAAGCCTTATTTTAACAGGTATAGTAGCGTTTGTACAGCAGGGTTGCGATCCACTTTACTCTCTTTTATTCTGTTGTCCTTATCGCCTTTGCCGCAAAAACACACTGTTGTGTGAACTTTTCTTTCCTGTGTAATATTTTGCCTGTATACACAGTCTCTAGCTTATGGGCATTGATACACTCTAACCTCTTCACTCTCATCAACAGACAACTTTGAGCCCTACAAGCCCTATGGGATCTCGGTGTATCCACGGTTTAAGGATGGGATAGGTCTTCCTCAGACTGTTAATGCTTACTTGAGACAAAAGGGTAAGTCACCAAAGACTCAGAGGAGGATCACACAAAGAGAAGGCGGAGGTGTGAGAGTTGGGTTTCTTCAACTTTGAAGAAGTGAAAGAAAGAGTTCTCAGCATGCGTAAAAAAGTAGATATTGTGCAATCATTCAGGAAGAGCTGATACATGAAGAAAGAATGCCCTCTTGTGGATAAAGACGAATTTTATTACTATTTTTCCTGAAGGGCTTTTATAATCAGTACATCATGGAAATCCTCAGTCTGGAGACCAGTGCACTAAAGTTGTAATATTCCCTCATATTTCTTTTTAAGCTCCATCCATGGTGCCGAAAATAACAATTAAAAAGAACTGGCAGTCACATGTCGAGCTCACCTGGGATGAAATTCCTTTAGACAAAAGGAATGGGATAATCAAGAGCTACAAAGTCTTCTACTGGAATGAAAAGGGAGTCGTTAAAGGTGGGTTCAAGACCCTATTTTTTTCCTGTTCTGAAATATTTATCTCTGTCTTTTGATGCTTACTGATGTCTGATTTTTCTTTTAGTTGCAAATGCAGACCCAAAAGAGAGTAAGGTGGTTCTGACAAACCTCGACGATGTGTCTTTGTATCAGGCCTTTTTGATGGTTAGCACATTTGGTGGAAGCCTAAACGGGTCCACGATTACTTTTGAAACCGAACCTTTTGGTGAGTACCATCATTTGGCTGTGGAATATCAAGAAACATGATCAAGAGGGCTTAATTTTTTTTATTTGGAGTATTTGTTTCTCATCTTCCAGATGCGTTTTCCGTTCTCATGATTGCGAGTGCATCCCTTGTCGGGCTTTTACTTTCTATCATCTTCTTCGTCCTGAGTTGTTCCTCCAAACACAAAAGGTGAGCTTGTTTACAAACTGCAAAAGCTGTGAAGCTAATATGTTTACTTCTAAAACACTTTTTGTTCCTTTGCAGGATGAAAGGGCGTTTCTGGCCTGTTGTTCCAGATCCGGCTAACAGCAGCATCAAGAGATGGACATCAGAATCAACACAGGTGTGTAAATCAACCTGTTCAAGATAAAATACTTTCAAACCAAGCTACAACCTCCAAGGTTGGTAAAAGAACCAAATACTGCAGTACCACAAGTGGCCACTCGAGGCTGGCTCCAAATGCAAGTCAATCCCAACAAGTACCCTCATCTGACACTAGAATTATACATGCTGACAGCTTTATACACACAAACAGTTCTGGTCTTTATTGCCAATTTATGACAACTGTAGGCAGGGGTGTACACAGACTTAAATGACTGGGGTGGCCAAACTAAGGCACACCTACAACAAAATAGCATCCATTTAGCCTTTAGGTTTCTACTTGTCATTCTCACTCCAACTGCTAACCAAAAAACAATCCCCCCCCCCCCCCCCCCCCCACACACACACACACACACACACACAGAAAAAAGAAAAAACACTGAAAGCATCAGCAACAAATTAGCCTGACACAGCTGTGAGGAGGGTAGGTGTCAGACTAGAGAACTGACAGACCACAAAAGAAAACACCCTTTGTGATATTTTCAGCAGAAAATATTCACAATGAATTATAAAGTCTGCTGTTAAAAAAATGAAGTGAGATTATTAGTCAGAAAACAGAATACTGGCATGCAGAGGATAAGATAAGCAGATAACATAAGATATTCCTTTATTAGTCCCATAGGGGGAAATTCCAAGTAAAGAGAGATGTATGATGAGATGTATATCTTCATCCACAGGGGGGAGCAAATCAATAAAAATCTATAAAACTTAAAAGTTCCTCACTGTGGCTTTAAGGTAGAATAGCAACACATAAATCCTTTTCAATTTTATTCTGAAAATGCTAAAGCATCCTTTTAGTTTGTAATCATCAACTCCTCGCATGAGCTTTAAACCCATGACTAACGTAATGGTTGTTTATTTACAGCTTATTTACAGTCAATCCATAAAGCAGCATTCATCAACAGTTTTATTTAACAATATAATATTTAATAAAGTTTATTGAACTCTTTTTTGCTCCTTTTTTTCAGTTTTGGTGCAGCATCAGGGCTCCCTTTTCATATTTATTTTTTGATGGAGAGGCTTTATGATATACTAATGCAGATATGCTCAGAACTGTACAATAGTTGTCACACAAAGTTAGCAGCAAGACTGTATATATTGTCATTTTGTAATTAAAGATATTGTTTCCTTGTTTATTTCCCTTGTACAGGATAGCTATTTGGCATCTGACAGTGAGGAGCCCAACCCAGTGTACCTGTCCCACCTCAGCTTCCTGGACCTCCCAGTCAAACCGAGTAAAGAGAACCACGATGATCTGTGGCTGAACAGTTCAGAGAATTCCAGCGACTTAGGGGAGTCCATTTGTGGTTCCCCATTCCTCCCTGTGTACTCTGGTTCAAACAGCGACTCAGTACCTTATGCTACAGTGGTCTTCTCTGATCCATGCAGCAGCCCCACACCGTCAGGGCCTCCTGTTTACCTGCGCTCTGAGTCCACACAGCCTCTCCTGGAGTCTGAGGAGTCCTTTACTCCAAAGTGCTACCAGAATGCAGCAAATGTTGGGAAGCTGACAGAGCAATGTTTCTTTGGATCCAGCCATGACTGTATCGCTGAAGAAGGGAAAGACCTCAAAATTCTGTGGGATGATTTTCCTCTGCTGAGAGCGCTTGCAATAAATGACAGTGAAATTGACTAAAAGCAGCTTCCTGATTACAAGTCTTAAGTGATTTCGAAGACATTTATCTAGATCTGTGTTAGGATGATTCAGTGTAGCTCAAAGCTGTAAATGCATGCTCAGTGTAATCCTGCAGTAACTTTGATTTTTAATGATTATGATGTTTGTGCTCTGTTTGCAAACTATGTAGATATGTCAACTCTCCAGGAAACTAATCTTAATTACCAATGAAAATCTGTCTTGCTCAGGGTGGTGTGTTTAGAGTACATGATACTCATATGCCAAGGAAAACAACATTTTCTAACCTAAAAACCTCTTTATTATACATATATTTCTTTGCACTTGAATTTTCTTATGAAAATATACTTAATTTTACCATATACCATGTTTTGTTGATTAAAATATCATTTGTTGAAATATTTCCTCTCTTTTCTTTCATTGTGTGTTTTGTTTTACATGACTCCTTATCTGTAATTTGTGCCTTTTTTCCAGGCTAAATGATTAAACAAATAGTGCTCAAAACATTAACAAATCATTTTATTTGTATTTGTATTACTTACAAAGGACTTCCTCCAAGCTACATTTCAGAGCTTTTAATACCATATGAGCCAACTCGCAGCCTCAGATCCTCTGGCGAAGGCCTCCTGGTCGTTCCAAAGTCGAGGCTCAAAACTAAAAGTGATAGATCTTTCTACATCAGAGCTCCTCGACTTTGGAATGAACTGCCAGAAGAGATAAGGCGTGCAGAAACAGTCGCTTCTTTTAAGTCAAATTTAAAAACTCACTTTTACAGACTTTCTTTTATGTTATGCAGTCTTTTATCTTTATCTGTCATCTCTTATCTCTTTTACCTCTATCTTATTTCAGCTTTGCCGTCTTTTTAGCTTTTGTTATATTTGTACTCTTGTCTTGATGAACCTTTTAGGGCTTTTATTGTTTTATCTCTTGCCCATTTCTGTTGCTCTATTTTATCATTACTATTATTATCAGTATTACCTGTTATTATTTCATTATCATTGATATTGCCTTTTGTATTAACTATCCTGTTTCTGCTTTCAACCCTCCTTTCAATTGCATTTTCCTTTTTTCTTAACCATTTCATGTTTTTATTTTGGTCCTCATGGTCTCATTTTATGTTGCATGGTTCTTGTATTGTGTGGGTTCCTTATGACATGAAAATGGCCTTCAATTCTGTTTTAACTGAGCATTTTGTTCTTATCTGTCTTTTTTTTAATGTGCTTTATGACTATATGTCAAAGCACTTTGTAAACTTCTGTTTTTGAAAGTTCTACACAAATAAAGTTATAGTTATTATTATTATTATTATTATTATTATTATTATTATTATTATTATTATTATTATTAATGTTTAGCTTTTGAGTACTTTGAGTGGTTGACTAAAGCTGGTGTTGGACATTTTTATGTTTAACACTTGTGAGCTAATTATTAAATATTACAAAGTTCTAACAATTTCTAAATATATTACAAGTAGCTTTACAAAAATAGTACGTTATTGTTTGACTGCTTAAAAAATCATGCGAAATACAGTCTAGAGCAACAACTAGCAAAATTGTCCCAACACACTCGCAACCCTATTCAAATTAATACCTCAAACACAGCAGATGTTTTACTGTATTTATCACCAAATATTTCAATTCATTAATAGGACTGTCCTCCATTTTGTTTTTGTTTATTTTGTTAAATATTGAACCGAAATAAATGCTAACGTTTCCTATCGATGCGATCTGGGATCGTTAGCAATTCCTGTGAACGCTATTTATGCCCCGTCACTCTGCTCGTTTGGTCTAGTCAACATGGCGTACCTCATGTAGGGGTCGAGTGTGATTACCTGACATTTAAAGACACTTATTGGAGCTTATTTTCTCCGCTGTAAATACTTTTTTGTCGCCATGTTAGCAAACGTAGCTGTGCGGACTGTTCTGAAGTCGTCGGCTGGTGTTTTGAGGGAAAGCGGCGCTCTGTGCTCGGTGAAACCCTGGACATGCAGCCCGGCGGTGATCACAGGTCCGAGAATCAGCTGCGGTGAGTCTGAGAGACAGGATAAACCTATACTATGTGAATGACCGTGTTTGGAAGAAGCTGCGTGATCGAGGATGTTTTCTACACATGTTATCCTTCTGTCAACAGGATCAGGATCTGTAATGTGTTAAGGCGGACAGCAGGGGGCGCTAGATGTGTAGCGATTTATGCAATGCCAGACGGCGAGGGCATGCTATGTGACATACAATGTGTCTTAACGTGAATCAAACCAATGCCTTACTCTTTAGTTGGAGTTTGGGTAAAAGGTGGGCTGCATGGTGGCGCAAAAAGGTTTCTGGTTCGAAATCCCCGAGTGGTGTTTGTTGTCACTGTGCATGAGTGGGTAGTACTCCGGCTTCCTCCCACAGTCCAAAAACATGCCTGTCAGGTTAATTGATCACTGTACTTGTGAGTGTGTGAAAGGTTTTCTGTCTCTGTCCATCTCTCTCCTTCTGCATCTCCCTCTATCCCCCTCTCTAAACCCCATGCAGTAGCAGCAGATGACCATCTAACACGAGTCTGGTTCTGCTCAAGGTTTCTGCCCGTCAAAGGAGGTCTCTGCTGTAACTTGCTTAAAGGAATATCCCGGTGTAAAATTAAGTTAGGGTCAGACACACCGTAACGACAAGTTAGACACCCCCTCGAGAGATGAATGTTGCTGACCACTTGCTCCTCTAGTTATACCAACTTTAGTAACGACCACAGATGGTAATACAGAGAGCCACGCGCTCAACCAAAACGCCAATCTATAGCCACAAATAATGCTTAGAACAGCACCTAACTTCATCAACAGTACATATAGGGTCCCAGCCATAGCAATAGCCATCAAGCATCTTTTTAACTTTGCCTGATTTCTTTAGCAAAGAGACTAAACACAACTCATCTACTCTCTTCCAGCAGCTGCTTCTTTGTACGGAGACCTCAGGCGAGTCCATTATGGACTACAGTGGGGTGACGCAGCTCAAGGAAGAACATTTCTGATCATTTCTTCATGCAAATGTAATCAGACTGAGACACTAAGGCAGAAGAACTACTGCATCTGCAGTGCAAAATGATTAATATGATGACCATTACTTTAAGGAAATGAGAAAGAAATTGTCATAAATGTTCTTCCTTGAGCTGCGTCACCCCGCTGTAGTCCAGAATGGACTGGCCTGAGGTCTAGCTAGAAACAAGCGGCTGCTGGAAGAGTGTAGGTGAGTTGTGTTTAGTCGCTTTACTAAAGAAATCAGGCAAAGCCAAAAAGGAGTTTGGTGACTAATGCTGTGGCTAGGACCCTATATGTACTGTTGAACACAAGAAACTGAGCTGAACACAAGAAAAAAAGAGCACCAGTGAATATAGATATCGTTCCTTAAAGGGAATTTGCAGAAAAACAGTAGTAGAGTAAAAGCTGTCACAAATTTACTTAGTCACAGAGTTACTTAGTCACATATCTGACTTATTTCTAAAGTAACATGTTGTCCAAGATGCGCTATCATTTCACTAGGATCTTCCAAAGGGCATCAACAGCAACTACGCCTCCATTTCCCCCTCATGTTTACTAGCATGAGATAATTTGTTTTTTCTCACACCTTATTTTCAGCTCACTCACACAAAGATGCACGAAACCCTCTTCAACAGGCCCGCCCAGGATTTGGTTGGCTCCTTCCTGCAAATAAAGTCTGTTCTCAGACTCATGAGAAAAAACCTCAAAATATTTTAAGCCCTGAACATCTGTAAGGAAGACAAAGCACACGGGAAGTTACATCAGACAGAAATGGGATTTAAATTTAGAGCTAAAAGTATCTTTTTCTTTTATGATAATAAATACCAAGATCAGTAACTCTCACTGAGAGCCCAGACTACTGAGAAACCAGACATGTTTTCATGTGTCTTGATTCTTGAAGCTTAAGTGTCAAGAGGAAATGACATCCCTCAGTGTTTTGATGATGCTGATTGTAGAAACCACTATCGCCTCACCATCCTCCAGCTCTTGCGTAGTTGTGTTTAATCTGGGATGTGTGGACAACCGCGTTTTGTAGATTATCTTGCAGATGCTGCTCAAATCATGCAGCTTTGACTTGCAGATCATCGCTCTTTCACTTTCCCCTAAATGGACTGAGCAGAAATGTTGCACAAGTAGCAATGCAGACAGAATCACTTTCATACTAGGAAACAGAAAGCGTTTAATAAAGTCTTGGGTTTGTCTGCAAGTAGAAAGTTTCCAAGTAGACCTCTTTGTTACGCTCATCTATAAGATTTTTGTCTGTTTTCACAGTTGGAGGAAGTTTCGCTGTTCCACCTCCAGTGAGGCATTATGCACGCGGGGTACAGAAAAGGAGGACAGGTTTGTAGGAGGCTGTCATCACTGAAACCAAGTTTTAAATGTTTCACAAAAGCACTATTTTCATCAATTTCTTGTTCCCTCCAGCCATAGAGAGCCAGCTGAGTGATCTTACCCCAACAATGCCGAAGCTGGAATACGCAGCTGTGCCCCTCGCTCAAACGTAAACATACATACATTAGACCATACTCAGATTACGTATTTGCACCTAATTCAAAGGCTCTACTGACACTTGTGTTCTTTTGTGCTCATAGGACAGATGACATCGTCAAAAGACTTCTTTCCTTGGAGTTAGGGAGCCATGTAAGTTCACAGGTAATCACCAAACCTCTTCCTTCTTATCTTCAAACATTTTTACTCACGCTGACTGCTTCTGATTTTAGCGTGATAAGCTGAATTTGAAGAAGGAAGAGCTCATTTCAAAAGTCCAGAGGGATGAGAACGACCGCAGCTCAGTAGAAGTTAGGGGTGAGTTCCTCTAACTTGAATGTTGAAACGGTGTGCTCAAAAGAGAACGGGGGTGCACCGCTTTTACTACCGACATTGGTGTCACATTCAGCCACAACATTGATTTTGCAACACTGTCATTGCCGGTTTAGGCACCTTTTTTTGGGTTGTTGTACTCATGTCTCAGTTATTATCCACACACTAAAGATAAGATTTACTTCCCCAAACACTGATACAGCCTCTGCTGGCTAAAGAGGTTGCATAATGGGATGACTAGTGACCGAAAAAGAGGCCCAGAGTCACGTTCACTAACCAAAAGTCGCCACCTCCTCATGTCAGCGGTTTTCATTCATTAGACATGAGCAGAATGAGTTTGTGTGTAAGCTGCTCGCAAAGGGGGAATTACTGGTAATTAATCAGGTAGTTCCCAGGTCCTTACGAAATCTGCACCTGCTTCTGACTGCCTATCTTATCTATATGTTATGGGAGTCACCCACTAAAGTGGCTTATGACTCCCTGACCCTCCACACACCGTGAGGGCTGGCCTCTGGTGAGGTGAAATTCTTAAAGCTCCTATGAAGAGGTTTTCAATGTATGTGGAATTGTCTTAAATTCATGTTAATGCCTTTTTATGACATACAAAAGCAAAGAAATAGACCATCATGATGATTTTTTTGTTGTAATTTCAAACACCTGAAACCAGTGTGGGGGGTTACTGTCAGCTGAGCAACTGAAGAAACAGCCTGTTTGTAAAAAATGTACATTAAGTATTCAAAAAAAGTTGGCAGGATGAAGCTTTTGGTAAGAAAACACTACTTATACAAGTAAATGACAAGATAAGCAAAGACTGCTTTGTCCACAGGGGGCGCCAAAATTCACACACACTATTAGTTCCTCTCAGAGGCTTTAATTCAAATAACTTAAATCTCTGCATCTGAGAAGTTTGTTCATCCCTCTCTTTCTTTCTTTGTGCCACACTCGCTGGTCCATGACGAAGTACAAACAGTAGCCACACGTCCATATATGGTGTTTGCTGTTTATTGGTGGGCGAGGATTTATGCTGATTGCTGACTAGCAGCAGTGCTGTCAAATTACAGTTGACTGGCATTCAGGAACATACAGGTTTGCCAGTGATCAAACCCAGGACTTTTTAGCACTAAGGTCTTTTGGTTAAAAGTCTTCACACTGATTTACTAACATTTCATGAATGAGAGCGCTTTTCAAACTCAAATTCAGTCCAAAGCTACAACATACTGAGAACTAAACACTCATCGTTAATAAAAACCATCTGACCTCAGTCTCAGGTGCAGACATGAGTTCATTAGCCTCTTAGCATCACAGTCATAGTGATTATGAGTTCAGTGCATGATTTCTTTCAATTTGGTAATACCGCAATGTAAAAGTTTTGCTTTTTACCCACCTTAACACCCACTCTTAGTGTTTCTGCTCATACAAATATAGGATAAACAGTATTTTAATGTTGTTTTTAATTGTGTTTTAGTGGCTGTTTTGACCACAAGAATCCGCAACTATCAGGAGCATCTACAGACACACCGCAAGGTGAGTGAAAGCGCCGAGTCTGCGTTAATTTTCTTGCGTGTCAAAGAGTTTGACTCATCCTTTGATCGGGGTTGATATAAAGAGTTAAAGACTCATCACGTCAAAGCGGAGCTGACTTGCATCACTGAGACGATCTGGTAAGATGAGGGTGTCTTCACATTTCCTCCCTCCCTTCCTTCCTCTGGTCTGAAGCATGCTTGTGCCGCAGGATATCCTGCGCAGCGCAGTCAAGAACATACGTAGCAATGTCATGGTTGGAAATTTCCAGGTTACATCATACATAGAACATTGTGGTCAAAACTGACACGGATACGCACAGTTTGTAAGTGTTAACTTCATCTCTGTTTCCTAACCTCTAAGAAAAAAGGCTTAATTTGGTGTCTTCATCTCAACCTTCCTCCTGTTTGTATCACAGCTATCACTCAACTTCCTGTGTTTCATGTCATTGCAGGACAAAGCTAACAAGAGGCGAATGCTAATGGCTATTGACAAAAGGAAAAAAATTTTGAAAAACATGAGGTTGACCAACTATGAGGCTTTTGAGAGAGTGTGCGAGCAGCTGGGCATCACATATACGTTCCCTCCAGAGTACTACAGACGAGTCACTCGCCGCTGGCTGGCCAAGAAAGCCTTCTGCATCAAGGTAGCAACACACGACCCCTTCAAAGTGTCTATTTGTTCTATGTATGATACTCTATTCTGTAGGTTTCATAAAGGTATTGTTTAAAGTTTGATATCTCAAGATTTAACCCGCACTTGTGAACCATGAGTGCTAACTGTGTTTAAGAGCATCACTCAAACTTTCCCTGTCAGTTGATGTACACTCAACTAGCCGACTAACAAGTCCAAGGTGTGATTTCTGTGCCTCCACTGACGCTCCGCCCCGTGTGATCTTCTCAGGTCTTCAAAGAGGTGCAGAGGAAGAAAGCAGAACAGAGGCTGGCGATGAAGCAGAGTTCGGCGCAGACAGACGCAGCTGCAGCAAACACAGCAGCTGCAACGACCCAATAAAAGAAATAATATAACAACTGATCTTCACTTTCACACAGTCAGATGGAAAAATAGTTCCCTTTTCATGTCTTTATCTTAAAGTATTGTCTTACTTTCAGTTTCAGGTTGGTTTCTGCTTTAAATGGAAATAAAATGTCACAGAAAGTTCTTCTCTGATTGCTTTGAACTTACTTTATTGTGAGTAAACGACTTCCCCCATCCCACGTACTGAGAAGAAAATATGTATCCAGATCAGTTTGACACGAACGAATCACCTGATGAAGACAGAGGTGTTCACTTTAGTAGAAAACAAAAATGATCACACAAATGAGGAGGCTTTTTAGTTTGGCTGAAAAGAAAAGCAAAAAGGCAAAAAAAATCTGTAATTTGTCAGTCACTATTTCACTGTAACAGACTGTGTTGTACGAGTCAAACATTTGTGGATCTCACTTTACCTCAACGCTGAGACGCCATTTTCAGCTGCAGAATCTTGTATTCCACTTCAGTATCCCTTTAACAGTATTGAAACTGCTGTATGACTCATCATTTCTGAGTATGTTTGATTGTTTTGGCGTGAAAGCTTTATCTGAAATATTTGCTAATATGCAGAAGATGGATGTGAATATCTGTGGAATATTAATTCAGTTTATACTTATAGAAAACAGTACATTGAATAAGCTTTCAACTACAAATGTGCAAATCAACAAATTAGAATATGAAATAGTTATTTTCTTGAAATTTATTCTTTGAAAGTAAATAGTCAGATTTTCTTTACTAATTGCATGTAGAGGGAACTGTTTCAGGCCTTGCTCATGAAAATCAGACGTCAAGTGTCACAAAATTATTGGAATATAACTTAAGATCAATCAAAATGGATGTGAATTCAGAAATGTCAAACTTCTTAAAAGTATGATCATTCATACACTCCATATTTTGGGGTGTTCATGGCTAATGGAGGAAAAAAAGCTTATTTTTAAATGATATTCTAATTTGCTGAGATCCATCTGCACAGTTTAGATCAGTGTTATGAAATGCTGGCTAAACTGATTATTTTAATGCCATATTATTGTCTAAATTCTTTCAGGGTTTTTCTGAGAAGTAAAGCAGAGTGACACCATCTCAAACTGTAGCCTGAGTAGTTAAACACAGGGTCATTGTTGAATTTCTAGTCTTTTGTTTTGTTCAGCATTAATGGATTTCAGACAAAAGACCACTGCTTCTTTACTGACTGCACTCAGCAGAGAGGCTTGATAACCTCACACGTTATTACTGATCCTTCTATTTTCTTCACCGAAACCCCTGAACCAAAGACTGGCTCTCCAGCCTGTCACCAGGAGTAACTCAAAAAGTTCCTCTCTCACTGAATCTCAGGAGTATAGGCCCAGTGGTTCCACAGAGGATTCTGTCTCCCATGCGTATGACTCTTATGTACCTGGACAGACAGAAGGGGGCTATGTGAGACTGCGGTTCATTGACTCTAGTTCAGCTTGTAAAACCTTAGCCCCCACAAAATTCCACATCAAGCATCTCAGACTGTCAAGGCAGACAGACAAACCTCAACAGAGGCGTCTCACAAGTCTGTGCTCTCAGCCTTCTGCTCTTCATATGCTTAACTGTGTGGTTACAAACAGCTCCAACGTCATCCTGAAATCTGTAGATGTTGTAGTAAGAGCAATGAGAACCAGTGTACCCTCTGGTTTTTGATGTCTGCAAAACATCGAGGCGGACTCAGAGATTCAACATACTGTTTGTCAAATATTGAGTATACTCCTCTCTGTTGCTAACAGCAGTGATGACCAAATGTAGTTGATTAAAACCTCAAAGATGTCACACACCGACATCGACGTAAATTCTCAGAGCTGCTGATTTGACATGAGATTGGAAAATCTTATAAATAGAGGTTCTCACCCCCTGAGTAGAGATACAAGTCAGTGTCTGAGAATTAACCCACTATCAGCCTCAAAGCAGAGGAGCAGTTCTCGTTAAAGGTCTTGAGTCAGTCAGTGAACTACCCACAGATCTTGTCATCATTAGAAGCAGCAGTTTGTTGCTAAACCAGCACTTCACTGCTCGAGTTTGTCACAGCTTCCTGTGTGGTGTGCAGTTTGTCAGTTAGATCTGGAGGAGAGCAGAGCGAAAGACTCTTCTGGTAAGTGACACCGTTTCCTCCTCTCTCACACGATTAACTTAAAAACTCGACTTTATTTTCTTAACTGAAGCGTTAACTTTAAACATTTCGAAGTTTTGCATTTGCAAAAACTCTATTTGACAGCACTGCGATAAAGTAACATGGACCTTTGGGGCTAAACAATTCCTTCCTGGTGATATCCTGTTAAATGTAGTAGTCTGCATGTGTGACATTCACCATTACAGCGCAAAAAATGTATTTTATACAACTTATTAAGCACTGTTTTAACTAAAAGACAATATACAGAAAGGAAATTCAGAAAGGAAACTAGATGACAACCAACTCTACTAATCTCAAATAAATTTTCAATTTTGATATACTGTTAGATGAACTGTTAGATAATTGATATTCTGTGCCATTTTGAAAAGCTGAACTTTACCATAACTGAAAAGGCGGTTTATTTATCAGTTTACAGACATTTTAATGAAAAAGGCCAAAAACTACTTTCTTCCATGAGATGCAACTTGTTCATGTAAAGCTTATTGATAGTGTTCATGCTATGCAGGAGTATCCATTAGTGCTGACTGAGATGTATGACAAACACATGATTTCAGTTTTGCAGTTATCTTGAGAGAGAGCATTGAATATATTGAATTTATATGTGGTTCAGACTTGTATGTTCGTGCGGACAAGGTGTGAGAACAACTGCAGCACATGTAAAAATAGACCGACACACTTTCCACTCAGGCTTTTCTCTTGCAGCAAACTTCACTTTTGCTTTGTCTGTATCAACAGCTGACGGTGTTCCTAACCAGGGAAAGCCAAATCAAAACCAACACACTCCAAATCCACTAATTCAAAAATGTCAAACCCAGTGGTCACCCATCAACCAGGTGCAGGCGGCTATGGAACAAATGTACAAACAGGAGAGTGGAGCACGGGCCTGTGTAACTGCTGCAGTGACATTTTAGTCTGTGAGTACCAAACATGACGATTCAACGTTTTTCTATTGTCTTCCACTCAATAAACCAACTCACTTTTACGCTCTTGAACTAAAGAAAAACTCTCATATTTTGCAGGTGCTATTGGTTGCCTCTGTCCAATTGCACTGGACTGCTACACAGCAAAAAAATATGGTGAAAACTGCTGCTTGGGCTGTGTGCCAGGAGGCATGACTGCCATGAGGACTCATATGAGACTGACCTATGGTATCCAGGTGGGTTCTTGTACTGTAATAATTATACGTTTTGAACACCCTGACTCAACTTTTGGGTGTTGCTGTAAATCTCTCACTGGAAGCCTGGTCTGTTTTTGTAATTCAGCTCTTGTGAAAGACAGAGATTTCATAAATGTTGGAAATGTTAAATGTTCCCATGTGATGAAGAAAGTTGAACTGCAGCAGCTGTTTGTTGATTCCTGTGGTGACTGTGTTGAAATTTTTAAATCGCAGGGAACAATATGCAATGATGCCCTGATGACCTTTTGCTGCGGACTTTTTGAGACATGCAGGATGGCGAGAGAAATCCGCATCCGGAATGGAGAAGTTACGCTGTAAAGAGACCCAAAGGAATCTGACTGTCCGTAAACAGAGCTGACTGTTTGTCGAAAACTTGTGGAAGTGATTTTTTCCCCCCTATCACATACCTACCTTTCATGCAGACAACAAATAATGAACAGCTGACAAATCATATAATTCACTGCATCTTGTGTAATTTTACCCATGAAGCTGTTTGTTTATAACAAACCATTAATACTGATCTGAAATACTGTATATAATGACACTGTTCAGTCTATTAAAACTCTGGTTATAACATGATCATGAAACTTTGTACAAAATTGTCAATAAAAATATATTTACATTTGTTTGATATTATTTCACCAAAGCTTTAATGTGGGGATGCACAGCAGCTTCAGAGGTATAACTTAAATTACTTTTGTAAGTATAAACCATAGACTGTGTATATTATTTTATATACAGTCTATGGTATAAACTCTTTCTTGAGTCAGTAGTTTGGTTCTGCGACTGTGTTACCCTCATGAAGGGACACCATGATATATTTATAGGCCAGCCACACTATACCTTTCATTCTTCTGTACTTGGACCCACTATCTAAACTTTTGACATTTTTGTTCCTGCTAAAGAAAAAGCATGATTCACGAACAAGTTGCAATTTCACTTTCACGTTCTGCAAAATAATCCCATTGTCTCTATTTATATTGGTCTCAGAAGTGTTGCGTCTGCCTGACACCATATGTCACTTTCTATGCACCTTTCTTTGAAATTATATGACAATTTACTTTTTTTAAGATTAAGGTAATTTGGAAAAAAAGAGCTCAGCAGACTGTATTTCTCAAATGCATTCTGCTATATTACCAATATACTGTTAACCTACATAATACTATTTTTTTTTTCATGGAAAAGCAGGTTTATCATAATAAAATATGTTTGTTTTTTTATGTTTGGGGTTTAACTTTTGTCTGCGATTGAATAAGTAAAGAGAGATTATTGTTTACTTAAAAAAATAACAAATATAATTAATAAATTATACACAAATACATGAATAACAAGACAAGAAGTATGCATACGGAAACATAACGATTTTTAAGGCTTCGTAAACTGCAAAAGTCTGAATGACTATCTACTCTTTAGTCCTTCCAATAAATTTAATGACATTTTCACTGACAAGTTGGTGAATGCTACTTTTTTTTACGAAATTACCTTGTATGTAAAGATTTAATTTAATTTAAACTTTTTTTTCTTGTAAATAAATTTGATCCCACTTCAAAGTCAAGGAGGAAATATTTAACACATAAACCTTCATAAAATAACTGAAATAAAATAAAATAAAATAAAAACTCACCCCTCCGCTTCCCTTTACGTCACGAAGCACTGCGGTCTCATTGGCTGTTCCCTTCGTGGCCTGGCAACCAGAAAAAGGCTTTACCAAACAGACAGACAATCTGCCAGCAATTAGCATTCGAGCTAGTTTCAACCACTAGCTTACTACATTTTCTGGCGATATTCAGTCGGTTATTATTCACCATGTCTTCAAGAACTCTCCCCCTCCTATTCATCAACCTCGGCGGAGAAATGCTGTATATCCTGGACCAGCGGCTTCGAGCTCAGAACATCCCTGCTGACAAGGCTAAGAAAGGTAGCCGGCTAGCTTAGCTTAGTTCGGACTGTTGGTATGTTTACATGTTTGTGAGTAAAAATCACGCTTACACTGACGTTTATTTATTTTTCCTCTCGGTGTTTGATTAAAACATCACCATTTTAAGATAACAGTTAGTACACTAAGTGTTAATAATTAAATATGTATTTTCAAAGCACACTTTCATCTATTAATCTGCTTTCGATTTGTAAAGTTTCCACAATAGCTGGCTGGATAGACGAGGACAGAAGGAGAGGTATTATCATAGAGCTGCATTAGTGGCTCACCGCTCTTCTGCTTTGACTTAGACTGGAGACAAACTTGCCTCATGGACAACTGAAATAGATAAACAGACACCAGATGAGATTCATATGCACAGTTCAGTTTACAAGTACATCATATATGTGATTTAAATGACTGACATACACAGATCTTGAGCACAGAGTTGTTTGGGTGCACGAGGAGTCACTGCAAAGTCAAATTATCAATGAAGGGATTTGCTTTAAAGAAGTGGTTCTCAACTGGTCTCACTGTGGGACCCACATTTTCCCATGGTACTGAATTCCTGGCCCACTTTAATCGAATTCAAACCCTGCAAATTTGTTTTTAATAAAAAAAACCTTTAGAGACTCAAATCTTTAACACAAATACACCTGTTTTATTGAGTAAAGTGCATTTCAGAACACATGAACTGAGGACAACAACTACTGAAGTTGCTACAGAAAATATCAAATTGCACAAATTAAGCTATTTTTCAAAATAAAAGACATGTCAACCGGCTGTTTGCGACCCATCTAGAAAGTGTCCATGACCAACCTTTGGGTCGGGACCCACCAGTTGAGAACCACTGCTTTAAAATACTGAATAATATCTAAATCCACAAAGCAGCCCCCCTAGGTCAAATTTGACACACTATCCAGTATACAACAAAACAAAATGTTGTCAATATTGTCTCTTGTGTCATAAAAAAATTGCACATGCACTTTAAGATAATGCCAGTAAGGCTCATCTGGGGTAACCACTGTCTCTGCTCTCAGAGCTGTGTTTCATTTTTGACACCTCCCTTTTTATCTTATTGACCTTTTGCTTCCTCATACAAGAAAATAGCTGAATCTACAGTAACGCCTTGCTGTGTTAAGCAAGTTGAATTTCCTCTGTCTTGAGCCAATGGGAAGCTTAAAAAGGTTAGGAAAAGGTGAAGTTGACTGGAAAATTTGACATCTAGAACAGTGACTGTTATCACTTCTGTCACTTGCATCAGTGATTGATTGAAGTAATCATGAAAAAAAAAACATTTCTGGGGTGGCTTTAACACAAACAACTTTCCAAATCGGACCTGTGCTGATGGCTTTTCATGCTTCTGCTTTATTGGGGCACTATGGGAAAGGCTTTGGGTGAAATGGTTTGGGCCAACAGTATATAGTATAGACTGCCTATCTAGTTGCCTTTAAGCTTCCACTACGAGCTAAGATTTTATACGACCTTTTTGTGACTGGAATCTTTTTGCTGTACTTTTTGCTTGACTAGTTATGAATGACATCATCACCACCATGTTCAACAAAAAGTTCCTGGAAGAACTTTTTAAGCCGCAGGAGCTTTACTCCAAAAAGGCCCTGCGGACTGTGTTCGACAGGTTGGCTCACGCCTCCATAATGAGACTCAATCAAGCAAGCATGGACAAGGTGAGTCATGATAAATACAGATGTGGGCCTTCTTCTTCACATTTGTTTTCACTGCATTCAGCACACATTTTTACTACTTTAGCGCACAGAGCAAATCAACACAGTAATCACACACTCACATCATTGATTTCAGCTTGTCTTATAGCCTCATGATAAAGCATTCTGTGTTTGTAGTTAAGAGTCAACTTTGCTACCTCTCTTTACATCAGTTAGTGCAGTTTATCATAAGAAGTGAGTAGGGCTTAGTTAGATCATGTTGCAGTTTAAAAGTATGGAGGACTTTGTATCTTATTGACTCAACAACACTGTTTATGGCTCCCTCTGCTGTTTATAAATTAATATTTATTGTCCTCCTTACAGCTCTACGACTTGATGACCATGGCTTTCAAGTACCAAGTGCTCCTTTGTCCCCGGCCAAAAGACATCCTCCTCGTCTCCTTCAACCACATGGATGCAATCAAAGACTTTGTGAAAGATACACCAAGCATCCTCGGCCAGGTTGATGAAACATACCAACAGCTCATCGAGGTACTTAAGTCTTCTCTCAGTGGTTATATAGACACTAGTGTGAAGCTGCAAAATGAGAAATGGCTTGTAAGGGCTACTCAAAGATCTCAGGAGAGGCAGGGGCGAGGCAGGTTCTTTTTTAAAGCACATTTCAACAAACATCAGACATCAAAATATTATTACTAAGGGAAGAAGAAACTTTTTTTTTGAGAAACCTGTTCAAGTTTTGTTACAGTAATCAAATTCACTTTAGGTAGTTTGGGAAAAAAAGGCTTTAAAATAGATATCGTGCAGAGAGGCATCTAAATTTGGCTTAGTTTACAATGAAAGAAGAACAAAAAAGGAAGTGAAACCTGTTGGCTTTTACATGAAACATTGTGTTCCCTTAAAAAAGTCCAGAAACTTATAATTAGTACAATAGAGCCAAGAAGGGGAAAAACCTGTCAATGTCAGAAATACTGCAAATCCTCAGTTAATGACCAGTATTCCATCTATGTCCAGTCCAAATAATAACCAAGATCTTTAGCTTTATGAGTGATCGAAGGCAGATTCATATTTCTGATATGGATTATAGAAACAGGAAACTACTAACCGTTGAGTTCACAATGATCAACCACACTCATCCATAAATCCTGTAAAATCAGACTGTAATCAGATTAGTAGTGAGGGGCAACAAATGTCATCTCTGTCAGCTTTCCATGTCTGCTCAGTGAGGGCACAGGGGAAGAACTTTTTTGATCCTGTGGAGGGAAATCTACTGAATTGAAATAAATACAGCAGCGTCAACATCACGTTAATAAACTCATGTATGGAGGAGAAATTAGTGCCGGTTTGTATTTTGCAGTGAGGCTGATTTACGCAGAGATAGGTGTGATTTGTTCTAAATTAATATATAATGAACTATGTTAACTATGTTGATGTTAACATCAGTGGCACACAGGAGCACAAATCATTTGTGCTTTATAAATAATGCAGTGTCTTCTTGACTAGAGAATAAGACCCTCACTTTGTGTAAGATATAAACAATTCTAATCCCCAGAGACTTAGAGAATTTAATATAAAGGCCTGACTCTAATAAAAGCCTGTCTCATTTATAGGCCTCGTTCCAGCGGCAGTTAAAACAAAAGACAAAAGACCTGGCCTGTATTTAAACAGAAATTTTGACCAATCAAACCATGTCTTTTTTTCTGTCTTAATTTTTTACTTTTAGATGTATACACCTCTATCTGCTGGGGAATTCCAGCTGATCAGACAAACTCTTCTTATCTTTTTTCAAGACATGCACATCAGAGTGAGTCCATTATTTTTTTATTTTTGTGAATTTGAATTACAAACACTTAAAACTAAACCATATTATAATGACTTTTGTTTTGTATCTTATTTTCCTCACAACTCTTTTCCTTTTTTCTCTCTTCTCTTCCAGGTGTCTATTTTCCTTAAGGACAAAGTACAGAACTCTAATGGTCGCTTTGTGCTCCCTACCAGCGGTCCAGTGCCTTATGGAACACAAGTCCCTGGCTCGATAAGGTACCATGCTGTGTAGCTGTTGGCCTGTATGGTCAGATCTCTACTATCATCATTCGAAAAAAGATGAATATTAAATAGGTGTATTGTTTTGAAAAGTCATTTCAGTCTCTCTGATGGTCAATATTGTTTGCTTTTTTGCCTCTCATCTGTTCACTGATCTCACTCAGACACTGCGGTCTTAAGCAGGCCCATCTACAGCTAATTGCATTACGGAGGTTACTTTGTACAAGCATTTACATTCTAATTTTAGATGGGAAGTATCTGGCTTGGATTCAGATACCCGGGGTTTGTCTGTGCCCAGTGAAACATTAACCATATCATGAAAAAAAAAAACCCACATAAAGGCCTTCTGAGCCTCATCTGTGTTTAAGTATCTATAGAGCACTGAGAGGAGCTACTTTCACTACAGGGGGATGCATTCAGAGCCTGTTTAACTGTAAGATTTTGTGTTTTTGTCATTCAAGGATGTTTAGCTGTACTGGTGAAGAGTTGGGCCGGCTGCAGTTCACGAACGGAGGAAACTACACAGCTGCTCTTCGGGAGGGATCATTTGAGATATTTGGAGACAGGGTCACCAAACTAGGCACAAATATGTAAGATGTTTACAAGTGCATTGAAGATAAAGCATTTGGGCCATTTTGTACAGATCATTTTGTACGATCATTACTCAGTTTTGTCCTCATGTAATCATTCAGGTACAGTGTGAGCCGGCCTGTGGAAACCCACATGTCTGGAACCTCTAAAAACTCTGCACAGCACACTAAGGTGAAACAGCTTTACTGCTTGGAGTCAGAACTTCTAACATTATGAATATTTGTTCCAACATATTTCAACTCTGTACACAACATGTTTAGTGAACCTTTAGTGAAAGTAAACCAGGTCCAGAACTGTGCGAATGCCTTGATGTAAACAAATGATTGTTTGCCAATAGGTCAACACAGCTCCCAATCCCCTGGCTAAAGAGGAGCTGAATCTTTTGGCCAAATTAATGGGAGGATTAGAAGTTCAGAAAGCAGGAAATGCAGACAGCGCCTTCAGGGTCAACCTCTTTGCCACAGACGAGGAAGAACAGTAAGTGGAACCTGTTTTTTTGCTCTCTGCTACCTCACTTTACATAAAATATCCAAGTATTTTAAGTTACAATGACAAATATTGTGATTCTCTTTAATCGCAGGGAGGCTTTAATATCAAGACCTGATGAGCTTTCATACGGAGTCATAAACATTCAAGCCACAAAGGTAACAAAGGTTTAAAACTCTGCTGTCCCTGTTTAAAGATTAAAGGCTTCTTAATGGTGCACTCACACCAGGGCCAGAGCCCAAGTACTATTTGTACGCATGTCTTAATGTGATGCAATACACTCATGTCTTGTACACACAACATCATGTGGGGGCTTAAGTTTGCACAAAGCACGTCCTTGACCTCATGTTTACTGTCTCGTGTCTGATTTTGAATCTTTTGTGCTTGGACGTGCGCATGAGCGACGTCACCGTGCTGAAGCCCACCTCTCCTGACCATGTGTGCTTGAACATGGCATGGAGCAATCCCACTCATCAGACAAGCTTATGTACTGTGCAGATTGCCTGGTGTGAGTGCAACCCTATTAGATAAAGTAAAGCAAATGGGAGATTCAGACACACAGGGAGAAAGATTTAAGGATGCCAGATTTTCTGTATTTGTGTAATTAAACTTCACTTCGGAACAGATTTCTGTCAGCTAAGGGCAAGTGTGGCCATAGATTTTGTCAGAGATGTTAGGAACAGAACTGCTGAGGAGGTGCATTGACTATGACCTGGTTTGTGTAGTTGTAAGCCAAGCAAATGCTCCATCTCAGACTTAGTTCACACTTGATAAGCACCTAACTTTTTGGCCAAATCTGAACTGTTGCGGCAGACGGGCTTGTTAACAGCATTATCAAAACTAATCTCAGGCCCTCTTGACCCCAACAAAGCCATCTTCAGAGGAGAAAAATGCAGACTTTGTACTCACCTATAGATTTTCTTGTCCAAGAAATTTGTCTTGGATATGTAAAAAAGAGGAACTTGTAGTCTGGACATGCCCAGTCTGTTAGCTTCAACACTGGCAGTTTGTCTCTTACCCTTGAAAAGAACCCCCATGATTGATCGTAGGCCCAATTTTTACCCACCTCAATGAAAGGCTTAAGGTCCCAGTCAATGATCGGAGATGTAAGGCTTTGCCAGTCTAACAGGATTTACTGTAATGAGGTGTCAGTCCAGGTGATGACCACTCTGGCACTAACGATTGGTGGTTTTTCTTTCAGGACCAACAGGCTAATGCCGAGCTGGCCAAGATCATGGGAGAGTTCACAGAGTCTGGGGATCAATCTCCCTGTTCTAGCAGCAAAGGTGACGACCTTCTTGCTATGATGGACGGCCTGTGACATGGTCACCCTGACAGAAGGACTTGGGCACAACGCATCGTCAGCAGTCTGTTCTACTGTGGACCAGGCTGCTGTCTGAACCTGCAAACTCTCTGCACCAACCTCTCATGCAGCCAGATTCATTCTGGGGTTGGTTTTTGAAATGCAGATGGAAGCAGGTGTTTCCACTGGTTGTCACACAACCAACAACAAACTGCAGATTTAAGTTGCATCTACAAAACTGTGCTGGGATGAGCTTCAATCTGCAGTACAGTGTAATAGTACATAGGCTGTAAACTGAGTTTCAGGTCATCAAAACAAACTGTAGGGCTTTATCTGTGTGCTGACCAGCTGTACGAGGTTTTAGCAACGTCACAGTGTTCTGTTTGTAAAATCAGACTGTGCTACTGTAACAAAATACACATTCATCCAGCTTGAGTTTCAACAACCCATCACAGCTTTAGAGTTCTGTGTTGATCACCATCAAGGAGATAGTTTACTTTTGGGAATCAGAGGGAAACCAAGTGCTCTTTCCCATGAGATTCAAATTCTCTCAAATCTCTCTGCTGGTGAGAAATATGTGGATCTTGAATTGAATTGCACTAACTTTAAAACACAGGGACCAAGATGTAAGACGTTTTCACTATCTAGTAATTTCTATGAAAGAGAGACGGCCCATAGATGTGCTCATTTATGAGTATGATATTATATTATAAAGTACTTCAGCAATATAAATTATATCCAATGTGTAAATATGTTGATTGCACATTTTATTTATTTGAATGCATCATTGTTTACCTCGTATCTATTGTGTGTATAGCATATTGCTTCAGTTGTTGCATTGTTGAGTGCAATGTAGGATTTTTAATAAATAGCCTGAGGGGAAAAAAACAAATTTTTGTGCACTGTTGTTTGAAATGTATCATTTGCATGTGTACTGATGCAATGACATGTTAATAATGGCATGTGCACTGCAATAGATTTTTTTTTTTTTTTTTGTAGTTGCAAATATGCAACAGTAGGAGGAGCTGTCAGTCCTTTTCCAGTCTAGTCTGGCTGCCACATGCTTCTTCAGTGTATGTTTTTTTTCAAGTACCCACATCAGATTCTTGGTTTCTGGTTCAGTTTTTTTTTTTCCAGAAATGCTGTTTTCATTTCAATTTAATGAAATGCAAATCACAAAGGCACTGACCTATCCTCCAGCGCAGACCAACAATGAGAATTAAAACAACAGCTATCTGTGCAGCTGTCTGTTTGTGTGCAGCCTGCCAGCAAAAAACCAGTCCGAGTAAGATAATCTACGCTCCAAACCGCACTTTCTCACACAAATACACACTCAGACACAGGTGCATACCATGCACGCAAAACATGCTGAGACATTTCTCTGAATTTATCTGCGGGAGGAGGACTCTGGTGAGGTCTTCCCAATAATCTTGGCATAGCAGGGACAAGAAACGCTGTGTGCCCCAGGGACACAGCCTACCTGCAAAACAAACAGAAACCAGATCTGATGGCAGTCGTCCCATAAGATGAGGTGATTGAGCCAACCAGCCTCACAAAAAAAGAATGCTGAACATAAACATGTGGAAAGTTATTTCATCATCAGATAATGCTTTTCCAGTGGCATATTCATAACAATATAGTTTATACAATAAGAAGTACTTAAGTGGGGTGTGTTACTGTCAAATTTCAACGTGCTATAAAAGGAAAACTTTATCTGCTCGCTCAGTTTTGATGCAAGTATTATAGCAAAAATGATTAGTGAGCATTAAAAAGTCTTTGTTTAAAATGAACTAGTCTTTCATTGCATGCTGGAAGAGCCCCTAAACATACTTCTCTCACAGCATCATCGACTTATGATTCAGTTTCCTCTTTAAAGACTGTGGGCCGAGACTGTAAAGCCACAGGCTGACAAATGTTTCATGTGGCTGGGGGCATATGCTCTGCTGAGTCAAGGCAGGAAGACGAGTGCAACTCATATGAGACACTGCCATTTAAGTTGGCCTCTTTGTGTCTATCTTACCTGCCCACTCGTTTGAAACTGGGAGCTGTGGGTGGAATTTAAGGGTAATCTGAAGATCTAAATTGGGAACATAAGTGGGCTTGCTGAGTAAATGAGTAAGAATTTGACTTTTGACTGTGCTGAATTTGTCAGTTGTGTGTCAATGAGGAAATCCTTGAAAAACTCGATATCAGCACATTTGTAGTGTTTGTCCAAAAAGTATGAGAGAGAAGAAGAGATCTACACTGATGAAGGTGGAGACTATTCTAAAGAACATGGATCACCCACTTCACAACACCTTGATGGACCAAAGGGCCAATGGTGGTGGACGGCTCCTCTCTCTTCGCTGCAGGACAGAAAGATAGAAATGCAAGGTAGTAAAGTGCAAGGTATGTACATATGTGCAGTGCAGGTATGAACTTAATATACTAAGAATAAGAATAAGAAGAACTTTATAAATCCCTGAAGGGAAATTCAAACGTTTCCCATGATGATTGATGGAAGAAAGGGTTTATATCGCCACCTCCTAGCATTCAGCTTTGCCTTCACCTTTGCACCAGCACGGCAACCACGATAACACCTCCTGATGTCCTCTGGAATTGAATGTTGTTGTTCAGATTTGCTTTTCCTCAATGAAAGGAGCTCTTCTCTTGAGTAAACTCTTCGCCCCGCAGAAGTATCCATCAGCAGCCAGCAAAATGACAACAAAAATGTGAAAAAATCTAGCAAAAATCACAAATAATGCAGAGAGACCAGACTTGCAGTAACCTCTCGGCTTAAGCCCATCATTTGAAATATGTTATTACTATATATTTTGTGCAAAAAATATGCTAAAAATATATAAAGTTCTTCATATTCATATTCTTATTAAATATTCTGTCTGCACAGAAAATGTAGAAGCCTGTTTCAAATTTATGGGACTTGATTATAGTGCACACTGTTTTTATTTTTTTTAATATATATGTCCTCCTGATCTTTGAGTTTCATGGTGTTTTGTTTGCATTGCTGAGGACTTGGCAATTTCACCTTTAATCTGGTTGATGATGGTATGTCAAGCAGGCGTTTCATCACAGCAATGGTATTTTTCATTGTCAATGTGGCATGTTATATAACACATAAAAACGAACACTCACCCTGCTATTGTGTTAGGTATTCAGAGATCATGTTGTCAAAGCCCTTCCACTGAATCTTCAACTTCTCCAGCACCGACAACTATGACGTAATGTGTTTCATTTGGCAACTTTATCATGCAAACAATTTCATCATCAGTCGCAACCATTTACAAGGAAAAAACCAGACAGGCGCCCTTATTGGTCGGTTGCAGCTGTCAATCAAAGCGAGCATGTGCGTCATTTCCGTTGTCAGGTGGCGCTGTCGCTGTGGAAAGATGCGATCAGCGAAGAGCGGAGGCTTTTCCTTAATTGCTCATTTCGGTAACAGAGGCTAAACAACCCCCCGAAACCTGCCCTCTGTGGTCTCTCCCGTCGAAGCGACAAGCTCCGCTCATCCACAACAGCTTTTTGACTCAAGAAATGTCCGTGTTGTAAGCGAACGACGCAGACTTTACCCGGCGGTTTTGGCTCGAGGTAAGCGAGGTGGCGACTCCACAGCTATCCGGGCTAGCCAGCTGTAATGTTACCTAACGTTACTTTGTTTAAATGGCCTCCCGGCTGCCCCTGTAGCCTCCGGCTTAGCGAAAGATAACGACGCTGCTCAGCAATTTAACACTTTACTATCGTTGCACAAAAGACTTACAAGCTTAACTAACCGTGTCCTCTTTCTGCTCGGTGTAGTTTGCACCGTAAACCGAACTCCGTGTTGTGTTGTGTTTCTTGTGTTGTGTCCCCTTTGTGTAGCCGGTGTGCCTGGAACTGTAAAAGCGTCTTTAGCTGAGGATTTAACTCGGCTTTTGTTGTTGTTTAAAGTTTGTATGTGGCCCTGAGCTGACTAATATGTTACCCTTCTTAGATATTTACACGGTGAAATAGGAAACCGTCTGCTTCCATTTAAATAGCCAGACGTGGTCCGCAGAGACGCACGCCGTGGTGTGCGAAATTGGGTGTTTGGACCTCTCAGCTGTAGTATTTGAGGGTAAATTATGATACTACTTCGAAATTAAGTTATTGTATACTAGTGGAGTTGTCGTGCACACGCTGGAAAGACATACAGTCAGCGTTTTACTCCAGGACTGTGCGCTGTCCAGACTCTATGGTCGCAAAATGGCACCAAACAACGTGTGACAGACTGTGTGCATATGATTTGTTTTATCGTCTTGTGTTTTATAATGAGACCATGTGTGCACGGAGCTGTTGTTGGTGTAGCTGCTGTAGTAATGTGACCAGCCTCTGCAGGTTTGATATCGGTGTGTGTAAGTGTGTGTCTGAGCTGACACGATTGATTGACATTTCATTCACGCAGCAGATTTGTGTGTGTGTGTGTGTGTGTGTGTGTGTGTGTGTGTGTGTGTGTGTGTGTGTGTGTGTGTTTGACCTTCCAGTTGCTTCACCTCTTTGTCACTGACCGGCCATAACATTAGGAACACCTTGACTATCTGTTTGCAATCCAACAGTTTAACTCTTAAATTGAACTGTGAGGAAGACCCTTTATTTTCAGTGTTTGTTGACATGATCACACAGGTGATTATTGAAGACTATGTGAATGAGGGTGTATTAGAATCAGATTTAGAAATACTTTAATAATCTCCAGGGGGAGGTTGCTTTTGTTGCAGTACTCCAGTGCAAATACAGTCAAAGTAAAAACAGTAAAAGAGGAGATAAAATAGATAGAATAAGTAAAAATATAGAGATAAATGGATAAAATAGGTGTAAAAATGTATAGAGATAATATATGAGTATTTACACTATAAACTAGGGCCGACCGATTTATCGGCGAGCCGATTAAATCGGCTAATTTAAGCCCGGTTGAGACAAATCGGTAATCGGCCAAAACCTACCGATTTTCGCCGAAGAATCGTCCGATTAATCGGTTATCGTATTTCGGCATCTGCCCCAAAAAATCCATATCAGTCGGGCCCTACTATAAACAACACAAATAGTGACATTGTATTGGAAAGGTGAAGCAAAACAGTAGGAACACCTTTTAGTATAATGCACTCCAGCATTTCTCCAACAAATAATGCATAAGCTTTCTAAAAGTGGAATATCTTGAGGGAGCTGTTGCATTGGATTACACTAGATTGCCCAGTTGTTCTCGATGTTATAACTGTGGGTGTGTGCATTCATAGATACACATCGTTCTCACTCTCTTGGCTTCATCATCCATCCAGATTTTCTTACCCAGATATGTTTACTACCTGCTCTACTGTCCTTATGCTTCCTTTGTCCGTCCTCATACTTGATAATACAATCAAGCTGTTTTCTTGCAGAGCCAGACAAGTGGCATTGAGTCTGGGTGGGTGGATCTTGAGACTCCTACGTGGTTGTTTTGTTCTGATTCTATTTCAGGAGCCCACATTTCTCGTGGGCAACCGGCAGCGTGTCTCTCCTCCTTTTGTGTGATATGATTCAGAGGCTGTATCTGTTCTTGTCCTCCCTCCGGTACAGTCAGAGGCAGAGGCAGTCTTGCTTGCCAGATCGCTGGCTGTGCAGAGAGGCACAGCAGCGTCAGAAAAGGATAGCTGGGTGCTGTCATCGCGCTGATGTCATTTAGGTCAGTGTGCATTAGTTGGTTGCATTGACCTTTGCTTTCTAGATGTGTCAGGGGTTGGCTCTACGGCACTGCAGCTTGTGTTTAGTCGGTAGATGAATAGCCTCTGGTGCATTTGCAGTGTGGAGTGTAGCAGTTTGTTTGAATGAGTCAGTTTAACGTGATAAGTCCAAAGTGCATGAATTTGTATGTTTTTAACTATGCAGAGAATTGAAGTACATGCAAGGTACACTCAAAGATAACCTTGTTAGAAGTGTGCAACATGATGACTGATGGGAGTCTTCTTTATTTTTGCTCAGTCTGCTTATTTTCCTCAATCTAACGTCCTTTCTCGCACTCAACAGTTTAAAATGCATTCATGTAGCAGCACTTGAAACCACACTTAATCCTGCCAACCACTTTGGCCTCTGTTTTATCCATAGCGTTTGCCTCGTGCGCTATAGAGTAAGACGTTTTCCTTACTATTGGCAGCGTGACTTGGTGTCACTCTGACTTGTGCCATAAATGCTGTCAGAAAACCTCAGCTCATCAGACTCAGTGGGTGATGACTAGTGGAGATGGAGACAGATGGGCGAGAGACACGATGATGACACTGTCTGCTGTCTGGGATCACAAAAAAGCCTCATGGAAGTGAGAATTCATACCAGCCCTTACTGACTGCCAACTGTCCTGCCTCCTCGCTGCCCAAAAACGCCAACTGGCGAGTGGCTCACGATTTGTTTTGGAAAAGGAAGAGCCTAATTCATATTTGAAGATGAGTTTTTTTCTGGCTTTTCTTCTTGCAAGATCAATTATTTTAAAATTTAACCAGCATCCAGCTCACTTTGAATTCTGCGAATCTGAGTCACGAGAATATGGATAACACGATTCAAGGAAGACCCCAGATGATGTCTCTTTTACTCTCTCCTTATGTGGAGTTTTACTTCCCTCTAATTCGAAAAGACGCACATGTAACAGACTCTAGGGCACAATAACACTCCTACTGTTGTCATCAGCGAGACATTCAAGCATTTCTGTCCAATGGAATCCGGGGACAGCAGCAGGGTGAATCATTCCTTTCGGTTCAAGGCACTACTTCCCTGTTACAGGAAACAGATGGGGTTTCATCACATTGGAACTCAGTATCAGTAAACAAAGCATACCTCTCGCTCTCTGAGTTCTGGGAGGTAGATCTGCCGCGGCGGTTGAAGCAGTTTGTGTAACGATGATGTGTCACGCTGTGTCACCGGCTCTTTTGACATGTGGATCTAGTTCCTTATCATGGTGTAAGGGCTTGGCTTTTTTTTTTTTTTTTTTCTTTTTGTTTGTTTCAGCCATGTTCGAACACGCATGTCCTCTCAAAGGAAGGTCCGTGCAGATAAGCCGGCTGTACAGATTCTGAGATAAAACGCACAGATTAAGAGCGGAAGGATTTTCTAAGCCCGTGTCCGCCACAGCAGGAAGAGCTAAAGATGGATACGTGGTTCAGTCAGGGCTGAGACTCGAATAAATAAATGCTCCTCTTGTTTAAAGACGGCCGGGCTTGTGCAATGCATTTACATGTGAGCAGCATTTTCCCATTTGAATTGCAGATCGCGGCACGTTGCACTGTTGTGGAGATTGAATCGGAGGTGTCACCCTTGACGCCAGCAGCCATCATTTTGAATGGCGCTGTAATGGCCTCACATTTACACCGAGGTGTTGGTAAATGTGTGGGAGGGGTATTTAAAATAGGCTGGGAGGAGCTGCCCTGAAGTTTACCTCTGTTCACTTCTGTGCACTAATCCCTCGGCAGCAACGGGCCTGCAGGACCACTGCGCAGGCTCTGAGTATGATCTTTATATCTGTTTATTATTTATTCACAACAACTAATTTGCTTCTCCAACATTAGTGCTGTTTCTGCTTTTCTCGTCTGTCAGTGTTTTTGTGCAGTCACGTGCATGCAAGTACTATCTAACTTGACTATTTTTATCCAGCGTACTAATCTGATAAATTCCCTTCGCAGAGCTCCACTATGTCAAAGCGGCGCTCGTCGGAGAGAGGGGCTGGAGAGACATCAGGCAGGGCCAGCAAGCTGCAATGTCCGGGGATATCCGGCAATAACGCCAAGAGAGCGGGGCCCTTCATCCTCGGTAAGGAAGCGTGTGTTTGCACAGCCTTCATACAGTATAGACGGGTTTCTCACAAACTTCATACGACTGAAAGTGTCTCAAATGTACGGTTTCTTGATCATATGGAGTGCAGGGAAGTAGGTGAGGAATGTGAGTAGATGCGAGGGTCGTGGGGTGTCTCTGTGAGTACGCCTGAGACAAGAATGTGAAGAATTTTGCTGATCCCCATGACATCGGCCAGAAAGGTCTGCGTCTGTGCTGGAGCAAGGTTATTTCCTCCCTCTGGAAACAAACCAAAAAAAAAAGAGTTCCTCTCTCCCAAACTTTTATTCTTGACTGTTTTCTGCCACACAACTCCTCCACTATTTGCTATGCAGAGTGCCAAAGAAAACATTACACTTGGGGGTGTTAATGGGTGCGTGCACATGCAGCCCTTAATGAGTTGCAGTGTGAGCACACACTCCGGTATCTAGCATGCCTTTTGGTCATGCAGCTGTTCTTTCTTCTAACTCTTGCAGGGCCTCGCCTGGGCAACTCACCAGTGCCCAGCATAGTGCAGTGTCTGGCCAGAAAGGACGGCACTGATGATTTCTATCAGCTCAAAGTAAGTCCGCGTTGTTCTTGTTGTTCTTTCTTCTACAAATGCAACATGGTTCAATACAATATCAAACATGAAAACAAAGCTATGCCGTCCTTGTAGGTGGCTGAACCTTTGACCCCTCTTTGTTGGTGTTCATTTTATGGCCTGCTGTTTTCAGTCTGGTGCAAACAACAAAAACCTTCAGCCAGGCAATCTGTTTATTGGGGCTATCCAGTGTCTGTATCACGAGAGGTGGGGGCTACAGAAGGGGGGAAAAGGGAAGGGTGGAAGGTAGCGCCCCACCTGGAATGTCGACTTTTAACCCTCACAACCATGTAGTGAGTCAGTGCAGGACCCTCCTACCACCACAGCGCCTCAGTGTCTGCTTTACAGCGTGTTTACTTCACAGTAGTCTACCAGACTGAGCTGCTGCCCTGTTATAACACTTCTAGTGTGTGATTTAAACTTCATGTTAAATGTCAAACAAAACTAACCGAATGCCATGCCCTCAGTTGTTTTAAGGTTCTGTGTCAGGACTGAGGATTAGCTCCTTACCAAATAGAAAACTCTGCCTCTCAGCCGTCTGATCCTGTATGCGCACTCGTCTTGTGACCTCTAATGTTTGCTCTGCTCTCGTGTGCGGTTACGGCAGATCCTGACGCTGGAGGAGCGGGTGGACTCCGCAGGGGAGACTCAGGAGGAGAGGCAGGGGAAGATGCTGCTGCACACAGAGTACTCCCTTCTTTCTCTGCTGCACAACCAGGACGGCGTCGTCCACCACCACGGCCTGTTCCAGGTAGATTGGCACCTTGACATATTTGTGCATAGTACATAATCAGCGAAATGATCATCATAACGGGAGGAATGAGCTGTGTCTTGTAGTCTAAATGCATTATATAACTCTGCACAATGTGGGCATGTAATGCACCATGATAAATGCACCACTATTACCAAGGGGAAGTTTCTCTCACTCTCTATTCAGCTTAAATTATAGCGTCACTGTGCAAGTAGCAGCACGCTCTTCTATCAGTGCAGAGGTAAGCTTAGCATTAGTAAAGCCAGCTGCTAACATTTGCTTTATGAGGCTTCTGTCAATGGAGAAGTGGGAGTACCATTAAAAGGCATTCTTATCTGCAGTCCTGTCTATTCACAGTCCCATCCATTCACAATGAGCGCTCCCCCTCCCCGCCCCTCACCTGTCTTCCCGTCTGCCTCCTCCTTTAACTTTGTTATTCCTCCATCTGCCTTCTCTCTCTCTCCTCCGTTTTCCTCCTTTGTCTCTCTTTCACATCCTGTCTCTTCTACTCTGCCGGGGTTCTCAGAATAGCAGCATTGAGCGATGCACTCTGATTCATTTAGGCTTGCAATATTGATTGGATTATTATAGTGCATCTCCACTGTGAGAGAACCAGTAAATAATGTACACTTTCAGAGGTGCTGACTGCATCTAAAAACAAATCTGACAACCTGATACGGAAATCAATGAGGAGTGGTGACTCTGCTCAGACTGGAGCTGGTAGAAGAAGAAGAAGAAGAATGACCTTTGTTATTCGTCCTCCACCACCCGCTGTGGAGGGGTAGATGCGTTTTATTCATGGCTTCATGCAGGCTGAGATTGATGGCCTCTACACTGTTGGAATCAAACTGATCAGCTTGATGAGCTAATCTTGCAAAGAAACCCCATTCAGTTTGATGAATGTAGAGGCGCTTCAAACTATATTGATCAGACTTTGTTGGAAAGTGCCCCAAAATACATCAACAACTCTTTCCACTCAGCAGGTAAGCACTAGGAGTGGGAGAAAAAATCGATACAGCATAGTATTGCAATATTTTGGCCATTGATATATCGTATCATCTCATTTTTTAAGTATCTATTATCCAAATGAATTGCTAATGTGAAGTCGAATCTATGATAATTGAAAACTAAAATCAACTGTTTGTCAATTGGGGTTAGCAGAGGTAACAAATATTTATATATGCTTTGTAAGATGTGCTACATGAACATAAAATACAGTGTAAATGAGACAAACATAAAGGAAAGCCAAATGCTAAATCAGCTAAACAGTTAAAAAAATCGTATAAATCGCGATATATTGTATCGCAATACTCACTCTATTGCAAAATGTTAAAAATCGCAATATTATTGTACGGTGGCCAAAGTATAGTGATGTTATCATATGGTGGCCCAAGTATTGTGATATAATTGTATGGTGGCCCAAGTATCGTGATATTATTGTATCATGGCCCAAGTATTGTGATATTATTGTATCGTGGCTCAAGTATCGTGACGTTACCATATTGTGGCCCAAATATCATGATGCTATTGTATCGTGGCCCAACTATCGTGATATTATCATATTGTGGACCAAGTATCGTGACATTATCGTACCGCGCACCAAGTATTGTGATATTATCATATCGTGGCCAAATTATCACGACATTATCTTATCGTGGCCCAATTATTGTGATAATATCATTTCATGGGGCCACTAGTGATTCCCACCCATTAGTAAGCACTATCCTGAGGATGGCTGCTCACACTTCTTATCTGTTGTTGATTCCCAGGATCGAGCCTATGAAATAGTGGAGGACATGGAGGCCAATAAAATGCGCAAGATGAAGAAGCGGATCTGCCTGGTGCTGGACTGCCTGTGCGCTCACGACTTCAGCGATAAGACGGCGGATCTAATAAACCTTCAGCATTACGTCATCAAGGAAAAGAGGCTGAGCGAGCGCGAGGCCATCGTCATCTTCTATGATGTGGTGCGGGTGGTGGAGGCCCTTCATAAGGTGAGTCGACGAGAAAACTGAAATTTGCTAGAAATCATCCGAAACGGCCTTTTCCTCAGAGGAATCGAGGATATTTTTCTCACACCACCTAAACCATACAAACAACAGAACCTCTGCCAGCGCTTCATTTCCATTTAAGGGAGTGCTTATTCCATCCTCAGCTCTCTGTGTTTGTGTTGTGGGGCCAATGTTCCTCCACAACTTACACACACAGTCATGTCAAATTCAACGCTTACTGCTACATTAATACAAGAGCTGTGTCCAGTTTGTTTCTGTGAGTCAGGACAACACAGCCTGGCGTTTTAATCTTTCAAGAAACGATTAAGATAATAGCTCTGTGTTGTCCTAAATTGATTTCCAGTATTTTCTCTCTTTATGTTGACAACCTCTGATTGATTAAGGAGAATATGAAGATGAAACTGAGTTTAAAAAAAATCAATCTGGGGACAGTTTTAATCAGTTTTTTACAGCCCAAAAGGTTTTCTTGGTTTTTCAAGTTTGGCCGCAGCGTTGTTTTTGTCAACCGAGGGAAAATAGCCTTGTTATTGTTATCCTGTTGCACATCCTCTCTGGTTACTCATCTTCCATGCTTGTGTGCCACTCCAAGAAAACAAACTGATTGTTATGATACCAGTGATTCACAAAGTACAATTTATCCAAACATCTTTCTCCTCGCTTCCCTCCCTTGCAGAAAAACATCGTACACAGAGACCTCAAGCTGGGAAACATGGTGCTGAACAAACGGTAAGCGCAGCTTCCAGTCAGTCACTCAGCCTTGTCAATCAGTTATCCAGCCAGTAACCCCTCCTGTTACGCCCGGTCAGTCATTTTAGCATTCTAGTAAGTCATCCCGTCCCTGCTCACGTGTATGAGGGGCCTCATCCGGCCCCAGCAGCCTGTATCCCATGTTCATTTGGCTTCAAACCCGAGCAGGGGTCACATTCTCAGACTAAGAGAGAGATCAGTTGTAAGAACCTAAAGCCTCACTCCCTTGTGGCTGACTATGAGTTGGTGTCTGTGCATCGAGTAAAGCCCGATGATTCAGTCCCCATGCTTGGGTTTTTTTTTCAAAGCAGATAAGTGGACTCTGGTGGAGAAATAAGCGACTGCTTTGTTCCCGGTGTGAGAGTTTTTGAGGTGGGTGCGCCCTAGCAATTTTCTAGAGCAGGGAGGGTGATGGTAAGGGCATCTCAGGTCAGTCAGATGGACCCTGCAGGATTGAAAAGTCCTCATCTGTAAAGTCCCCACCAAACACTATGCATAGAGAGCATATTGTCACTGTCCAATAAAAAACATGTATCTCCAAAACAGTTTTATTCATAAACTACCTTACAGAATAAACCCAAAACACTGTAATTAGACACAATCAGGACCTGAAATCAAAATCTATTTACACAGTCATCAGTGACCTGTTTGATATTTTAAACGGACCTACGTGCTTTACATTGTGAGTGATAGTGGACGTATGTGTTGTTTTAATAACGCTCCAATGACTTTAAGTTGATTTACGAGCTCCGAGTATCCTGTTTATGTCCCACTATGTTGATAAAATATTGAACATTTCCATAAAGCACATTGGTTGTCAACCTTTTTGAGTCGCAACTCCCTATTTAACATACACTAGTGTCCGCGACCGAGTGTTAGGGAAAACAGCAGCAGATTTGCCTTTGGGGATGAACTTAAGCTCAAGAAATCTAACGTACAGGTCATGGTTAGAAAAAAGTTTGAGGTCGGCATCAGTCGATGTGAGGACATTAGTGTAGCATTACCCTGGACTGTAGTGAGTCTGTCACAGTGTAAAGTCTGTTTGCTGACATGACAACGCAGGGCCAAGGCGGGAGATACATACTTTGCTGACACTTCCGACACCCAGTGGAGATACTTGTTGAAAAGATGATGTTATAAAATGTCTTTCCATGAGTCATTTTGATACCCAAAGCTGCAGATTGTTAGGGAAGATTATGGACCATGCATGTATTGAAAAAAGTGGAGAGTCGCTTTTTTTCATCAGACAGCAACGATATGAGGGATTGTCTGAGCGTCTCACTGCATGGACTCTGCTTCTTCGGCCGCTTTTTGCTTTTTAATCCGAGTTTCGCCAAGTTTAGATGAGTCAGCCGGGTCTTGCATTAACCTATGCAGGGTTGCCTCTGCATGCACATTCTTGGAGACTCTGATAATCATCCTACAAAGCAGGTCTCCTCATTTAGAAGAACATGACTAACACCAACACACACGCACGCTATTCCCACACTCGCTTGTACACACCCTCATACTGATACATCGATCTTGCGTCACGCACAGCTGAGAGTATTCATAGCCTTAACTCACACTTTTCTCGGTCACTTCACGTGCATTCTCTGCGTGTCTGAGTACGCGTATTGACATGTCACATGTCTGGCTTATCTTTTGTACACATACACATCCCAGACATCAGAGCCTGTTGCGTGTTGCCTGCACCGGCAGAAGCAGCAGCAGCAGAAGCAGCGGCGGCGGCGGTGTTGATGATGAAACAGGAGAGTGTTTTGGCCAGAGGAGGAGGGTAGCTGGGCGAGGAGCAGACGAGTGGAACACTCAGTCCCAGCTGGAGACAAAGGAGAGGCCTGCCAAGGGCCCAATAGCTCAGAGCTGACTCACACCGCAGTGCACGTCACACACACACACACACACACACACATACACATGCACTCATATAGTCATCATTATTTTGACTTCAACTCTGATTTTTCCCTGTTTTCTTTTACAACCCAATCCCTTTCCTGCTTCACTTGTCTTTTGTTTCGTCCACTTAATCATATCCTCTCTCCTGATTTTCACTTTTCCTGTGTCCTTTATGCATCATACTTTTTTGCTTGCTTGCATATTTCCTCTCTCGCTCCACCCTGTACGTGTGCAGTCACTATGGGAAGGATGTGCTCGTTTTAGATGCAAATAGTCCCGAAACCCCCCCCCCCCTCTACCTCCCCTGCTTCTCGGCGTCACGGTGGGAAATGCACCGAAAGCCATCAACAAGCTCAGCAGTTTGTGCAAGAATGATGCGATTTCCTCTTGCAGAGCCAGCTGTTATGAAAGCAGGATGTCATAAATCAATCTGCAGGGTCGTTGACTTCCGAAAGCTTCAAAAATGTACCTCTTACATCGACACAGACGCACCACAGCGAGGTGTCTATTCTTGTCTCGTCAAGATTTCTTGACCCCGGGTGGTTCCTGTCCGTGACATTTTAAAGTCTGCACCAAAGTTTGATCAAGTGGAGCACCAGTCAAAATTCAATCACATAAAATAAGCACAAAAACTCTTTCAGCAGATGAGATTTCCCCCTAGTAAAGTTCTCCAAATCAATGGTTCTGAGAAGTTAAATTTGCAGGCTTCTGCGGAAGCTGCCCTGTGTTTAACCTCCTTTCTCGTCAGCTGGGTGTATTTTCAGCAAAACGACGCAGGCAGGGCGGAGAAGTCCCAGGGGCTGTTTGGGTTTCTGGTTTCCTGACTTACCCCAGGGTCATGTGACCAGGAAGCGAAGAGACGGTGCAGTCTCTTTTCAGCCCTCAGGGACCCTTGCCTCACGAGGCAAACATGCAATTTCATTTACCCAATCTCCGGCGCAAGAATAGAAGCCCGGGTCGTGACGCGCCCAGACAAAAGGACAGACTCATCTGTGAAGGAAGCTTTTATGTCGAGGGTCCTTGAAGCATCGCGCTCTGTTCCTGTAGCCCATCCTTACGCAGATCACAAGGCCACTGCGTGCTTTAGAGAGACTCGGATCACAAAAGAGGGTGAAGGGTTGGATCACAGAAGAAGCAGGAAATTATGTGAACTGAATGTTCTCGGGGAAGATCAAGACTGGAGTGTTTGGATGAAAATTGAGTGTTTGACAGGAATTGGCTCGAGAGGATGTAACAGGAGCAGCGTGTGTGTGTGTGTGTGTGTGTGTGTGTGTGTGTGTGTGTGTGTGTGTGTGCATGTGTGTGTGAGTGTGTGTGATGGAGCAGGGTGTGAAAGTGAGAGAGAATAGGGGAAGCTGTTGACCTCAGGCTTTTAGAAAGCGGATGTGGGTGAGAAGCGTGATCCAGAGCGGACCCAGGCTCTAGACCATGGTCATGTGCTTTAGTGTGTATCCCAGCGTGTGTGTGTGTGTGTGTGTGCACGCTCGCCATGGGACTGATCGTGTGGGCGCAGTTGAAGTTGCGTGTTTGTGTACATATTTGAAATCTTCGTGAGCTCCATATATCGGTTTGCCAGCCCATCGCCATGCAGGCTGAGTCATCGAGTCAATTATCCCAAACCACAGGTTGAGTCATATGTTTGTCAAAGTGCAGCGTGTTTTTTTTTTTTTTTTTATTGAACACAGATACAAAGCAGTCCAAAGTCCTCTCAGCTTTAATACTGTTAGTTTCACTCGATCACAAGTTCACTGGATTTACCTTAATGACTCAGAGACAAAATCCTCACAGTGTTTCCACAGAAACCAAACGAAATCAAACTTTGCAAACTTAAAGCTCGGGGTTGTCCTTTTTCTTTTGAAATGTTTCAAGTTTAATGTCGAAAGACGGCCATCAGCTGCAGCAGAAATGATGAGGATAGTGCACTTACTGTTTTAAAGAGGGAATTTCTCATGTGGAGAAAATCGCCCCTGATTCAGGATACTAAAGAGTTCAGAAACTGGTGGACAGTTTAAAGGTCTTAAAAGCAGCGTGAGGAATTTAAGTGACTTTAAGATCTGATCGAAAATTCTGGCAAACATGTTTTGAAATGAAAATTCTCAGTTTGCAACAGAGAGGAAGAGTCAAATCATGAACAGAGAGGAGTCTATGAAAGATTTTCTACAGACAGAGATACTTCTCAACATTTTTAAGACCCCGATCGGAAAATGATTCAGAATCATGTGGCGTGACTGCGAGTATAAACCAGAAGGGAGACTTTCTTCTTCTTCTTCTGCAGCGACAGGCTGTGCATACCCCGCTCCGCACCAGGCAGTCCTATGATACTGATGTATTTTCGAAGCCCAGTGAAGCGAGAGATTATTAAAACAACTACACATGCTAGCAAGTTCTCCCTGCTTCTGTCAGCCTGTGTTTCCTTCATGATTCGGGACAGGCAGGGGTTTTGAACTGACTTTTAATATGCATTTGCCATCATTTACTATCTGATACTGACTCAGAAATGTACGTTTTAAAAGGTACTTATCAAGCGTGCTGATAATTTATTATTATAATATATAATTTTATGTGTTTGCAGAACTCACCGAATCACTATCACCAACTTCTGCCTGGGAAAGCACCTGGTGAGTGAGGATGACCTGCTCAAAGACCAGAGAGGAAGTCCAGCCTACATCAGCCCCGATGTTTTAAGCGGTGAGTAAAATAAAAAAGCAGATAATTCACCTGCTTCAGACAGTCTGAACGTCAAACTGTGTGCTTTTCAGACTTGTGAGGAAAGTGCTGAAAAGAAGTGACAGACATCCACGGTGGGTCATCGCCACACCGCTTTTGTCACTTTCAAAAACTGTCAATCCAACAGTCACACCTGTTTTTTTTTCTGTGACCTATCTTGCACGGACAGGTGTGAAAACCTTCCTTGTTGCCCTAGATTTGCCACCATCTTCCATGAGAGGATGTGAAAAATGCTTCAAAGAGTCATACCTGCAAATTAAACACATAGGTTTGGTATTTTGTGGTGAAAAACACGATAATTCTGGTAAAAAAGAGAAGGCGTTGTTGATCTGAGTTCATATTAGATCCTGGGATTCTTCCAAAAAGAATTGCAGAGCAGCAATTAGTAAGTCTCGTGTTTTTATTTTCCGGTTATTAGGCAAAAGGAAAGAAGTTATGTTGCAATATCGGGCTGCCAAACACGAGGAATAGCTTATTTTGAGTAATCACAGTGATTTTGCATTTTCTCTAAGTATGGTCTGCAGAGGAAGCTGCTTTTGGCTTCGACAAGCACATTTTTTTTCTTTGTCTGAAAAAAGAAAGCAGAAATTCATTAATTTTGTCGAGCTTCACTGCATCTGTGGTCTGTTCACGACTCCATCCCAGAACACGGCCTCAAAAAACACGTCAAAGAAGACGAAGAGGAATCCTTCAGAACAGGATTTGTTCACTTCCAAACGCTGCTGCTGTAAATAAAACGCGGGTGTGTATATCAGCATAACGTGACAGGCGCACAATTAAACAGAGCTTCAGTGACTCACACACTGATGACTCACTGTAGGGAAACTACTCCCATCAACCCCCATCCCCTCCCGTTCCCATCCCCCGCCTCTGTGTGTGTGAGTGTGTGTGTGTGTGTGTGTGTGAGAGAGAGAGAGAAGCTTTAACATAATTGCTTGCTGCTGTTACTACCGCCTGCCTGACTGTAATAACACCGCCTTTGGTCATGCAGAGCCGTGAAGCTCCACCCTCCCAAGTGTCGGTTTATTCATCAAAGATCCGCGGCTGCATTAATGGATTAGGAACCTTTTCTTAAAGTCGGTATTGTGCTGGGAATTCCTAGGACATCTCATGAATGCGAAGTCATCACCTCTGTTTGTTTTTTTGCTCATTTCGTTAACCATTAGACCTTGAAGAGCGACTTGAAATAAGCCGAGGGCTTGAATCACCACTGAGTCACCACAGGACAGAGCAGGGCAGCATTTCAGCCGTCACATGCTGATTGCTAACTAGAGGACTTAACCTATCTTTGAAGAATCAAACACACTCAGAAACCAAACCAGGTTTGGCTTCACACACTGACCCCGATACCCTCTCCTCTGTGTCTCCAGGCCGGCCGTATCGTGGCAAACCCAGCGATATGTGGGCGCTCGGTGTGGTCCTGTTCACCATGCTGTATGGCCAGTTCCCTTTCTATGACAGCATACCTCAAGAGCTCTTCAGGAAGATCAAGGCTGCAGAGTACTCCATCCCAGAGTGAGTGCTCGTCCTGTGCATCATTTGATTCATCGTAACAGATGTTGGATTTTCCTCTGTCACAAAATATTGTTTTTTTATTTGCTTATTTGCATCTATGATCCTGTATCAAGACGCTATTTTGAAGAATGGTTATAAAAATTCAGTACACATCAGCAGCTTTGTTGAAGGAGTAAATAAAACCGCCTGTTTTCATCACAGGGACGGACGTGTGTCTGAAAGTACCGTCTGCCTGATCCGAAAGCTGCTGGTGTTGGACCCTCAGCAGAGGCTCACAGCAGGAGAGGTGCTGGAGTCTCTCAGCGCCATCATTGCCTCATGGTAACTGCTCCCCCTTCTGGATGTTTGCAGTGTTACAATTTGATTTCTCTATTTCTGGCAGAACTTGACTTTAAAAATCAACATATAACCACAAAAAAATCTGCCATTAATTATCAATCAATCAAATTTTATTTATATAGCGTCAATTCACAACAGTCGTTATCCCAAGACGCTTTCCAAGGAAAAAGAGCAGGTCTAGACCACGCTCACTATCTGAACTATCAAGACCATACCTTCAGATGGGACAGATTTGACCCTGAGTGATAGTGGCAAGGAACAAAATTCCCTTTTAACAGGCAGAAACCTTGGGCAAGACCAGACTCAAAACAACATATAAACACTGACTTCCTATATAGTTGGTTTCTGCTGTGCTGAATTGCACACCCTGCTTCGAACTTCAATCAATCAGTCAATCAATCAACTTCATTTCTATAGCACATTTAAAAGAACCATGGGGTAGCCAAAGTGCTGTTCACTGCGACATAAAAACAAATAAAACAAGCAAAGAACAAGATAGAGCGAGCAAAAATACATAAATGTAATAAGAAAATAAATATATAAATAAGCAGGCTCACGGCAAGTGCTAAGATGATAGCAAACAAAATAACACTAAAATGTATGAAAAGCCAAGGAATAAAAGTGCGTTTTTAAAAGGGATTTAAAAACAGAAAACAAGGAGGCCTGTCTAATTCTCAAGGGCAACTCGTTCCAGAGCTTGGGAGCAGCTGCGGCAAATGCTCCGTCACCCCTGAGCTTCAGCCTTGTATTTGGGACCATCAGTAACAGCTGATCAGCTGATCTTAGGGGTCGGGGTGGGCAGTAAGGCTGGAGCATCTGGGAAATGTAAGGTGGAGCCAGATTGTTCAGGCCTTTAAAAACAAATATTAAAAGCTTAAAATTAATTCTGTTCTGTACAGGGAGCCAGTGTAGGAAAATAACTTATCTACTTATTTTGCTTATTTCAGATTGTTTAAGATTTCTATGTTTAATTCTTGTTGTCTTTTCTCATTCACAGGCAGTCGGTTTCATCATTGAGTGGCCCTCTGCAGGTGGTCCCCGATATTGATGATCAGGTCAATCACCCAGAACATCTGCAAGAGGTATTCATCATTTCTGCCACGATGTCTCAAATACTTATTTCTCTATTGCTGCGGCGCTCTGATCTGAGTACATTTCCCCTCCTGCAGGCGAAGGTAACAGAGGAGTCTTCGCAGTACGAGTTTGAGAACTACATGCGCCAGCAGCTGCTGTTGGCCGAAGAGAAGAACACTATCCATGAGGCCAAGAGCTTTCTCACCAAGCGCCAGTTTGGCAGCATCCCACCTGTAAGGCGCCTCGGCCACGACGCCCAGCCTGTCAGCCCGCTCGATGCTGCCATCTTGGCACAACGTTTCCTCCGGAAGTAGTCCACAACCGCCCGTCTCAGCCTCTCTGACCTCCGCGGGGTTATCATGGTGGTGTCCAGAGAGGACTGAGGAGGATCAGCCCCCTGAAACTGAACTCGCATACAGGAGGCCAAGCCTGACACGAGGGTACAGATGGCTCCATTTGCAGGGGGGCTTTGGGTGAGCGAGGTTGAGCCTGCATGAGGAGGGACCAGAACAAACTGCTGATTCAGAACTCCCCTCCTCATGGCCAGATCCTCCCATTAACATGAAAAGTTCTGGATGAAGATCTGAACCAAAGGTTTCCTCACCCTCAGTCAGATCTCACTGTGCAACCAGCCTGATGGCTCAGTCCCACGCGGGGCGAACACACGGCCACGCCCAGATTGTTGAAGAGACGATCCTCCTTATTTTGGATATCCCTGCTGTAGACTCTCCCCCCAACAAACTCTGGATCTCCTGAGCAATACAGGACCAGAAACATGTAGCAACCCCTTCTCTTCCCAGTGTTTAATGGTATTGCCTCAAGTCAGATCACCTGATCACAGATGTCACTTCTCTATACCTCCATATCCACCTTCCTCCTCCCCCTCTTCCTCTCTGCTGTTCTCCTGTATCAACAATGATCCAGACTGGTCCTGTCTGTAACTCTGACTTCAAATCAATCTACCTCTCTGTCTCTCTTCTCTGTTGGTAAACCATGCTCACTGTTCTGAGACAAGGGATTGTAACAATGGAGTCTTGATGCCACCAGTGACATAAAGCATTAATGTTTTCTGTCAGCGTGATAATGCTTTGAAACCCTTTTAGCGGTTTCAAACGAATCTGAATAAGCTTTTTATCATAATTACCTTAACAAGTAGCATTTTTTCTCCCTTCCTTTGGATTGAATATTCTGGATATCAAAGTTTGCAAACATGCGTCCCTTTGATATTTCCAGAATGCATCGTCTCCTTGCTTTCGCTCATCCCTGTGGAAACTATTTTTAGCATCTAGGCAGCTAGTGTGAGGTACCTGGAAGTCACAATGCCAAGAACTGAATGGGAGACACTGTTGGATCCTCCCTGCCAAGGCATATTGATGGTAACGCTTCCTCAGTGCCATTATAGTGACGATCAGGCACTGCTGTGTTTTTATTGCCAAAAATAATGTCTTAAATTTACTCTTAGCCAAGGAAACTGGTACCCACAGCCTCATTCAGAATCAAACGGCTTCCAGGTATTCCAACTTCCCTGTTTCTCTTTATCAACACAGATCATGGGACAAGTGTATTTCAGTATGAATGTGAACTTTCATCCTACGCTTGATTCACCTGCAGTATCCATGAGAGAGAGCGTGTGTGAGTATGAGTGTGTGTATGTGTGTGTGATTGTTTGTTTGTTTTTCGGGCCAGGCAAACGTAAGAGTCGGCAGAGCTGTGGAGCTGATCACCTCTGACAGTCCCAGACTCTTTAAGCTATCCTCCAATCATTGTGTTCTGTTTATGTGGCCCCGCATCAGTGCAGACACTGTGAAAAAAAAAAAAAAAAACTTTGAACAGGCTTTGCTAAGACAGGGCTTGACTGAATGTTTTAGCGGATTTTTTTCATGAATGCTTTTTATAGAGTAGGATATATCACATATCTATTGCCGTTCTCAAGCCCATCTCTAGCTCAGCTTGTACATGCTCGTGTTATCTTAACCACGTAGGCTCTGTCCACATAGAGACTAACTGGTTGCTGGTAACGTGTAATACTGTAATATTTCAGAGGCGAAATGGAAACACAGACTCAAAGGTTTTCAGTTTTAGTTGCTTGGTCTTTTAGGCTGAGGATGCATACTTTCTCTTTTACTCAAAGGGTTTCTTTAAAACCATGGCAAAGCTACTAACCAGTGACTGTTAAGCATCTGTACACTGCTACCTGCCTTTGCTTCTTGGTACCTGCTTTAGGCTATCTAGACTTCTTCCTATTTATATTCAAACTGACTGCATGAACATAGGCTCAGTCGTTTTTTTTTTTTTTTCAAAGTCTTTTTTTCTTCTTGTAATTTCATGTTGATTTATTTATTCACTTGTGTAGCCACCCCCTCTCCCCAATCACCCAAACCCTGAACCCACCGGGGCTTTTTTCACAGACAGACATTTCCTTTGAATTGGAAATATCTTCTAAGAATAGCTGGACTTAATGTCGCTGAAACAAACCCCGGTTCTCCGCTCGCTCAGCTTTAAGAAGTGTTGTCACCTTCAGCAGTGGTTCTCATTTTGTTCCTCTTCTGTCGTTTCCTTCAAGGGTAGCATCTCTCTCTCATTTGTGTTTTTCGTTTTTTTTTTATTCTTTAATCATTTTTCTTGCCATTTTTCGCCACAAACTCTGTGGTCAATTTAAGCTACACTAATAAACAAGACTGACTATTGCATAGTTATATTTTTTACACAAACAAAATTATACTCGTGCATCATCTTCATTTTCCAGGAGGGGTTTTTTTGTTGTGTATTTTGGTTTTTCTATCATTAAACCCCCTCAACAATCCCTGCACAAGGCTGCACTCTCTGGTCAGTATGTAAATATGTACCATCATGACTGCACCAGTTGTATCGTATGTAGTTCCACCCAGTTAGATACCAACTCTGTTTCAGCACATGCCGATTGACGTGCATTATGGGCCACGTTGGCCGTCCACCACCACCACACCGCCACACCCAGACGCTAAAATAATCTGCAATGAGAGCTGTGAGCTTTCTCCCACTTCAATGTGAATTTCATGGGTGAACAGCAGTATTGTAGTAGTCTAGATTATTATTCTGAAGAGGGTGTTTCACCAACACCGTAGCCATCGCTGTAAGCTGACGTCACGTGATCGTCTTAGACCATCCTCATGACACCGAAACTCCAGATCAGCAACTACAAGCTCAACAAATTCTTGATGTAAATGTTTTGTTTTTGTTTTCCCCCCCAGACTCAAAAAGTGTTTCACCTGTTAGCTAGTGGATTGTACCACGTTTAATGTTTGTTTCACACAGCTGTGTTGGTAGACTGCAATGTGGACTGAAAAAGCATGGAAGTAGTGTGAGGTTAAACTGTGTAAAACATGTGACTGTTGCATGATTTTAAAACTTGCGAGGTGTGCCAACTGATAGAGAGTTTGAAGATGAGTTATTCCTTTGGGTCCTAACGGGAAAGACGAAGCAAATCGACTAAATTGGATTAAGCTGTTTAAGACTTTAATGTTTTCAGATTTTCAGTTTTGATGATTCTCCCCACCTTCTAAAGTCCGAAGTCTTCAGTATGATGAATATATTGCAGACTGTTTCAACTGGAAACTTGGTGTAGGATTTGATATGTGGTGCAGTTCAAACCCAATGGGATAATGTGTTGTAAGCTGCTTGGTCGACATGGGTATCTAGATACAGAAAACTGCGTAATTGTACAGATGAGAAACACGTTTGTATAAAAAACATATTTTTCTACTTCATCAGATCTCTACATGCATGTCAGCAATAAACTTTGATATGGAAACATTCACCTTTGTCATGTCTTTGTCTTCACTTTAGTCAGTAGAGGGAGCACTTTCTCCAAAAATAGACCCTCAGAGGGAGCTTGGAGTTTGACTTCAGCTCATGTAGAACATTTGACTGAATGTTCCTCTTTGTGTTCATCCACAAATTTCTCTGCCAGATGTGGATAATACATCTCACAGAAAATGTTCAGGCGTACAGTGCCAGCCATCTGTGCGTGCTTTTAAACGATGTGGTCTCAGGTTCTGAAGGCGAGACTTGTCTGAAGAATGACATGAATATAGAATAATTGAGCCTCTGTGCGTCGAAACCACTTCAGTCTTGCGGCGAGTCTGGTTCTGGAGTAGACGTGCTCGTACAGGAAGCCTCCTGCTGATTCTGACAGCACCGGGAGACCGTGTGGGCTGCTCTGCTGATCCCCCCGACTCACCTCGGGTCTTTGAACGCACACGCACCCTCCTGAGCGGGGCATTAATTTCATTAAAAACATGTCATACCTGCCAGAAAATCCACACAGAGAGGCACATGGAAACCTCATCATAGGCTGCCCTGAGAGACACGCTGAACTGAGTCTGTGATAATGTGACTGCAGTATATGACATTTCACACCCCACTGAAACAAACCTACATGTAATGTGTGGATCTTGTTCCACTAGTGAAGCTTAAAGGGATATTCCGGCGTAAAATTAATTTAGGGTCAAACACACCGTAACACCAAGTTAGACACCGCGTTGGAAGATGAATGTTGCCGACCGCTTCCTTCTCTAGTTATACCAACTTAAGTAACAACCGCAGGATAGCGATACACAGCGGTCTAAGGAGCCATAAACAAACCTCAACCAAAATGCCACTCTATAGGCCCAAATAATGCTCAGAACAGCACCTAACTTCATCAACAGTACATATAGGGTCCAAGCCATAGTACTAGCCACCAAACATCTTTTTAACTTTGCCTGATTTCTTCAGCAAAGAGACTAAACAAAACTCACCTACTCTCTTCCAGCAGCCGCTTGTTTGTAGCAAGACCTCAGGTGAGTCCATTACGGACTGCTGTGGGGTGACGCAGCTCAAGGAAGAACATTTATGATCATTTCTTAATGGAAATGCAATCAGACCGAGACGCTAAGGCAGAAGGACTACAGTATTGTGTCTGCAGAGCAAAATGATTAATATGGTGATTATTACTTAAAAATGATAAAGAAGTTATCGTAAATGTTCTTCCTTGAGCTGCATAACCCCAGGACTTGCTACAAACAAGCGGCTGCTGGAAGAGAGTAGGTGAGTTGTGTTTAGTCTCTTTCCTAAAGAAGTTAGGCAAAGTTAAAAAGATGTTTGGTGGCTAGTGCTGTGGCCAGGATCCTGTTGCTAGGTGCTGTTCTGAGCAATATTTGTTGTTATAGAGTGGCATTTTGGTTGAGGTTTGTTTATGGCTCCTCAGACTGCTGCGTATTGCTATAGTGTGGTTGTTACTGATGTTGGTATAACTAGAGAAGCAAGCTGTCGGCAACATTCATCTCCCAAGGGGGGTGTCTAACTGGGTCTTATGGTGTGTTTGACCCTAGATTAATTTTACGCCGGAATATCCCTTTAAGGGGTGAAAATGGCGCGAAATGAACAAATGAGGAGAGCAGACCTGTGACCTCTAATCAGTTTCAATCAATAAAGAACTACCAAAGACCAAAAATCTGTGCTTACTCACTCAAAAGAAGAATAACACAGCTCTGGGTAACATTTCCCACCCATTCAAGGGTTCATCTCCACTGGGTCCCCCCCCCAGGATCATTAAACCCCTCTCCCATCGTGTCAAGCTGGGCGGGAAGTCTCAGGGGTCAAAGTTGCTCCGTCCCCACAAAGTAGAACCAGCTGGACTCGAGGAGGTCCATCCTGAAAAAAAAAAAAGAAAGAATATTCATTTATGGCGACGTCAGACAACAGCTATGCTCTTGCATAATTACCTCAGAGAGTATTACAGAGTCGGTTTCACTGGGGAAACGCCGGCAAAATCCAGCTGGACGGGGTTGACAAAGGATAAACAGAGACACACATTTCCAGATGTGTGTATGCAGCGGTATTGTCACAGCGGTGTTACTGGTAGCTGTATAGTCAATGATTAAAATGTATTAGGAGTAATTGATTCATATGCACAGCTGCCTCTGCTTTGTGGTTATTAATGTGTGTTTATGTCTGTCAGAGTGTGCGAATGTATCTCCAGCTGTGTCCGGCGTGCTCTGGCTTTATGGCCTCCCCTGACAAAAACACGAAAAACCAACCACGAGAAAAAAACAAAATAATGGTTACAGCATTGAGTAAGAGATATAAAGCTCTCACAGCTGTTTAAAGAAGAGGGATGCTGAAACTAGATGATCCCAGAGTCAAAGGGTTCAACACTGAATTTCATGTTATTGTGGTTCACTGCTGATGGAGAGTCCACCTCTGGACCTTTAAAGTTTAATGCATTTACAGTTCATGTCTCCTCTTATTAACAAATCTTAATCTGTGAGTCTTTTTGAAGAGGCTGGAGACCAAACAAGTATTTCCATTTGTGTTTTGTTGATACCTAAAGACTCATAAAGCAGAAGAGAAGATGAGATTAGCAGCGTTTTGATATGAACTCACAGACCTGCTCCACAAAAAGATCACTTCTCCTGGCGAGCTTTCATGGCCACAGCACGGAGGGAAAACATCTGCGAAAGGTCTTTATTCCCCCATTTTCAGGTAACTGGTCTTTACTTGAGATGATAAAACAGAAAATCTTAAAAAGACATGCAAATCACAGCTTAATAACTGAGTGATTCAGATTAAGTGTCTTTGTTTGATTTTCTTTTTACTTCAGGTTATTTCGGTCGTATCCTGCCATCTTCCTTTAAACTTCCTCTAAGTTTCCAACAGTAAAAGTCTGTTTACATGTCACTCTACATGTCAGGCCGTAAAAACCGAAGATAACAAACCCGCCGCTCCTCATATTCCTCCCACATTAAAGAGTAAAGCCGAGCTCAGTAACAGACTCTTACTGGGTGTTAAACTGGAGCCAGCAGAGGCAAAGACTTTGTTGTGGCGCTGAAAATACGGCGCGGCGGCGTGATCACATAACTGCACAAAGTGTTTGCTGGTTTCTCCTGTGATGAACTCCTTGTAGCGTTAACTCAAAAAACACATCACAGGATGTGAAGAGGAGATCAACAGTTTCTCTTTTGTAAGAGATAAAAAGTTGAGAAAGATGATTTTTCACTTTCTTGTCAGAGGACTTAAGCATGGGCAGGAAAGGAGGCTAACAGCTTAGTTAATATGAAGAGCTATAGCGTGTTTGTTTGCTATTAAAGGGATATTCCGGCGTAAAACTAAGTTAGGGTCAAACACACCATTACACCAAGTTAGACACCCTGTCGAGAGATGAATGTTGCTGACCGCTTGCTTCTCTATTTAAACCAGCTTAAGTAACGACCGCAGGATAGCGATATAGAGTGGTCTGAGGAGCCATAAACTAACCTCAACCAAAACGCCACTCTATAGCCACAAATAATGCTCAGAACAGCACCTAACTTCATCAACAGTATGATCATAAATGTTCTTCCTTGAGCTGTGTCACCCCGCAGTAGTCTGTAATGGACTGGCCCGAGGTCTCGCTAAAACAAGCGGCTGCTGGAAGAGAGTAGGTGAGTTGTGTTTAGTCTCTTTGCTAAAGAAATTAGGCAAAGTTAAAAAGATGTTTGGAGGCTAGTGCTATTTTACGCCGGAATATCCCTTTAAATGTGGGTATATATAATTAAAAGGCCTTGTGCAGACCTGGAGGATGACCCCTCTAACTCATCTGAAATTGATCACAGTGCAGCAGGAGATTGTTTACAGCTGTTTTGTGTCACCCTGTGACCTGGTCCCGTGTCTGCGACAGAATGAAACGCCTCTGGTTCTTCTCTAGTTCAGGGTGACATCCTGGGATATTGGTTACTCTGATCATCAGTCTTCTTCAGCATGAGTGTTGCTCACAGATGTGCAGCAGGAATGCTCCGTCAGGTCAGTGCATATTTTACCTACACATGGCTTTATTTGGTGTTGAGGAACGGTGTGCTCTTGTATAAATCTCATCAGGGAGACAGTGAGGAGACACAGTCCAGCTGATGGAGGAGAAGGAATATTATCTCGAAATTCTTCCACTGCACAAATGCACGTCCCTCTTTCACCATCCCCCCTCTTTAATCTGCTCATCTGGTCCATCAGAGACTCACTGGGAAATCCAAAATGGCACAAGAATGAGTGTGTCATTTTCAAACTGCCCGCTAACTCTGAACATCTGGCCGTGCATGAGGAGGGTGACAGAGTCAATGGGAGCCCTTGTCCCCCCCCTGTCAACACTGTGAGAACAGCCCGCCACAAGGTGAACAAGGAGGCGTGTGTGTGTGGACCAGCAGTGTTCAAACCGAAATGATATTTAACAGACAGAGTCCAGACTCCAAACTTTGTGGAAGGAGCTACTGTAATATGGATGTTATTTTTCCAATAAATCCATGAAATTAAGTATCAAAGGCGTCTATGTAGGGTGATAGTTAGTCCTTTATGTACTCTAGATCACATTCATCAGAATATGTATAAATAAGTCATTATTTCTTCTAACTTTAGGTAGGCTATTCCTTGTAGAGTTTTGTAGCTATGACTCTAATCAGATATCACATCCTGTTGTATGTTGTTGCACACTTTCCTCTCATCATTTTGCACCTCTTGACTTCCCCTTTGATTACATGCCCCGCCCTTATTGTTTTCACCTGTGTCTGATTAGACACACCTGTGTTTGATTACCCCTGATCAGTCTCTGTGCCCCATTTATTCCCTCTCTCCCTTTTTGGATGTTACTAGTGACTTTTTTATCTTTACTTTTTGGATTATTCTGTTCAACTTTGTTTAACTTTTGGATATTTTTAACCCACCTAAAGGTAGGCACATCATTACTTACTCTGGAGGTAAACAATGTCTAAATGGTTTTGCTAAGTGTGGTTAGCATTAGCAGAGCTAGCATCTTTAGTTTGCTGCCATTTTGCATGTTAGCTTCCACACTCCTGTGCTCTGGTTAAGAGGTTTCATGCCACTTTATCCAGACTCTCTAGACTTTTCTAAATTTAATACAGCCTGCACAACAAGATGCTACCAGTCTTCTGTGTTTGTTTACATCCAGGATAGCGGTTAGCTGTGCTGCAGCTTAGACACAACATATAACCAGGATTTCAGGCCTACAGTGACAAAGATGTTGGTAAGTGCTACTCTAATCAGCTGTTAGATATAAAGTTACTTCAAATGCAGAAGTGATAGTCATTTAGTTGTGTTCATAGAAGTGAGTCTCGTCTTTTTGGTTTTTTTGTGAAAGGTTGATGTGTTCGTTCTGTCTGCTTCTTGTGAATTAGTCTAAAATTTAGTATTGACTAATTTTGGGTGTATTTATTGCGACCACCTGCTTTGGAGATGGTGAATATTAAAAATAATCATTTTCTGTAACATAGGCTAGCTGAGTAATCTTGAAGCTTCTTGATAAAAGCCCAAAAGCTGAAACATGGTTTAAGTAATAAAAACACAAGTTGGCTGCATTTGTTGGTTTGTGATATAGAATCAGCACCTCCTACATATGAAACAAACATCGGTTTTCGCATCACATATTAGTCATATGGTCCTTTTGTCATTTCGCTGCCACTCTTTGGATTCACACTGTTTGAACATTCAAAAGTTTGCTCCAGTTTCAAGCCTAACCTCTCATAGTTGTAAGATAAACCGAGGGCGTCACACTTAATTTCCTCTTCTTGTGACTTTGACAGGTGGTGGTTGCAAAGAAAATATTTTATCTCTTAGATTGTTGCTTTTTAAAGTGATTTAAAATCACTTTATGGATACAACACTCAGTGTACGGCTGCAAAATTTCCTGCCAGCGAGGAAAAATGTGATTGCTTGATTAACAAAACTTTGTGTCTAAACTGATGAGATAGGGAGTCCTTTAACATTAAAATATCATGACCCCAACAGTGGAGAATAACAGATCAAGTCGTACATAATCTTTATGATGAAGATGTCTGAATTTTTATCAGAACAGGTCTCCAATTATGACCTCTAAAACCTTTTATTTAATGAGATGTAATATTATTTTGCTATGACAGCCTAATTTCTATGATAGCTCTGCTGCACGCCTTTCAAAATATAAATGAACAGAGCAAAGGTCCATGATGTCCAAATATATTCGTAGCACTCCCCCACAGGCTGGTCGTCAGCGCTGATTAAAACTCTTAAACAGCTGTCCGCTCTCAGCACACTCCGCAGACACAATTAAAACGACAGAAACTCTGCTGTGGAAAAACTCAGCCGTCTGTCCTCACTTCTCTTTTTCTCACCACGTTCCAGCTCACATCACTTTCTTTCTCAGACACACAGACATAAACAGAAGAGACAGGCGTTTTATTTTAACATATTATTTACTTTTCTCACTGCAGCTGCTGCTTCAAGTGCACAGAGTTCGACGATGGTATTTAAAGGGCTTCAGAGGGACATGGAGATCATACCGGTTATGGAACACATATCTTTGAAATTAACTTGTAACACGTTTCTCCTGCCTCTAGCATTAACCTCTGCAGAGAGACTCTAGGAATGTTGCTATGTCAGCACTTTAGCCATAGTGAAGACCACTGATTGTGAATAAAGACGGCTAACACATCTCTATTAAATGAAAACAAAGTACTGCATCTCCTTTAGGGTGGTACAATCGATAAACAAACTCACCTGTCTATTTGAAGCAGAGACTCATGGTTACATAAAGATCTCTTGGATTGGTGTTTGCCTTCTCTCACCTTCTTCCTCTACTTTTCTAATCTGGTTAAGAAAACTGCAGTAGAGAAACAGTCAGCAGGGCGAGCTTTCAAGCCGGGTTTCTGGTGTCATCGTGGTTTTCACTATTCGGTTCCTCAGTTTGGTTTTCAGTGTGTCCAGTTTTATTCTGTCATTTTGTTGTAGTTAATCCTTGTGCGCCAGGTTGAGATTTACTCCCTTGGTTTTTCCTCCTTTTTGGATTACTCACCTGTCTCACCTGTTGCCGGTTTCCCTGTTTATATGTAGTCCCTGTTTTACCCTTTTACCCGTCCTTCTTAGTTGGTTCATCGTCTATGTCTGACTTCTCCGTGGACCCACGTTTTGTTTGTTTGCTTTAAAAAATTTTTTTTTTACTGTTTTGGAGTTTTAAAGGTGTGGTTTTTTTTTTGGTCGTTTACCGTTTTGTTTATTAAATTACTTTTATTTTTCTGCCTTCGGGAAGAGCTGTGCAAACTACTTTTTATCAACTAACTTTCCTGAAACAACTTCAAAATAAAAGCACGAGTTGAAAACACAGGTAATCCCTGTTTCGTGTTGTACATTTAGTGTTGAGACATGAATATAGCTGATACAATTGCGAGGCAGCTCTTATCACACATTTTTTCTTTATATTTCATGCCGAACTTTACCAGACTAGACTGCTTGGTGGAAACACACTATATTTGTTTTGGCTTCACTTTTGGTAGTGGTCGTATGGTCCATCCTCTTAGTCCATTGTATCAACACCCAAAACACACATTCAAACAACTCCTAAATCACCGTTAGCTGACTAATATTGAAAACTATGTAAGAGTTAAGCCTTGCCTTTAATATCATGGCTGCTAACATCAGCTGCGGCTCATTGTCGGTTACTAATAATCATCAAACTTGATTCACTTCTGTGGCCTATCAATCAGGAAAGATTGAAAGAGTCACGATCTGTCAACTTCAAATGGATAACAGGGCTGGAGCGAAGCAGATCAACATGTTTGGTGCACATATTTGTCAGACTTACGGGATTAATCAAAGTTGAGCAACTATGTGCCTGCATCAGTCACATTAATAAGCTGTAATAAATCTAGTTATTTTTGATCAAAAAGGCATGCCTAAAAACTATAACACATTCACTCAGCTTTGATTTTCAAACTTCCACTGAACCCAGTTAAGTAACATTTGCTAAAACAAGCTGTTTTACGGTATATCAGGACATTGCTGTCACCAGTGATCTTACAGCACATCCAGACAGCTGCCAGCTCTCGGTAAATGTACCATCACACACAAAGTTTGTTGTTCCAATCTGTGATTTTTGACGCACTTCACCTTATGTTTTTGTTCACTCACCATCTGCACGACAGGAAAAGTTTTAAATGGAATTAGACACAAGTTTTTTCAAAGAGGCTTGACAGGAGGCCTTTTCTGCTAACAATCAAGGTTATCCCAGAACAGCTGACTGCCTTTGTGCCGTACAAAGACGTAAGCAGCTGTAGACCAGAACACAGCACAGCTTTCAATAAACAAATAAAAATAATAAAAGTCAGTTTTTGCCTCTGGGATTTATAATTTGACTTTGATCCTTTCTCTTCCAGCACTCTTTCAAAAAAGCATTTTTTTAATCCAAACATCACAAGATAAAAGTCAGCTGAAAGTTTTCATGGGGCACAGAGTTTTTTGCAGCGTTTTTTTGTGGGTGTTCAACAACTGAATTATTCACAGGAATCAAGTGATTTTACGTAACATGGGAACGTGGAGGGAAACAAAGTCCACCAGCATTGTGCGGCTGAGAAACCACAAGGCTTTGTGCTCATCACTGTGCCAGTAAAGATAGCAGATTTACCAAAAACGATAAATAAAATCTGACTCTCACATCCTCCTCCACTCCTTCATCCTGTATCTGTTTGTGGCAGACAGCCCACGGATTTCCTCTCGCTGCCCCTTCAAACAGGAGCGCTGCTGTGGGCGGTTGAGACATGTCTCTCTTTGTGCGAGCTGTAAATAATTTCTTCAATCAAACAGTCTTACTGCAGAGCCCGGTTTAATCTGGAAGACATAGATCAAAGTGCAGGATGGAGTAGATGGGATGAGAGAGCGAGAGAGTAAGTGCACGTCTGGATGACTTAGGGTAGTTGTGGTTACGAAGCTTCAAATGTTAATATTATTAAAATTTAGAAAAGAAAACCATGTCACCAAAAATTCTCCAAGGCCTAAAGCTGAGTTGTTGTCTTTTGTTTTAAAGCATGAAGCAATAACAATTAATAAGCAATAAAACCCACTTTTTCTCCATGAAGTGCCGAAGTTGTTCAAGTTTGAGGCAACCAAGAAATCCCCAGTATGTCCCATGTTAAAGGCACAAATGAGTCATTTCTAACTGTTTGAGAAACAGGTTGAAACTGATACTGGTGTCGTAATATATCCATAAAAAAACAAGTACAACCATTCGCTACATCCCCTCATGGCAATTACTCACTGTGGGTGAAATACTTCACAGTTTAAAGACAACAGGATCAGTTTTAGTCTGAAAACTTGACTCTTACACTTGAAGTCAGTGGTTCTCAAGTCCAGTCCTCGAGGCCCACTGTCCTGCATGTTTTGGATGTTTCCCTGCTCCAACACACCTGATTCAAACGATCAGCTCGTTATCAAGCCACTACAGAGCTTGATAACGAGCTGATCATTTGAATCAGGTGTGTTGGAGCAGGGCTTCAAAATGTCTCACCAAAGACTAATGAATGACCATGAATGTTCCTATTTATGTAGCTTAACTAATTTTGCTGCGTTGCTATAGCCTAGCTTGTAATTCTCTGGGGGTCACCTTTGGTTTAGTGAGGTTTAACTTAATTGGGAGCAATAAGTAGCTTAGCTCATTACATTTTACAAGTAGCTCACTCATCAGTGATGAAACATTATTTTGGCAGGTGATCAGGCCACATAGTTTGTCCACATATCTGGCAGATGTTAGAGATTCAGCGCCGACTGTTTTCTTCCAGGTTTTGATAAAACGGCACACAGTCTTAGACCTCCATTCTTGTACCAAAGTAAAGTAAGCTCCATCCTTGCATTCCTTCATTCTGATGTCTGTACATGCTGAAGTTTACTTTGAGTCAAGCTGACATCTGCTGCAAACATTAGCTGTTACAGAGACTGTTTTATTTCATACCAGAAAGTCTTAACAAATACTTTATTCAGTCATGTTTTGTCTTAAACTTCCACAGCACCCTCATGAATTAAATATTCTCATATTCAGCTGCAATTAATGGACTTAAGGCTGAATGCCGCACACATTGTGTCTGTTATAAATCAAATGAGCACAGAACAACATGTTGCTGTTGTCATGTTTATTCCTAGCAAGAAAAAAAGTCACAATCCCAGATTTACTTTTCAAGGCTCAACACAGAACAACAACGACACAAAAAGCAGAGTAGAAAAATCAAGTGCATTGAGTATGCTTGAAAACACAGCCATAGATTTATATTACGAAATATCCAGTGTGTACTTTGAGTTAAAAAATGTGAGAATCGGCCTGTTGGTTATCATTCAAAATAAGAGGGCAAAAAAAGAAACCGATAAAAAGTGTCGAAAAACAGACGAAAGTTGTTGAGCAAGAAGAGTTTGGAAGAAGATCAATCTTTGTCGTCCTTTAATTCACCGTGTCAGTCACTGATTTATATCCACATAGGGGCTATTTTTATTTCCAGCCTTTAGATCATAAACTTAAATGTGTTTAGATACGACTTAAAACTGTGATGCACATTCTTGGATTCTGGAGGTGTGAGAAAGAAAAGAAGTGAAATTCAAGCTCAGTAAAACTGAAAAAAACAATAACACCTACAACAGTCCCAGCCGTTTCTGTTTCTGTCTGAGCCATCACTCTTCCCACCATAAGCCAAATAGAGCTGGAGGTTATCATTATGGGCTCCCTGGGTAATGCTTGACTGACGGCTCAGGTCTATTCTCGCTCAGTCAGTGCAGCGGGTGCATGCTGGTGCTTATAGTACACACTGGGTGACAAACATTCACATAGGGTGTAATTCTTGTGGCAGTGTCCCCGGCCTCAATGAGGCTTGGGTGGAGTGCCACTCACTTAAAAAAAACCAGGGTTTCCCAAGCGGTGCCATGCACCCATGGAGAAGAAACGAGTCTGGACCAGACTCTGGTTTCATGCTAGCCTGGATGTAAATTCCTCTGAGGTTTGGTTTGGGATCGGTCCCATCCTGGCTGCTGGTGGTAGAGTGGTAGGAAGTAGGAGTCCGGGCTGAAGTCTCCAGAGGTCTGCTGGCTGCACTGATTATGTTCATGTTTCAGGTGTGCTGTGTCTGCTTCCTCACTCAGCAGACTGTTTGGGGTTTTGGTCGTGTGGTTGCTGTCCATCATTTTAGAGGTTTGTTTTGTTGAAGTCTGGGCTCTACTTTGGTCGGTCATTGGTAATCCAAGCAGCACAGAGCTGGTGATAAGTAAAAGGTTTGTAGAAGCCCTATATATAAACTTGTATAAGTGCATACCTGCAGAAAAATAGCCTTACAACACATCGTCCTGGTTTAATATTATTTCTACTTGATTGCATGCTTGTATTGTGGAAGCTTGAATGTCATATTTCTATAGTAAAGAAGCTTAAACCTTGACACTCACTGTACAATGACGTTAAAGGCTTTCTATTTAATAGCATAGCATTTACCATACAAGGGCTGTTATTGTATGGTTGTAACAGTTCTTGAAATCTCTGCATTTCACAAATTTATAAGTTGAGATGCAAGTTTAAAAACTTTTCTTTGTCATGGTGTATTTCCAATGACCTCCTTATATCAGGGCAAGCCAAGAGGGCTGTCTTCGGGCACGCTCACTAGAGTAAAGGATCAGGTGAACAACCTTCATTCGCTCACATATCTCAATCAGGAGACGGCAATCAGCGAGAGCTATGTCTGGTTTTGACCCTTCGATCCTTTTAGGGACGGCTGTGGCTCAGCGGTAGTGTCGACTGTCTCTCAATCAGAAGGTCAAGAGTTCGATCAGTGGTCCTGCTCTCCTCATGTTATTGGGCAAGACCCCAGACTGCCCCTGCTGGCTGCATCAAGTGGCATGTTGATGGGGATTATTTAATACTCAGTATGTTTTATGTTTTTTTGTCAATGTTGTTATGTAAAATCGACACTGGGCTTTTAAAATAAGTCAGACTGAAATTGTACAATACCAAACTCCTCGTAGATGGACTAACATACCTAGATAATGTGGTTGAGAATTGATTTTATCTTCCATGAATACGGCCTAAGCATGCTGGAGAAGTTTGCATGCCAAGCTTTGAGTAGCATTAATGTGTTGCTAGGAAACAGGGTGGTAAACAAAACATCAACAGAAGGAGAGAGATGTAAAAAAAAACAAAGAAAAACAACAAAAAAGACAGAGCTGTTAAAGTGACGGCACTTTCATTGTTTGACTTACCTCCCATTAGCTACTTGCTAAGCCACAGTCGCGCAGTCTTGTCGGTTGTTTTGGTATGTGATGTCATAGGTCAACCAGGAAGTGACCCAGTAATATTAAACTTAAAAGGGAACATGTTGTGTTTGATAATAAATCAATTCTGCATGGTGCTTGTAAAGTGGGACAAGGACAGTAGGGCAGTTAGATCACTGAACTGAGCTGTAACCACAGTACTATCGTTCTGATTAATGGGGGATTTACACAGAAGCTTTTGCTATCGCTGTATTAATGTGATTTAAAAGTACTTTGCTTGGTCTGCAGACTAGATTAAGTGCAGTATAAAAAAAAACAGAAATAGACGACACATGGCCAGTCGTCTAAAACTACACATGAATATTAAAAAAGGAGAAAAATGGAAATAGACTGCACTCAAAACATGAAGATATGTTACAGATCTTATTGAGGTGAAGTGCACACACTTGTGCTGATGTTTGAAAAGGGTTTTGTCAGAAGTAGATAACAGCGTGAATAGAGCTCTCACAGGGTGTGTACTTAGGCTCTGTTTGGGTTTCGATAATGAAGACCTGCTCTCTTCATGTCTTTTTAAAAAGTGGGCTCTGCCTTTTGTACACGCTCTTTAAATGCAGCGGTGGCTGAAAGTCCTGACAGGCTATCATTTCCTCTGAGAAAATGAATGTATTTGAAAAATGTGGCTGCGATGCCGTATCATTTTATTTTTTTCTCTGGAAGTGACGCACAGGCTTTTTGTGTGAAGTGCGCTGAAATAACAAGGATAAAGGAGCCGTTTCAGAAGCCTGAATATTACACAGATAAAATCTCTTCCTGCGTTAATTACATTCAGGTCCTCACCAAGTCTTTGTAACTCAGGAACACTTGAGCCTCTGCAGAACTTTTTAGTGTTTTGTTTGGACTTGAACATTTTAGGGGCCTTGATTTTTCATATAATAGCTTCAATTTAATACAGCCTTTTATGATTACTGAATACATGCACTCAACGAATCAAAGGGCTGAACTTTACTCTGGTAGGACGAACCAGAAATGATGGTTCACAGAACAGAGTCAGACCTACACCTCTCTTTGCTTTCAAGTTAATAATCTGGGTGTAGTCCTGGAGTCGGATCTGAACATCTGCATAAGGAAAATGACTAAATTGGCCAACAATCATCTTAAATACATGAAGAATCAACAGACTTCAGACAGAACAGCAGCTTTCAAAGAATCATTACTAGGAGTACAAAGGTGGATCACATCAGACTTCTAACATTGACTATTTTGTCCTCTTTGGCACAGCACGGTTTAGCCACCGTAATGGAAAATAGAGACACTGCTGCGCTTCTAAATGGCACATTTCACTTTTAAAACTGCTAGAAAGCTCAGCTGGATAGTCAAAGGTAATACACACTCAAGAGAGCCACCATCCATGAGCTAAACACAGGAACAGCTAGTCAGACTGATATCAGCGGGCAACCACATCTGAAAAGGAAGCAAAGTGCAATTTTTGAGTGTGAGTCACATCACAAATTGACTTCTTAAAGTCCCACTCTGATCGTATTTTTTTTAATTAAAGTGTTCTCAGTGGTCTTTAAATTGTGATTATGTTTTTAGCCATAATTGCGTTACCTGTGTCATTTTCAAGTGCTTTTCTTTTGCAGAGCTCGAGCAGCTCATTAGCAATTCGCCTCTGAGTCGTGGGCGGAGACAGCGCTACCCTGCACGTTCCTCTTCATGCTAGCTTGTAGCCTAACATTGCCGGTACAGCAGAAGTGGCAGGGGCTAATATAGGGGCTATTCAGCTCTTTAGGGGCATGGTGAAAGGTAATTTTATAATTAGCTCTTTTTCTTCTGTTCCGCGATTGTCCTCTCTACCTCTCAGAGTCTGGCCTGCATAGCAGGGATCTGGGGGTGGAGCTTGAACTTGTGACATAGAAAAATCTGAATGCAGAAATACTCAGAGATGCAATTTTACACTTAGTTTTCCCATGATATGTCCTCTAGCATCAGAAAAATGACATATAAACATGTAGACAACAAGAAAAACACGATTTTCGATTTTAACTTCTCAACATGGTGGACTCGAATCAAATGGAGACTGGGCTGGCATATACAGGACCTTCGAATAAAACTGGAACTGTGATGAGACAGAAAAATAATAGAATGATATGTAGGTAAAAGTAGTCTAGAAATTCAGTGATTTACAATTAAGAATTTTAATTGCTTGACAGTCCTGGTGGAAGATGAACTGCTTCACTTCATTTTCCTGAAAAAAAAAAAACCTGGAAAGTAAAGAGAAACTTGGACCTGCTCTCCAATTATGATCTATTTATATAACTGTGACTATAATAGGCTCCTTCAAGAGTCAAAAGTAATGCATTAAATGTTCTATGCATCTCACACCTGGTATCAATCACTCCACACTGTAGCTGCGCTCCAACTCTCAGCTCCTATAAATCAGCTTTTTAGTGTTTATTTTTGCATCGAAATGAAACCCGTTTCATTAAATTCTCCCTAACTTCCAGCACTTCACTCTTTTATAATCCTTCAAACTTCACTGACGGTTATTTGAATTCTTGCTTTAATCCTTTTTTTAGGTCTTACCTAATGTATTTTAAATGCTTTGTAAGAAAATACCACACAAATACAAACATGCCTTTCTTGGTCTTGATCGGTAAAAACTTACCTGATACGTCTGAACTCCCTGGCCTCACATTTAACCACAACATCAGCTCCACCATCTGTAAAAATACTTTACACCAAAGCCAATATTATACATTTGCAGCAGGTATCTTGTTGTAAATGATCCCCTCAAAAGGACTTGACTGTTATTTATCGGGCTTTTTGTGATCCTCTTTCTTCACACTCCTCCACACAACGTCAGTAACAGGTTCAGAGCATTATATCCCAAACACCTGGATCTTCAAGAGAAGCAGCAGCAGGGCCTCAGACAGCAGGAGAGATTAATGTCCAGGCCGAGAGGCGCTGGAGAAAATACTCAAACTTGTTTCGTAAAGGCCGGTGATTAATTTCTGTGTTCGTTTAGGTTTAAATATTTACACGATAAGACGGCATTTTACCCTCTTAACTAGGACCTCGCTCAATCAACATGTTCTATCACAAACCAAATGGCATCCTGGCAAAAACATCTAATTTTTCCTTTCATCCCTCGGAGGTGTCAGCTGTGTTTATGCTCCAGTATGTGTTAAAACTGGAATAACAGCCTGTTGTTCCGAGTTCACGACTTCAAGCTGTGTTTATTGTTCCTGCTGCGCTCTTGCATGCATCATCTCTCTCTCTGTCACACATGCTGCCCAAATTTGGATGAGCGCTTTATAAGTATGTCGTTTATTTTCTTCTGCTCGTATGTATTTAACAGTCAAACTTGGCAGATCTGGCCTCGCTGATCCTCCAGGCTAAACCTTTTATACTGTAATGGCCATCCAAACATAGTGTACGCTCTATTTCTGGACGCTGAAATGACACAGCTGTGAGTCAGCAAGAGCTAAAGGAGACGAAAATGGACATAGGTGTTGACTGAGAAGCTGACTCATACAACTTGGAAGGAATCTTCTTGGTCTAAAGACGGACACTTGAAGCTGAAATTGACCGTGTTTGTGTGGTGACCCATTTCAGTGATGAAATGCTCCGGGGGGTTAGATTAAAAATTGAATATCATATTGCTCTATTATTGAGATTATCTGACTAAATGCATCCATTTAACTGCTTTCTGATTGAGCCAAAACTCAAAGTGCAAATGCTAGCTTTTTGTGAACTTGGTAGTTGTTGGTATTCTTAATTAGGGTGACCATACGTCCTCTTTCACCGGGACATGTCCTCTTTTGGGGGGCTGTCTGGCCTGTCCAGGGGAAGTTTACAAACTCCTTCAAATGTCCTGGGTTTTGTGTGAAAGTTTTGAGTTTGTGTAGCGTGGACTAACTGAGTTAGAAGAGCATAAGTTAAACTCAAAAATCCCTCAAAATTTTGCGCACGACTCCGCCCCGCTTAGCAGTGTCCTCGTTTTTGGGGGATTCAGAATATGGTCACCTATCTTAATTATAAGATGATGAATCAAAACCGTTTGGAAAGCAACCATGTCATCAAGCCCATTAAATATCATGTTGCATCACATGGTAATCAGCATTTGCTGTCTACTCTGCATCCAACAGATATACACCTTTGATAGGATGTTGCCATCAGCTGCACACTTTGGAATATCTATTTCTCCATATCAGTCAATCAATCTGCAGGTCTAGAGCTCCATGCCAAAGTACTTTAAAACAGTCCAGCTAAATGTATTTGCTACTCTCTCCGGTCATATTTCAGAGTGTTTACAGACTAAAAAGCTGTAGTCCAGCTGAAATTGCACTACATCAAGCTTTTCATAGTTGCGCCAACAGACCTGGATAATGCAGTCAGGGATAGATTCTCTCCCATGTATGCAGCTCAGTTGAACTAAAGCTGGCCTAAGCGTCTTGTGCATGATTGAGTGTTTGCATGCTGGGCTTTGAGCCTTGCGGAAGTTGGACGAATGGATGCATCTCTAGGAAGCGGGATCGTAAAGAAAACCTTGACAGATAATGAACGGACATAAAAACACTAGCTCACATTAGCTCTTATCTTACAGTCCCTAACTGAAAATCAAATATGACATATCACTCCAGAGTTTATATATCTTTAACTGAGTAGTTCATGAACAGTCTTCAGGCGGTAAACAGAAAGTGTCTAACAATGCTAAAGCCAGAGGAATCAGCCCCTTGAAGACGTGTGATGATGGTGACTAAACTTTTGGACTTTTTATCTAACAGGTCTGTTCTAAAAACAACCAGAAACCTGATCAGAAACCGTTAAAGCAGTTTACGTCCATATAGAGGAATTTTTAACGGGTCGTCATTTTTCTTGGACGTCGAAAACATTCTTCATTTCAACCATTTAATTTCCCGTTAATACACCCTCCTCATCCTCATGTTACACTTAATGCTCCAGCTCCCCTGATTGGATCCAGGAGAATTCTGGACTAAAGGCGAGCGAGGAAGACTTCCCACTGTGAGAGGAGAACCGTCAAGGGAGGGAGGGGGGTCACGCAGTCCTGCTTGCTTTGTAGTCGGACGCCACACAGCTGCGGCGCTGGAATTTCATGCTCTCAAGAGGAGATGTTCATTATATTTCAACCAAAATAAAGCAAAAAAAAAGAGATCCTTGGAGAGAGTGAAAGGATGCTTAACTGGCATTTTTAAGGTTTACAAATTTTCCAGGCATGGGTGCTTATTTTGAACTTTCAGGAGACGGTAAAAGCACTAATATGATCATTTTAAATTGAGCAACTTTAAATGTGGGAAATGCATTTCCCCGATTCCCAGGCCCTGGGCTGGTTTTTGCTCCATCAGTGATAGCATCACACTTTGCTGTTGCAGCATAAACTCTAGGGGCTCCAACAGGAAACTGATTTATGAAGCTTTGCCGGCTTGTTTGCTTCCAAGCATGCAGCCTGAGTGTAAACACCCTGACACTGCACAAGCTGATTACAAGTGAGGCAGATGGTTTCTCCTCTGAGGGAGTCATGTTTTTGCATTCCCCTGTCACGGGAGAGCTGAAAAACGCAATGCCCCGTACACGCACACACACGCACAAGTAGTGCATTCATAAGTTTGTAGACACACACACATCAAACTCACACTTGCATGCAGGCAGGGTTCACTTGGTGCATTTTCCCAGCTCTCAGGTGGTGGTGTATCCAGTGTGACTGAGGAAAGCATCTATAATGACTGTGAAAAGCTTTCAGGAGAGACTTCCAGGGTAGAGTTCTGGTTGTTAGTGAAATGCTGTGTCTGCACACATTTGAATCCCCTGAGCTGTAACCTCAGTAAACTGTACATTTAATAAATCACAAGCCTCAAATTTAAGACTTAAATATCAGTCTATAGAGTGGAAATTCCCATGTATATAATCACGCCGAGACCTTTGGGAGCTATATGTGTGCTGTCATGCCAAGACTAAATGGTTCATGAACTCAGTAGCTCCCCGTTTTGATTGACTCTAATATATTCCCAGGGCCTGAAGGCAGTGATAACTTACAGTAAGACAGCGCTTTGATACGGGTTGACTGTGCACAAAAAGATGAGATCTGTCCTGTACATGCTGGCTCTTGCTTCAGCTCCTCACAGTGAGGAGTAAATCATTAAGTACTTCAGCTGCCAACTTAAAAGGTGTGAAGGCATGCACCGAGGATCAAGACGAGATACTGACAGACGAGAAGTTTGCAGAGCTTCCTCACCGTGACGCCCAGTCAGTGGTTTGCAACCAAACAAATCTCCTGCGAGGTTTTTTGTCTGTCTGAGGAGAGGAAGGTCACACTTTAGTGCAGGCTAACAAAGCTCTCTGGAAACAGATTTTGACTCTCAAACCCCCCTGGGTCTTGAGAACAGAGCTGGTGACAAACTTGTTCTGGCACAATTATGAGCTGCTCGGTCACTTTTTGACACCCTCCTGCTCCTCCGACTGTGCCGTTGTGTCAAAGTGCTTGTTTTCTGATAAAGAGCAGCTCGGCTTGTTATCACAAGTGTCAGTGTGTGTTGACTCTGACTGCAGGGGTTTGTTCCGGCAAAGAGGTAAATGACCAGCAAGCCACAGCGGTGACCACAGTCCAGATGGATGCCTCCAACTAGAAACTGTTGATTTAGTCAACCATGAGTCAACAGTTCCCCGCAGAGGGGGACGGCAGAGTGGAGGGACAGAGGAGAGGAAGTGCAAGGGTGTTGAACGATTACATGGAGCTTAAGCTTCTAGGGTGGGGGGCGAACAGGAAGCGGATGCCTGAGTGGTTCAGAGGCAAAAAAGTGATTGTTGTGTACCACACAGAGTGGATGTGGCCTTCTGTAATTAAAGTGTGTGTTTGTGCAAGCTTGTAGCATTGGTGTGCATGAGGATGTGCACACATGCTGCTCCTTTTAGGGCTATTTTTGTTGTCTTCACACTCAGTGCGTTTACATGCACAGCTTAATCGGACTAAGCTCATTATTCTTTTTTTTGGCAGCTGAGAAAATCAAATTATTGCCCCCTAGTTTATCCCAAAACTAAGGGCCAATATAGGCCTTTTTAACGGCGCTGTTTCTGGACCTTTATTAAAGATGTCTCCGTTCCCGGTTTTGCAACTGTCCATCTACTTTAAAATGTCCATTTCTGTCAGGACGGAAAGCATAACGGCGCTCTCCTCGATGTTCCAAAAGTAGACATTCTTTCGTGCTTCAGCCACATTGCAGTTGCTTCGTAGTCGAAAGTTCATTCGGCGTTACGGAGGCATGAGGCACGCGCACATGCATTGTCTGATTATCGTCCGCATTATCTGGGTGTCTTAATTGGAGTTCTCAATCACAGATTATAGTCGGACTAAGGTGTTTACATGCACTTCAGTTGTCCGGTCTTAATCAGAGTAAGGCAGTAATTTGGTTTTCCCAAGTGTCATGTAAACATACTGACTATGAGGACGACTTTCAGAGGGTTTGTTGTAGCTCTCCAAACATCTTGGCTCAAGTGTGCAGTGACTTGTCGAAAACGTTGGACAATATGCAGCATGAACTCTCATCTCTAATAATGTGTTTCAGCTTTCAGCACCATAAAAATACAGAAGATGGAGCGAAACAGGACAGATGGACTCAATAAAGTCTTATCATGAATGCAACCTGCAACAAACAACAAACTCACAATCCCCCTCACTCACTCAGTGTTTCTGTTGGCAGGGGAAATGCATGAAAATACCCCGAGGACATGTTGCTCCCCGGGGAGACTCCACAGAACTGTTGGATCAGAAACTGTGTAAGAGTTTGAGTCTTGTAATTTAACAAATAGCCTTCAGTCATGATTTTAAATTTTTAATATTGGAGATGAAAAATCTTTCCAGAGATCCATAATTTAATTTTGAAAATCGAAAACATATTTTGGCTCATAAAAACTGGTGGTGAAGTGAAATGCTCAGTTGAGTATTCACTGGTATCCTAATAGGCTGATAAGAATCTGTTGCCATGGAAGTATTACTGACCATGAAATCAGAGTTGTGTTCAAACATAATTCTTCAAATATGTAAAACCAACTTGTTCATGTCTTGAATGGGTAGTTGTGCAAATTAAAATCCTGATAGGGTGTCTAATGGCTGATCAATGCTTGCCATAGGTATGAAAATGTACACACGTCCATTTCAAACGATGGCCCACATACTTTCATGCGTTCTTTACATTGGCCTGGATGTTAACCAATACACCCACCAGGGGATAGGCCACAGTGTTCAACAACAACAAAAAAAAACATGGCAGCTTTATGTTCTTTATGTTAAGACAGAAATGGACACAGCGATTGAGGAGGCGGTGGTCGGTCAGGTCACCAAACGTGTCGCTTTTGGAGGACGGACATTTTTTTTCTCTAGAAGTACCAATGAGACAAATTGACGAACTTCAAAAAGGCCCGACATTGTCTTCTTCGTTTCTCGCTAGAGATGCTTATCAGGTAGTGACAGCAGCAACACTGCCCCTGCGGTTTCTGGTGGTACTGCTCCGTCTGGCCCGTATCTGTAAACTTCAAGAATACGTGCAGAAATACGGACAAAAAGAATGCAAAGCACGGTTGGAGAGCTTCGTCCGTATCTGTATGTAACGTTGAGCGTAAATGAGCCTTAAGTCTGAATCTCGCTCCTATAACCACCTGCTCACTATACTTTTTATATATTATGTACATTTTTCGTACTATAAGGAAATCACCAGATAAACTGTATATGCTATAAATCTGAGCCACAGAATTTGAAGATTTCAGTCTGTTTCTGCAGAGTTCATTTCTTTGCATCAAAAGCAACATTTCTAAGTTCACCAGCTCATCCCCCCCGCTCTCACATCTGCACTCCTTCTCCCTCCTGTCTCTCAGCCTGTCAGGTCCTGTCCTCAGAATGTGCTGTCAAGTGTTGACTTCCAACCTGGCTGCGCTCTGCACTCCCCATCAGCAGCTGTGTGTGCAACCGTGTCATTATCTCGATTACACTCCTCCAGCCACACACACTCCTCCGGGGGCTCCACCTTAATGAGAGAGAGGGAGAAGACAGACAGCATCCAATGACTCTGCTCTGCATCACTGACACATACTCTTCATGAAAGTGGTGTATGCACAGCGCTTTACATTGTCGTTGCTAGGAAACACTTCAATCAAGTTGAACCCATCTCTATTGTTTCTCAGCATGTGTGCATTGTAAAGCCCGATGTGTGTGTGTGGCATCTTTATATCTAAAACCACCCTGTCATTGTCACTCTTCATTGTGGCGAGGTCTGAATGGAAACAGATTGTTTGTTGACAACTATTAATGTCAGTTTCTATGTCATTATGTGCAGCCTTTTGAAAGTACTGCACTCAAAGCGGAACAATTACGTGTGGTTTAAAGTAAAAGTGAAAAAAAGAAAAGAAAAGAAAATTGGCCTGTTCTCCACATTTCTTCTTGATGTTTCACTTGAACTTGTTCTCAGCAGCCAGAAATACCAGTGAGGGCTTGTATTTTTAGCTCATGTCTGTGGGATACAAGCTCAAATCTAAAGTAGTGTATCAATCAGTCAGTGCGTTTACATGCACAGCTTATTCGAACTAAGCTCAGAATTCGATTTTTTTCTGAATCGGACTTCTCCCCTTGACCGCCTATACATGCAGATGTGAAAATCGAATTATTGACGTGAATGATTTAAATTGTGTACTTTGTGCTCCTCTATATAAATAAAGTTTGATTTGATTTGATTTGATGTGTCCTCCCCCCAAAACTAGGGGGCGATATGGGTGTTTTCAGCAGCGTGTCAGACGTCAGAAGTGGCTATGACTGCTGCTGGGCCTTTTCGAGCACGAAGATGGAGCATCGTACAGCGTTGTTTTTGTCGTACATGATGTAGGCTGCGCTACTTTTTCAGCAGACGAGATGCACGCTACTTCTCTTCTCTGGTGTTTTTGTTCGGGGGTTACGGGGGCGTGGCGCACACACAAATGCATTGTCCGATCATACTACGACTGCACCGCTTACATGGTAGAGAAAATCGAATTCAATCACATTATCTGGGTGTCTTAATCAGAGTTCTCAAACTCCAATTACAGTCAGATGAAGGTGTTTACATGCACTTCAGTTGTCCGGTCTTAATCGGAGTAAGGCAGTATAGTGTCATGTAAACGTACTGAATGTGTGTTTGTGTCCAGAGGTTACTTTGAAGCTGTACATCTTTTTTGCATTCAGAATTATCAGAGTGTTTCATGCTCCAGAGAGACATGGCGGTTTGGTCTATTTGGCACCTGATGAGCGAGTTTAGTCTTATGATGGTGGAGATGGGCCAAATAGAGGAAGAGTCTGGTGGGGTAAATGAGGGCAGAGATATTAGTTTTCTGCAGACATTTGAAAATATCACTCCTGTTGTTTCCCCCTCGGTCATAGCTTGCGTAAAAACAAAACTGACTGACCTCTTTTTTTGCGAAAGAAAGCAAAATCAGTGTCTCTCTTTCTCCGCGAGAAACCCGAATCAGTAATCAGAAGTCTGTTTGTACCATTAGCTCTGCATCATCATGAGACCTTCACGGCTGAAAAGACGTTTGCCGGAGTGAATTGATGATAAGCTCCAGAGCCTGGAGGAGGGCCACTGCACAAAAACAAGGGGTTCTTTAATTGTGAAGGAAAAAGAAAGTTGTTTTTTTTCCCCCAATCAGAGAGAACTTGTTTACAGGGTCCAGTAACTTAGAAAATCTTCTGGTCGTAAAGCCAGGTAGGAACCCTGTTTCTCTCATGTTGACAGCACAAGGTCTGACATGGCGAGCTAATGCATGAAAAACAGCACAGGAGAGTGAGCATGATAGAGTCAGTCAGTTTATAAAGTACAACAAAGGCTGACAAAACAAAGACTTTAACTGACAGATATCTTACAAACCTATAAAAATCCATGTTTTTGTTCAGCAGTGACTTCTTAACCCTGCATTTGTTTTTAACTTTTGCTACTTGTTATGAATCAACTCAGAGTTTTGTTTTACTTTCTCTCTCTGAAGGGTCAAAGAAATCCTGAAACCAGAGGCGCTAGTTGAACTCAGTCCCTGTAAAGTGAGGGTCTGATGAGCAGAGACTGCATCCTTGATACATCGACCACATACTTGACCCTCGGCCCTTGGGTTCATATATTTCTTTTTTTTTTTTCCCTCCTCATGTCCCCTGTATATCCTTAGCTGTTCTTCTGAATAAAAGCAAAGTTAATAAGTCAGAGCACAAGCCAGATGCTATGCTTAAAAATGATTATTTTATGAACACTTATCTGCATGTCCGTTTTTGGGACAAAGTAGGCTGGATGAAGCTAAAATACAGAAATTGGTACAACAAAATAATAAAATTAAATGCACCAAAATCAAGTTTACTTCTCATCATTGACAGGGCCCAGACTCTTTTTCTATTAAAAACATCATCTAGATCATTTTATATGGGAAATATGACAAGTTTGTGTTTTTCACCATTAAAAATAACAGTGATATGGTGCACAAAAACTGGCATAAAAAGGGTGTAATTAATTGTTTTTTAATGGTCAGGGCTGCAGTTGTTTAAGAGATATGAGCTGAAAAAAGTGTAATGTTTAAAAATGATTATTTTATGAACATTTATCTGCCCGTTTTGGGGACAAAGTAGGCTGGATGGAGCTTAAAATTAACAGGAACCGAGAGTTAATACTGGGGGAAGATTTCCAAATATGCTGCTGATAACTATTTTCAAATATCACATCTTTACAGGAAAGAGAGATTTTAGTAGGTGAGGTGGGATGAGCACACACTAAAATAAGGTGAGCAACAGAGGATATTTAGCATGAAAAAAGGAAATTACAGAGATGATGTCATGACAAAATAATGTTAAATAAATGTTGCTGCTGAGTTGTAAACAATACAAGCTATGTAACTATCGACAAATCTTTCTAAAATCCGAATTTTACCTCCTTTTCTTTGAAGTGTTCCCAGTCTCTTTGTCCTCTGCAGACCAGAAACAGTTAAGTGTCTGAAACATGAGGCTGTAACTGCTGCCTTGTAAGTTGGCCCAAATTGTTTATGTGTAAACCAAATTGGTTCCTCTCAGCAGCCCTCAGGCACCAGCGCTGCAGTGTGGAGCTTCCACTTGCAGCATGTGTGGTGTTCAAACAGTGTTCTTGAGTCTGCACATTATGGGGACAGAGGTCGAAGGACGTAAAGACGGGATGTTATGTATAAACAATTGTTTGAGTCTGAATCTGAGAGTGAATTAAGTTAATTAAATTATTACTCCAAATGTCAAAAGGCGGGAAACAAAAGTGGAGAAAATGTCCATTCATCTTTTTGTCCTCGTTTTTCTTGCTCGGCTGATTTCATTTGTCATTTTGTGTCTGTTTTTTCATCAGCCTCCCTTCGTCTCAGTGTTTTGGAGCGTGTCAGTTTTGTGTTGTTTGAGCTAAAAAAAAAAGAGGTAGTCAGCCACTTAAAAGCAGGTCAAAGGTGGTCAAACCGACGGCAAACGATGCAGGATTTGTTTAAACGTAATGGTCGGACTACAGCGCTGTCAATTTAACAGCCGACAGCTGCTCCCTGTATCTGAGTGTGTCTGTGTGTGTCTGTGTCTATGTGCTGCACAGACAAGAAAACTGGCTCCAGTGAGCTCTGGGACTGATGCCTTTATCAAACCATAATCACTACTCTTGCTGTTTTTAGTGTCAGCCTCAAATTTGATACTGTAAGTGTTAGTGGCCATGGTTATGCCCCATAATATTCTCTGCTGCTTTGCTGAAAACAGCTGTAATCTCTCAAACATGCTGGCTGCAATTTTCCTGTCTTAGCAGCTCTCCTCGTCGTATCGGTGACATTCATTCAAAAAAGTGTAGTATGAAAACTTAAAGTCAAATGAAGAGAGTTTTGCAAAACTTGAGAGTACTTTTGGGTTGGGTTCATTTTCTCTTTAAATCTCCTCTTGCCTCTGGTTGTTTTTTCAGACAGAAATACGAGAAGAAACTGAAGTACTCCTCTGTGTCTCCTCTAAAATAATGATCCTTTGTTGAAATTCAATCTAGTGCTTAAAACTGTTTTATATTCTCGATGTTTTTTCTCGCCAAAAAAGTAGAAATCAAACAGCTTCTGTGTCTTTGCCTCTCCAAATCAAGACAGAATCTGAGACCAAGCAACACCAAAGTAAATTCAGCGATTTTCTGCTGGAAGCCATAAACACAGTGCTGCATTGTTCGTGTTTATTTTGGGGTGTATACTTAGCATCTTTTACAGTTCCCTTTCGAAAGCAGCCCATCATTATGACTCTTGTGTAAACACAGAGGGTTTTTTCGGTGTTGCTAGGAGTGGTTTGGATTCATTATTCCCAATCTCAGACTTCAGCTGACTGTTTTTGTCAGCTGGATGTGACTCTCTTTGTGCTCCAGGCAGAAACAGAAGTGGATTTATGGGTCTGGTTGTTCATAGACCTGTTGTTTCAAGACCGAACTTCAGCTCTTTGAGGAATCAGCAGCAGGGAATTTCCATTTTGTCCAACACTTCAAGGCTGTCGAGGGAAGTTGGTCAGTCGTAGTACATACTTTCATGCACACAAAGCGCTATTCTTGAATATGCAAAGGAGGACGGGTATGTGAAGGAGTTGTTTCAGCTGAGGTCCTCTGTGTATGGTCTTTGTAATGCTGTTCAGATGTGTACTCTTATGAATCAACATGGAAACTCATGTAATGTTTTCAAGCTGAATTCAAGGTTCAACTGAGGAACTCCTGTTTAAAGGTTATCAAAACTCTGTTCCGTTTTAACCTCAGACAAGTTAACTCATTTACAACTACTTACTCTCAGAAGAACAACAGAGGTTTTCCATTTTAAAGTAACTGTGTACATACATGATCACAGCACCTAGCTTAATATCATAGTGATATATTTTAGCAAAAATAAAACTCTGTTCACCTTTTGAAATTCACCCAGCACGGTTTCTCTCAGTTGATAGAGCACATACTCTGCATACAAAGGAGATAGTCCTTAATGCACTGATCTCAAGTCAGATATCCAGCTGTGATTTTATGGTGCATGTAATCTCTCATTCTCTCTGTTCCCACATCCCCCTGTCGATTCTTGGGCCTTCAAATCAAATACAGGCTAAAAGCCAGAAAAAGTTTTTAATATAGTCAGTATGAAATAATCAAAATGGTTTTCTTCTTTTCACCAAGCAGAGACCTCTAATGTTAAGTATCAAGGGTGCAATTCCTTGACTGTCCACTTGGGGCTTGCTTCAAAAGCCATGAGATGCCTGTTTAAGCCCATATAAAGTGTCAAATTTTAGAGTGCAAACTGGAACAAAAAAACTGGGTTTCGTCAGCTGAAATACCTTCATTTGGGATGACTACAGGGGTGTTTTTTTTTAGATATCTCATCCACAGTGATTGTACTGAGATGAATAGTTGGTGCACTCTTTGACTAGCTGGATTATCAACATTATCAACACAGTTACCAGGAACTTTGGTCTTTCTTATGCTCTCCAAAAATGTGTGAGTAGATCACTGATACTATATACTACAAAGTTTGAATAGTTACAAAACATACAAAATATTTGGATGATTTGAATTGACTGATCAAAAAAGCTCTTACGACCATACGCATGGGCACTAAATGTCATTGCAATGCAAGCTGGTGCTCGAAAAAAGGTCAATGTATCATAAAAGTCAGAGGGAGTCATCAGCTGGGGACCATGATCATTAACACAAAATGTCATGGACCAAAGTGTCAGTCCAACAGAATTAAGAACAACTCTTTTTACTCTCCATTGAGCTGCACTGCAAGTTTTGAGGGGGGGTTGAGGTAAATACTGTCATCAGTTTTAAAGGCAACAGTGCAAAAGTAGAGCACAAGAGCAAAAAAACATGCACACTTTCAGAAATTATTTATCATCATCAGCAATGCGACATTCTTTTATGACAATAAAAACCCAACACTGTGTCATATTTTGCCTGAAATGTTCACAATTTACATAATGAAACCTCCTTTTGAATTGATTCCATAGCACCTTACTCAACACCAGGATCATCAGCGTGATAAAGTGAACAGGTTCAGTAAAATGGCTCGAATCCTAATTGCATTTGGCGACTCGCTGTCACGAACCGAGGCGAAAGAGTCAAACGTGCATACAGTAGATAGAGAGGGAGGTAAACTGTATGACCGGGGAGGCAGTGAGAGAGCAATGATTAAGTTGCTGCAGTAATGAGATGTTTATATAATCTCACCCCTTTAACTTCTTCTCATTTCATGCAATCTATTCGTTACTCCTACACACACACTCAATCTCTGTCAACCCCTCTGTGTTCAGTCATGGAGGGTGGGATGAAGGCGAGGGACAGCACAAGAGTCTCTCCCCAACTCTTTCAGTTTTTGGCTTGCTTGCTCCAAAGATGGGTGGCCTGTGTTGAACCCTGGACCATATTCTGGCACAGAGTCTTCTTCTAGCTTAATTCTTTAAACATGCTACTGGGGTGTGGCGAAAGTGACCTCACATCCTTCGTCAGGCATCCAAAAGCCCAGAAATGGGACAACACACTGTAGAGGCACAATTTCAAGCTTTAAAACTGTTATTTAACATTATTATTTAACATGGTTTTGGGGATATTTTAACAACCCCAAGAGCAGAAGTTTGTGGACAAATATGGAATAGAGCTCAATGTGTTTGTCAGGGTAAACTTGCTGTTGGCGACCAGCTAGTAAGTTTTAAGAGTTAGCAAGCTGCAGCTCATAAAAACGTTTCCAAAATCTTTAACAAGAAAACTTTATTGAATGAATTTTGCACAAAGCCAAGAACAATACCACTTATTTCCAGCACGTATTTGGAAACAAACTTTGATGAGGATTGGCTGACTGGAGCTAGCTTGGCTTTGTTGCACTTTGGTTGTTAACTCAGCACCAGTAAAGTAAAATAATCGGCCAGGCCTTTGTGTGTTTGTCCCCTAATGTTGAATATTTAGCAAAGATACATTAGTGACATTTATTAGCCAAAACCAACATGATTATTTTGTTGCATGTACCCCACTTTAAGGAACAAAACCTCTTCATCGGTTCACAAGATGAGAAAATTGGTTTGTCTTCTATAATTGTGTTGGCTGATTGAACTCTCAGTGTGTGTTCATACCTGCAGCTCGCATTGTTTCGTTCTGATTCAGACGCTAAGATGACACATTGTTGAACTCCTCTTCAGAGTGTGAGTCATCATTACGGCACAGCCTCCTTCGCTTCATGCATGAAGAAACAAATACCTTACCTAGTGGTTTCACTTTGCATTGTGGGAAACCAGCTCTCAGATGCTAACTAACACTGGCCAGTTGACTGAAATTAGTAACACCATCACTATCGCTGAAATTAGTAAGACCATCACTATCGCCAGGTGATTTTTACCCAAGAAAAAGTACTTGTCATCAAAATATATCAAAATGGGACAATACATGACAAATTAAAGTAGTTTTATTTTATTTTTAACTGTGCAACGTCCAAAGGGAGGAAAAAAGTGCCACGAGGGGACCAAAAGTGCAACAATATAACTGAAATTAGGCATTCATGACCAAACCTAGAAAAATAGAAACTGTAAACTTAGTTTCTTTTCCTGGGGCATGTGGGTCCTTGGCACAATAACAGCTGCAGGAGAGAGAACCAAAATATATTTTGAGTGAGTAAAAATGACCATCTTACTAAAATATTTCTTATCACCTCATGAATTCCCTTGAAAATCACTACTTTGTGATACTTATTCATAACCACTGCACCAAATAAAGATAGCATGCAAATTCCAGGACCACTCTTACTGACCTTATTCCCTCCATATGCGGCTATCAAATCCATCCAAACCTTCTTACCCTCTATCACTTTTGCCGGGTGAAAATCACCCGAACAAGTGCCTGTAGGAAAAAGCAGGTTTTGGATCAGGGAAACAAATACGCCTTTAAAGATGTCAAAGGCAATGCTGAAGCTACCCAGAGACCCATGATACTCAGACGAACGCAACATAATGAAAATCACGTAAACATGTTTGGTCGGGTTAAAATCACTCGGCGATAGTGTTCTAGGGTTAAAGCAGTGAGGAGGTAGTTGCGTTTACGAACTTATAGGTCAATGCATGAAGGGTTCCCACTATCCTGTGATGTTGCCATGGCTACCATTAGCTCCAATGCTCATGATGAACTAGAGACCTTGAGTAATGCTAGCCTATTGCTATTTCCATCCCACTCTTCAAGGCGATCTTGTTTTGTTCCACATGCAGAGTATGATGTCTGTGTTTACATACTGTATGTCCACATGATGTAGGTCAAGAGGGGGAATGCCCAGTTTCAAGGGCCCTCTTGAGATTGTTTCTTAGAGGATCTATAGGACTATCAAATACCAGGTACAGTCAGTCTATAAGTACAAACTTGCTCATATGACTCCTTGCGTTTGTCCAGGAGAGTTTTATTCGCCTCCATATGTGCATGTGATTTAATATTTATCTGTGCAGAGGGAGTGGAAAGTCACAGCAGGAAGTAGATCAGACTTAAGATCACAAAACAAGCCTGGTGCACAGGAGCTCCCTGCTCTGGGATCCCAGCTGTCCCATAAAGAAGCTACTGCTGGCAGATGCCTCCAGTGTGCTTTTTTATGAGGGGGGGCACCAGGGGCCACAGACACAGACATGTGTTTTCATGCACTGGAAAGAAGGTGGGGAGGACACCTGTAGGTAGAGACCTTGACTGGACTCATCTCTGCTCAGGTCTGCTAAAGATGTTTTAATGAGCAGTTTGTGAATGCCAGAGAAATGCTTTTACCGTCACATGCCTGATGTGGTCTGACAAGAAAATGTCCTCCTTCCTCTCTTCTTTGTCTTCACATCAACATTGTCACCTGACGTAAGCTGGAGTTCTTAGCAACATCTGTTTCTGTTTGATATCTGCGTGTTTTTCATTTAGGAGAGAACTATGCTAATTCTCTAAGGGCGTCCTCCTAGGATATTAATTTCAGTCCACAGTGTTCAGATGAGTCACGTATGGGTGGTGTGTTCTTTCTCTGTGGTTGTATAATGCTTTGATTATTATACTTTCATGTCTACTTTTGGATTACAGGGTTTTTAAGACAAGAACCCTACCTTAATGTCGTCAAGTGTTGTGTTTGTGCTCGGTAATGTTCAGGAGGTCCAAAGTTCAAAAGACAAAAGTGTTTCTTTCCATAATTTGTTTTGTGATCTGTCTGACATTTAAGTTTCCCATGCACCTTTTATTAACAAAGCCTCCCCACAGAGCAGCTCACCAACAAAGGTTCTGAGTGGCACTCTTTGGAAAAAAGAGTGGGTGAGGCAACTCTCTCGTGAAAACGCTCTGCAAATATCCAGCTAGGTTGAAGACTGTAGTTTGCTTTTGTTCCTGTAACCCACTGGGGAGTGCATCGCCTCACTTCAACCCAACAGAAAGCATTAAGAGCAAGTGCTATCTTGTTCAAATCTCTCCACCCCCCCCCCCCTCTCTATTTGCACACACATCTTCACTGCTTTTTCACCTTCACCACCTGCAGACAGACTGTCCCCAGTCATCATCCACATAATAGTCCCTGTTTCCGCCTCTGCAGCAGCTTATCAAGATAAACAGTGAGTTGAAAATGAACGCCACACTGCCATTGCAAAGGTTTGTCTGACTTTATCCAGGAAAAGTCTCCCTGAACCATTCCCTGCTTTCAGAGTGGTCAGCTTACCTGCAGAGGCCGTGAAACTTGATATATCCCAAATTATAACTTTAGAGTATCTGACAAAAGTTATAGATTCATAGCATAAAAAATATATATAAAAACTAAGATTATGAATCTTTAAAATATTGCAGACATCAAGTTAAAACAATACATTCATTACTAACATTATTCAACAGCTGATGCTAGTTTTCACCCACTTCCTAGCTTCCACCACATTAGCTTAGCAAGTTATTTACCTTGCAAATATTGTATTAGCTGGATATTTTCACCATCTTTTTGTACACATCTCAAGCGTAATGTTATCGACCACTTCCTATAGCTGTTATGGACAAATGTGACAAATTACTGAAAGTCGACAAGCTGCCATTGCAGTCGTGCTGTTTCTCCTTAGCTGCTTTCAGTTTTTTGCTATAACCTGAACTATCTATGAAACTTTAATTTTGCAACTGTGTTGATGAAATATAGTTGTTCATTTAGAGTAAAAAAGCATTATACAACATAGCACTTTATTACATATATGTAGCTGGTGGTCAGTCCTTTTCTTAATTCCTTTATTATGAATTCAAACTGTTGCTGTAAATAACTATTATTTAGGGTGAGCAAAATATGACTTCCCATTTATACTCCAGCACTGGGCAGGCCTGATAAGGGGAGATAAGTTAGCAGTCAGAAAATAAATATATAAAAGAAAGGACACGACTACACAGGGGTGGAGTCATGGAGTCGCACAAATTTAATTTTTAGAGTTTTTGGGTCGGATTGAGTGTCTTTAACGCATTTCTAGCTCAGTAAGTCCACTTGACACAAAGTCGGCACTTCTGTATAAAACTGCAGACATTTAAATTTTTTTTAAACTTCCCCGGACGAAGCCGGACAAGCCCAGACAGCCCCCAAAAAAGAGGACGTGTCCAGGTAAAAGAGGACGTATGCTCACCCTATATTATTTTGTCAAAATCACCTGATTTAGGTTCCTTTAACAGTATCGAATGGAGTCTCATGTGCCTCATTGTAGCGTTGATCATGTTTGGGATGTGCAGTTTACTCATATCCCACTTTCCTATTAGATCTTTTGCATCTTGTTTGTGCAGGTGCCGGTGATGTGTTACTATTGCAACATACTTTTTGCTACTGGGTGATTTTGAAACCTGAGAAACATGAGACCATCAAGGCTTAATAAGTCCTCACTCCTATGCTAACATCACACTGCAATTATCAAACATGTCCTAACTTGGACGAGTGTCAGCTTTTTACCATCACTGAAACGGTTTCTTTGTCGCTCTGGAAAAAGACACTTTTGCAGCCATTGTCATGTTTGTTATGCTAATATGTGATATTTACTGATATTTAATAATTGCTATTATCTTTTTAATCACCTTTAATGTGTTATTTCTGCCCATTGTATTTCTCTTATTATTCATTTCTGTTGTTAATGAGATGACTGTGGGTTGTGTGTGCGCTGTTGGTTATAAATCACCTCTGTGGGATATTAAAGATATCCTGAAATCTGAAGTAGGTGAGATATAATTAGACTGCTCCAAATTTTTCATGCCTCATTCTCATCTCCTCTGTCTTATTGCTTTCCCTTATTTTGTTTTCTCCTTCCCCTTCTGTTAATCTTTATTTTCTAACCACTAACTTATCCACCCTCATCAGGCCTGCCCAGCGCTGGAGTATAAATCAGCTCCAGGGACAGGTGGACATCTGCCAGCCATGAGGAGATGCAGGCAGGAATGTGATCCCTGATGAATCTCAGAGAAACATTCAAATCCTGGCACCGCAGACCGCACCTCCTCTTCATTGATTTATTGGACGGAGAAGAATATTGGAGAGATGCCTCTTGCTTTTCTTTTTGTTTTGTTTGCATCCAGGTCTTCTTCTTTTTTTATGAGGAGATAAAAAAAGCAGAAATTTAAGAAAAAGAGGATGATTGGTTTGAATGGATGAGCCTTTAAAAAGCCCAAATGTAACTGCGAATCTAACTGAAGTGAGCTTATCACAAGACTTTGTAGCTGCTCATTTGCAGGCTGCTCAGGTTAGCGAGCTGGTTAATGAGTGAAATATGTGGGATGGAGACCAGGATGTTCTTTCGAGCCCCAGCAGGGTGTAGCATAATAACAGCTCTGCTCTCAGGTTGACCCTTCGAAAGAATAAAACGAACTCCTGTTTTTACCACTCGCAGCTTTTCTTTCCAGTATTTCCATGACAAGTAATGTAGAAACACCATTGTGCCTTCCTGAGCGTATGGCTTCAATAAAACTTGGTCAGGATGGAGTTTGGTGGCGAGGAGCTTTGCAGTGTAACCCGCTGAGATGGTGAATGACTCGCTCTGTTGTAGAAATGTTGGTTGTAAAACTGTTTTTGAAATATGACGAGCAGGAGGTCAAAGTGTGCGCCGTGATCTCAAGTGACATATAAAACCATATTATTGTCGCGTGTGCCTCATGGTGGTGTTGATCGCTGATGCAACCTACCATGAGAGTTTTTTTTTTCTCCTGCAGATGTTAGCAATTAGTATGTCAACTCCTTCAGCATGGGAGCTGACATATTATTGTGATTACATGTTTACCATGTTCTGCGTGGGGCAGCTTTCACCGAGGCTGTGTAGCCTTCATATTAGAGCTGAGCATCACAGCAAATACTCATTATATTTCTAAAATGACATCCATATTATTAAGTGCTGTGCAGCTTTAAATATCATTAATCTTGTTGTTTTCGCTGTGTTGTGCGTTATACTTACTGTCAACAGATTGTTGCTTTTATTTAAATGCCTCACAATGGGAGAAGATAGAGGCATTTTGTAGGGCTGGGTGATATGGCCTCTAATCAATATGATTATATATTGAGCAGTTCACCTTGATAATGATAAATGGACGATAACTACTCCACAAGCTGCTCACCCCCTCCCACATTAACTTTGCCTACTTCAGCTCCGGCCGCTACAACTTTTGAACCGTCCTCCATCTCCTCACCTGTCTTTTCCTCTTTGTTATGGACTGGATGGGGTGGAGTCATGTCCCTGACGTATGACAGCGTCTTAAAGGGACATGAGACCATAGCCTACCTACACACACCAAAACCAACTTTTATTTATTTTTTGACACCAAATATACTGACATGGGCAAAATTACGTTGTTTATTGTTGTAAATTTTGGTATCGGTACATTTTCAGTTTATTGCCCAGCCCTAGAATGTTGTCCATTTAATAAACAGTAGAGCTGGATTATTCTGATTGTAATTTTGGCTCGCTATAATCATAATTTGATAATAAAGACTTGCAGAGCAAAGGCATGGTTCACTTCATCATAAGCAGCTCGGATCAACATGAAACAAAGTTTGGCTAAGGTGATCATACGTCCTCTTTTACTCTGACATGTCCTCTTATTTGGGGCTGTCCGGGGGAGTTTATAAAATCCTTCAAATGTCCGAGGTTTTGTACGGAAGTTTTGAGTTTGTGTTGCGTGGACTTACTAAGCTAGAAGCCCGTAAAAAAAACACTAAATCCGACTCAAAAAACTCTCAAAATAACTACGCGTGAATCCGTGACTCCGCCCCTGCGTAGTCGTGTCCTTTTTTTGTAGATTCAGAATATGGTCACTCTAAGTTTGGTGGACTGCTGAATGTCCAATGTGACAGTGTGCAAACTATCGGGCAGCCACAGGTGGAGAGAGGAGAGCAGGGAGAGGAGTGCTGTAAAAATACTTTACTACAAGCGAAATCTGGCGTTTAATTTTGTTAGTAGTGCTGTGAAGTAAAGAACTGATGCACTGCATGTGTATTCAGGCTGCTTTGGTTAACTAGCTTCTGGTTTAGCTGCTTACCAAACAAAGTGAGAGTGAGAGCTACAACATAAACACCAAACACCATACAATGTATTTTGTTGTTTTCTCGTCATTTTGAACCATACATGATGGAAAACTTTCTGTAGTTGCTTTCTGCATCTTTCCTAAACAACAGAGGGCAATCCCCTCCAACACACACATACACACACACAGTACACACACACATACACACACAGCCTCCCTCCCCTCTTCCTCAGGCTTGCCCTTTTTAGGCTGTTCCTCCTTTTTTTTCCGTCTGAAAAGAGGGATAGTATGACAGCTTTTCCTGCTCTTTGTGGATTGGAGCCGGGAGAGAGAAAACTCTGTTACTCACTCCGTCTCCAACTTTGAGAGGAAGTTACCACCTCTTCCCTAGACTCTGTACACACACACACACACACACACACTCACACAGGCAGCCAGACACACACGCTCTTCAGGACTTGACCACAGCAGCAACAGGGAATCAACTGAAAGAGTCAGGACTGCTCGTGGTGCTGTTTGTTTCAAAATTTGCATGGAAACACGGCTAACGTTTGCATTTTGGCTTGAAGCTTTCTGTGTGGGCTGAAGAGTTTCAGAGGAACGCTTCTTGTCATTACACCGGTGAGTTTGACAGCTTCTTTTTAAGAGTTTGCACCTTTTATATTAGAAACCTCTGTGAGCCAGAACTTTTTATTTTAACCATGAATTTGCTTTGTTTTTCAAAGACTGTTCAGGTTTTCAATACTCTGCCTCTAATCTGAGCTGAAATGTTAGTCTGCCAGGCTTGTTTGGAGGTGAATGTGTTTGGGAAAACTTCCATGTGCCATAAAGTTTGAAATCTGGTTTCCATTACAGCAGCTTTAGTAGGTTTTTACGTCACATGAAATTAGTTCCTTGTGTGATTGTTTGTATTTTATTGAGGTGTGGTTAAAAAAGACAGAAAAGTGAATGAGTTCGGGGCAAACAACTTGATGAAGCGTGATGTTTTATCCTCTTTACATTGTTTCCCATGTGTTAAACGGTGTTTAAAGCATCCTGGCTTAAGTTTAATATCAGAAACTATCCGAGCAGTGTGAGTGCATCACAGTATGCCTCCTCAAATGTGTGTTTTCAGCATGTATTCTATGAAGCGCTGCCAAAGAGCAGCTGATGCAGCACTTAAAGCTGAGACAGGACAGCACAGACACTTTCCTGTGCAGCTGCATGATACTCTCTAACCCTGAGGTGATCAATTAGTCATCACCTCGCTGTAAAATCAAAGCAAACATCCTGTCGAATTTTCAGATGAAGTAGTTATCGTACAATCAGAGAAATAAGGTGAAAGAGAAAGCGGGGGGCTCCAGCTGAAGCATGAAAGCCTCCACATGGTGCATATGGCTCTGTTTGTATTTCAGCTGTTCCCCCTTTTTAACGCGTGAGCTCATTGAAACGCTCACGCAGAACAGCGGTGAGCCATATGCCTCAGCTCGGAGATCTCGTTGGACGTCAGAGGTCGGCACCTCTTATCAGGAAAGAAGCGAGGTGATGGTGGGAAGAGGCGATGGGTGGAGGCTGGCTCTCAGGGGTCTCCTTTCATTTGCACTATCAGAGTGGGCCGTCGAGCGGTTCAGCTGTGCCTCCCTCCGGTCAATCAGATAACCTTCTATAGGATGAGTGTGAATGCTTAGCTAAGTAACCCCTTCAAGGCTGGAGCAGAAGACTTGACTCCTGCGTGACCTCTTCATGCCAGCAGACCGAAACCCCACCAACTCATTCATCATTCGGCCTGTCTTATCTTTCCTGAGGACGGTTGTTAACTTACTCTATTTACCCTGCGGTCAAAGGTCAAACTCTGATTTGAGCAACCTGTCTAAACTCTCATGGTACCGACCAGTATGGAGGGGAGATACAGAAAGTCTCAGGGCGATAAAGAGCCTGTGTTGACATCTTTACACAGTGACAAGGAGTAAACACAGCCCGGTGCATGAAAAGGGTCGAATGTGCCATGATTGTGTGTCGCTGAAGCTTATCTCGACGATTTTTGAGCAAGAAATGTCCAAAACCAAGTATGTTGAAATACCAGTTCATAGAAAATCTGGAGAAACTTCACAGTTTCTTTATAAAAGGCTGTTTTTTCCCATTTATATGAACTTACTTGTTGCACAGGGTTGTCATTTCTTTGCACAGTCATCACAAAGTAGTCCCAGTGGACGTCATTGAGCTCTGTATCCTTTGAGTAGAGTACTTCCACCCTTAAATATAGACATCAATTCACATTTCTTATAAGTATGCAGCACTGAAGCCCAGCGGCGACTCTCTTAAACAGTATAGGAGTCCCATTTGTACTATAACCGTCCCCATTGGCCAAGGACGCTAATGTCTTCAATAGGGATGATTTATCACTCTGACAAAGGGAACAAATGGCGGCCACAAATCAGTAGAGAGGAAATTTAACTACTGTTGTAATTAATTTCACGGTGCATATTTAAGCGCTGACATGCAGCCATTAATGTCACCGAATCAGCTGATCTCCCTGAGGCACCCCACCCATGATAGGGTGATCCATCCAAACACTAGGCTCTTTATGTTTCAGCTTTTTAAAAATCTCATAAAAATAAAGAAAAATCTTCGTGAAAGCAGCGTAAAAGGTGCTTTTCTTTCATTTTATAAACTTGTTTGGCGTAAATGGTGAATTTACAGGCCTGTATGATAAAACCACTGGAAAAATGCGCACTCTCCCCACCGCAACCACTCATCTCAATGATATTTAGTGACTAGGATGATGTTTTAAAGTGATTGAGAACAGGGAGTTTGATTTATGAAGTGTCTTGGCTTGTGTTTAGCCAAGCTCCCATGGCCAGATGATATCTGACAGAGCTCAGGACTTATTTCTCTCTAGTAAAAGCTTCACTGGTCAAGACACTCCCTATATGCTTCACTCCCCGGATTGAGCATGTTTGACATGCTAAATCCATGGGGTTTGGCTGAGTTTACGGTCCTATCTTGAGTGCACACACATAGATGTAGCTTGACACATAGAGACTGTAAAGCACTTGAGCATGCACAGAGTGACAGTGATGGTCTTTGGTTTTGCTTAAACTGTGCATAAATACTTGATATAACAGAGAGGAAATCTGGGTTTTTGGACATTTTTTCTTTTCTTGGCAAAATTGGAAAGAGGACTGAGCCAAGAAAAATGAGTCACAATCTGGGGGCATTAAGAAACATTTAGAGACTGATCTAATATCCTAGAAGTGAAATTTTAAAAGTTGAGAAAACAGCAACTTTGATATCTAAATATTCTGTAGTCAACCCGAACTCTGACAAACTGTAGAGACTATAAAGAAGCTCTTTATGAAATGATACTGTGCAAATAAGTAAGGTAACAATTATAAAGCAACAAATTTAAGCAGTGTTAAATGTAGAGTTTTTAAGAAGAATATTCAAATCCCTCTTTCGTCCTACCTGCAGTTCCTTTATAGCCCACCAGGGGCCTCATCCCATACTTTGAATATCAGTGCCATGAAGGATAAAAACTAGTAAAAACTTTGTTTTGTTTTGTTTTTTCAGACTCACATGTATCAGCTGTTACCAGAACTAAACATTAAATTTCTCTTTGTATCGTCTTCTAGGGTTGATCTGGAGCGAATGACCTCAACGTAAAAACTTCAACTGACCCAAAACTCTTAGAGGTAAGAAGATACTCTGGAAAACAAACTTGTTTATTTAGAAAACAAAACCAAACTAACGAATCACAGAGTCTGCTGGTAAAAAGACACAAGTTGGTTTGCGGAGTGCGGATAACGTTAGCAGAGCTAGCACCACCAGCCTCCAGTCCTCCTCACGGGTTAATGTCGTATGTCTGTGCTGGTTACACATCGCTCCTGTTGAGGGTTTTTTATGCTAGATTAACCAAACATGACTTTATCTCTGTGTTTTTCTATCAAAACACAGCCAAACTAAACTTTTCTATGCTAATTCAGTCCCCATTAACTGGAGCAACAGCCCTGGCCAGAGGCAGATGGCTGCAGAACAGCTTAGACACAATGTCTGGTCAGGATTTCAAGCCTACAAAAGAAATATCAACAATTTGTTCAATCTACAAGTACTTCTGGTCGAGAGAGAGTGACAACATTTTATGAGGGCAAGAAACTTTCCAAAACTTCCAGGCTTCTCCGAGGGCTTAAAAATAGCTGGAAACTGGACCCAGACATCTCTTTATCCTGCAGTAGAGAGTTTATTCTAAGGACCCAATCATGTTGGAAGCAAACACGTGTTTTGTGTCACGGCGTGATCCGAAAGGTCCGTGTAATTGATACAGTATGCGCCGTGTGCTGTTGGACGGTGGCCCCAGATCGATGAGAAGGGGTGAGATCATGGCTCTATTTTTGGGGCACAGACTTGGGAATGATCCAAAACATTCTGCGCATTAGACAATCGTACGGGAATGTTCATATAAATCGATCTCAACACAAATGAAACATACACAGACAGCCTGTTACTGTCAACACACAGACACATACTACACACACACATACACAAATAGCTGCGGTTCCAATATGGCTCCCTTCTGCCATGAGCACATTTGATTGCCGTGATAATGTCAGTATGAAGATGGCTCATGGGAAATGTCCTCGATATTTACATAGCAAAGCATTCTGACTTCGCCGCACATCAGGAACACATCTGGGCGCTATTAAGCACTTGCCCTAACCCCCCGCTCGCTCCCATATCTCTTTTACCCTCCTATTACCTGCCATAGCCCACATGATATGCTCTCCACAGGCCGAACCGTACACTGTGGACCATAGTTCACTCTTTGTGACATGTGGATACACAGGGATTCATCAGGGTAAGGGCGGGTGTAAGTCTAAACCAAGTCATGGTGAAGTCACAGCATCTCTGTCAGAGGAAAGCACAGTGCTGTCATTGATAAAGAATAGCAACTTTCCCACAAAGTACAACTGGTTTGAATCTTTTACTAATAAAAAGGTTTTTGTCCTTAAAAGTAAAGCTGTTGCTCATTGAGTCTGTGTCATATAAAGTTCTTGCCCTGAGCCGAATACATCAACTCAGAAGAAAAATAAAGCTTTCTTTCAGCGTTATGTCAAACACGAAACCATATTCAAACATCTAATGGGGGGGAAAATGCTGAACGCTGCACAAACAAGACAGGTTAGGATCTGAAAATTATTTTATAAGTTAAGACCCGTTCAAGAGGAAACTGGGCGAGTACAAACTTTGCAGTCATTGAGGCTGTTTGCTGCCCCCTTTTCTACCTCTGGGTTCAAACTGAGGTCAAAAATGATCAACGCTGTGTTGCTTTTTGTCTGCTTCACACATTTTGTTGTTTTTTCAGACTCCTTGTGAATCCTGTCTGTATCTGCAAGACTTTGTTTCCACGTTAAGTGCAACAGCTGCTGCAGAGAGATTAGTGTTGATGTTTCAAACAAGCAACAGTCTCCGCTCAAGAGCCTCCTTTACTGCTTTTTTTTCTTTGCTTTGCATTATTAGACGCAAGGCCATAAGCCATATGGTCCAAAAGAACCACGATAAGTGATCAAACTCCATCTGGGAATTTAAGAATGAACGGACTTCACTAAGTTTAGCAAACCAGACTGAGAAAAGAAGTTGTATGAAGACCAGGCAAAGACCACATGTGTCAGGAATCTGGTCTGAGTTCTGTTAAACAGACACCTTCATTTTGGATCGACTTTTCTCCTGCGTTAAATCAGGAACACTGAATAATCCAATAGGAATTACACAAGGAGAATGAGACTTTTAAGGCAAACGGCCAAGGTCCAGAACTTGAGTCAAACTGAAGAAACATAATCAACTTACTTGTCCTGCTGTACGCTCCTGCAGCGCCAAAAAGGGGCCACTGGAAAAGCTTTTCTTTCGTAAACGTGTTAAACTCTCAAAGCGCCATGTTTCCCATCCTGCCTTTCAGCGCTGTCACTCCAGCTCGTCTGTTTTGCATGGAGGGGCCCTTTGTCCTCAAAGATCCATATGCGTTCATGTCAAAACATACTCTGTATCTCATTGATCCAGCACATAAACACAGTAAAGCCAATCATAATGGTATGCTAACACCCTGTGACCCGGGTCAACCTCACCTGGTGCTTCACATCTTCGTCCTGATGGTAACCACATGCTTGTCCTGTTTCCAAATGCTACAGTTTTCCTCTGATATTCCAGCAGACTTTGGAAAAAGGGGGGACACAGTATTACAAAATTGCGCGGTCGGCCCTTAAGACCTTCCTGTGGAGGGGTAACTGAGAGGAATTGCGGCCTTGTTTTCTCTAAGTTTGTCTTTTGCAACCTTTTTGGATGCGAGGAAAGTTTGCTGCAGCTTCCATTAGACATCGCCTTCACCCTGAGGACCTCCAAGTGCTTAAACAGACATGCTGAAGAGAGATCTCTGTTTGGGAGATATTTCTGTTTACCAAGTGGAAAGTAACCCAATGCACCTCTTTCTTTCTTTCTCGGAGCCCTAATGTATTTTACTTGGAGGGTTTTTTTTCTGGCGTGATTGCAGGTGTGTGATAAACGGCTTGCAGAGACATCCAGCGGACACTTTTGTGATACAGTTTCAGATACTTTGGCAGTTTGAAGGTTTTTGCAGCTACTGGAAGAATTTTCCTTGAGTTTGTGTTTAATGGAGCCAAGACGGAGCTTTGATTCGGTATATTTATTTAAAGAAAACACGCCGGGATTCAGAATGTGCTCGCAAGCTGAGAACAGTGAATAAATCGCACAGATTGGTTCATTTGATGCCGCGCACCATTAAGTCCAGCGACAGCCTCGAAATCAAAGCAGAAGCGTTTTAATGAACATAATCAAAAGCAAAGATATTATGTTAGACGCTATAAATTCTGATGACAGCTCCTCTGATGTCTGGAGAGAATGTGTGTGGAGTTAGATTTAAAAACAATGAGATGTGATTAAATTCAAATCCGGCTATTTTCATTCTGCGAAGGTTCATCCCAAAGCAAAGAAAGACCTTCTGTTGGGCCAGGAAATTTTTGCGGCTGCAAAGAAATTCAAAGTATTAAAAATATTTCTTTCCCTCTGTGGTTCGGCGTGTGTCCTGACAAAGGGGAAAAACACCGGCTCAATCCCTTGTGTAATCTGACCTTTCTATCCTCTGTGGATAAATCAAATGAGGCCTGACTCCCCTGTATAAAGTCCACCAAAGGGTTACGGCTTTGATTTCTTCATCCTGGAAGAGGAGAATTGTGGTTGTATGGTTTACGAAACAAGCGCTGGTTAAGTATCTGGGGTTAGGAGCTTCTATTCTGAGACATGGTTTCATTTTGAGGGTGTAAATCACCCAGCTGACATGTGTGTGTACAGTAGGAAGTACAGACGCTCTGTTTTTCGAGGACCTTTTACCGAGACAATAGACGTGATGCTAAAGGAAGGCAGCCTGGCTGTCGTCCGCACGGAAATGGACAAACCTTGCGGGAAGCAGGGGGGCCTCTGCGGTTATCTCCAAGTGGATGTCAACAAAAATAACTCAGGATCATTTGGAGTTTTTCTCCCACTCAGCCCCTTTTAACAAAACCAAAGTAAACAATTCACAGTCAGAAATAGTCTTTGACCTCTCCTCAGGCCGCAACACACCACACTCAAATGTGTTTATGCTGGCGTCAGTCTCAGCGCAGTTTCTGCTGTGGCCACACAAAAACAACTCGTCTCTGATCGACAGATTTTGGAAGGGGGAGAGTTTAGCTGGCTGCAACCTTCTTCATCTGCTACTTAGACAATAGTCGTTTGATCTAGAAGGAGATTAAGATATGTAGTCGGAAAATTCATATCCAGTTAGACATGTATCAGGATGGATTTAATGATTATTTAATAGTCAGCAAAGCGCCAAGAACTCAGGAAGAGGATGCTTGTGCATCCGACCTCAGGATGCGAGGCCAGGAAAAAAGCAAATGATAAGCTATCAAGGACAAGAAATAGCAGAAAACACTAAAGGGATAGTCCGTATTTTTAAAGTGGGGGTTATATGAGGGACTGTGTCAAAAGTGAGTGTAATACCCACAGGGATCCAAGTTAGTTCGGACCCCTTATTGAGGAAAAGACATGATCAACCACTGAAGACGTGATCAACTCTAGCACATGATTTAGATAATTTTAAGACAGTCAAACACAGACATAAACAAAGTTTTAAGTAGGGTGACCATATTCTGAATCTATTCTGAATTCTAACTCAGTAAGTCCACGCGACACAAACTCGAAACTTCCGCACAAAACCCAGACATTTGAAGGATTTGAAGAACAAAGCCGGACAGCCCCTCAAAAAAGAGGACATGTTCAGGCAAAAGAGGACGTATGGTCACCCTAGTTTTATGTTTTTTGCCTATTTAGAAATGTATGAGCTCTTAACTCTGCTGTCAGAAAATGGTTCACTGATTGGCTGGTCTATACATCATACATGACTCAACTTGAGTTGGAAGAGCTAACCCTACCTGTCGTGATCGATCAGCTAGCTTCTATTCCAGTTAGCTGGTTTCTCAACGAAGAGGCTGACTTGGATCCCATGTAAGCTACACACTTAAAAACTAAAAAAAGCCTTTTCCTTTAAAAATTAACATCCTTAAAGATCCAATCTAAAACATAGACACGTGTTAAGTTTATTCAGTCATGGCCATTACACTTTAAAAGCCCATTATTGTATGTTTTGCACATTCAACACCTAAAGCATGACAACCATCTGTGGCCAAATAATGAAAGACAGAAGAAAGCTTGAACTAAAACACGCAGTCCTTAAACATGTGCTTTATATTTTTTTTGTAAAACTGCAATTTGATGAAGGTTTGCCACATTATAACACCATATGGTGTCCTTGTTCTTTAGCTGCTCTCACTTCTGTGGTTGAGGATTTGGTGTGAATGCTGCATTGGCAGCTCAGAGTGTGAGAAGTGTCAGGCTTTGTTTGTTTATTTGATTCCTGCCAAAGTGCATGGCTGTCTATGTCCGACTCCACATGATGAAATCATTAAATGTCACTTGGGGTTTGGTTATGTTCTGCCAAACTGCTCATTGACGTACGCTGCCATTTTAAATGTCAATATTTGATTCTGCCACAGGCCATAATTTGAAGACTGTTGTCAATATCTTATTGGGTATGTAACTTTGTTTGGATTAAAACATGATGGACCAAAATGACTCATTTGGTATAATGGAGGTTTTCTTTTTCAAGGCTGTAAGGAAGGGCAACATCTGTAAAAGAAAAGCAAAATGGGTCACTTGGAGAAAATGACTTAAAGTTGAGTCATGGGATAATACCTTAGCCGGGGAAGAGGAGGTCTGTTAATAATTTCCTTCTTGAGGTAAAACAAAACACAACAAAACAACAGGGTAGGATAATGAGTGTTTACATAAGCTTTAAACAGGTCTCCAGTCATCATTAACCCACTCAGGTTTGCTGCATTCCAGTGTGAAAGCAGACCTGTTACTGTTACTGTAGGTGTCCAATCATGAGCTTTGACCTTGGCCTGGAGAGCGACTGAAGTCATACGAGCCCCTCGCTTTATTACCCTTGAGACACAAGCTAAATATCTCATTGAAAGCCTCTGCTTGGATAATGATGAATAGATTCCATTAGCAGGGAGGGATTAAACTCAGCAGGAGGGAGGAGATGAACTTGCTCATAATTGAAAAGAAAGGAAGGAAGCTCGGCAGGAAGACAGCACGCAGGTCCATCCCCGCGGCGAGCTGCAGAAACAAAAGGCCCATCGTCTCGCTCCCGTGGGGACCGAGGGGGTGGCCTGGAAAGCATGTTGCTATAGTGACTGCTCGGTCACTTGCCCCCCCTGAGCGCTGTCTCAGTCAGGCGCTCTGTAGTGTACATAGGATCTGCCAAGAGTCAGCAAGATCAAAATCTGCCCTGGAAAGCGTGGAAGCTCTGCTAAACCAACTGCAGCTGGCAGGGGAGCTTTTTCCTAAACACGGCCACAAGTTAGAGAACTTGACAGCACAGCATTTTTCACAGCCTCAGTACCCCCGTCTGGCATTGAGGGACTGACCCCCCAGCAAATTACAGCCCCCATTCTGTGTAAGTTTAAGTGATATTCAGGGGATTGATGTAGGGTTTTAAGAGTGATTTTGGTGGTTTTACAGCAAGAGACACATCAGATTTGGTTGTATTATGTGTCACAAAAAGGTTTTTTTGTTTGTTTCCACCAGTTTTGTAAACTAAAGTTAAAACCTGCTCATTTTTGCAAAAGAATATACAACAGAAACCCATTAGTTATGTGTAAAAACAGCTTTTGAGCTGTGAAATACGGTGCTACAGTCTGCTTCCTCCTATCAAAGTAGTGTGAAGAACTTCTGTAGGACTGATGAAGCTGATACACCCGGAGCCTTTTCCATTCTGCAGTCCTACAACAGCACTATAATGAAGTTTTGCCTTAAATCCCAAAGCTTGCAAGCAAGTTAGCCTACCTCGAACAGCAGGATCTCTATGTGTTTGTTCCATGATGAACAAAAGAGTTGGGAAGTCCAGCTAACTTTGGCTAACTCTTAAAGAAGTGGTTGTGGTGACAAATGACCAGACAGTCCAAACTTAGAACAGCCAGTTCTGAAATCTAACCACTTTCTTTTTGGATTCACAACTCAGTAACTTATGAGTAAAGTCAGAGGGTTAAAATCAAAGATGAGACTGAGTTACAGCCAATAGCGTTGGTCCCACCGCCACTTAGCTTTCCAAGTTATGTTGGGAAAGTGTTTTTAGGCACAACCAGAAATCCAAAACAAAGAAAAGTCTTCTTCATAGTTTAAAAAAGTGTATTGAATCTTTGCTCTATCGGTCCCTTGATTTAACTTTGATATAACCTGGTTATTCCACTTCTCCCAGTCTCTCTGCACAAAGTTGAACCACTGAAAACTGAAGCCCCTGTATGTCGTTTCAAGCCAGACCGTGTATCCTGCAATGGCCTATCATTGTTTGCATTGCAGACGCCTCACTGAGTTTGGATCTAATGTAGCTTGACATCTGTGTGTGCGTGTGTCTGTGTGTGTTTGCTCTTTGCTGTTTAGCCTGTAGACCAAAGATCACAGCGACAGAGACAGAGAGAGAGGGGAGCCTGATCATTTTGCATCTGATCACCAACTTCTGATAGCACCATGAGCTGGGACTGAGGACAAGCTTCTGAGTTTCATTTTGTGGTGAGTCTGGCTCTTTCTGTCTACTTCTTTTACTATGTTTAAAGCTGATTTACATATGGTTCACATGTGTGGTTTTATGCTCAAATTTCAGTGGAAGCTGCATCAACAAATGAGCAAATAACCGCTGAAGTATTCCAACCATGATAACCGCCGAGGTTATCAGTTGGTATGATTTGAGGTCAATTCAAACCTAAACATGCGGTTCGTTCACATTGAAGACATCCATGTGATCCGTGCGTGGGCAGAGGGACATATGGTTCGACTTAAATAGCTGTGCACACAGGTTAGCGTGGGACAGCCTCAGAGTTTGTCATCAGTTCTCATGAACAGAGTGTTTTTTTCCACAGCTAGCCACATCACACAGCACACGTAACCGGGGGAACGTTTCTTACATAAGTCGGAGGGGATCAAAAAAGCCCCGCCTTTTATTTGACCTGGTCTCTCCTCTGTTGCCATCAACACTCGTGTGCATAACAACATGATGTCACCGAGCCAGGGAGGTGGAAATTGTTCACAAACTGGCAAAGTGGGAGAGAAAAGCCAGAGTCAGCAGGAAAGGGCAGCAGGGTGGAGAAGCAGGGGGGAGGAAATACAGCGAGAGAGCCAGCGGCATAACACAAACCTGCTTCAGTATTCCATACAGGCAAATTCAATAGAAGTTTTCTGCAGATGAGAAACAGGCAGTGAGGAGGTAGCATGAGGGTAAACCAGAAGACTGGACATGGATAACGTTTAAATGAGAAACAGGCCGCTAAAGACACTGAACATGAACTTTTGACAGATTTTACTTCAAGAAAGACTTCCTTCTGGTGTCATGGCTGTATGCACACACAGTTGAAAACACAATAGAGCTCCTCAGACTGACAGGAAACACAAAGGACTGCCATCTTAAATGTCAGTGACACAATATCCTGATAAAAAAAATAAGTCAACAACCTGTTTTTCTCCACTCTGCGCTTCTATAATTGATCTGGGAGTCTCATCAGGCAGGAAGGAGTCCTTTGTGGCTGCTTGGAAAATTGACTCTTGACCTCTTTTATTGAGGGGCTGTCACGGTTCAGACAGACGGCAGCGGCAGAGCGCCATGTGCCAAATGCGTTATGATGATCCCAGTTGAAACCGGTGCTTAAGGGGGACACAGAGGAGGCTTTGTTTGACACTCGGAGGCTTCATCCCGCCCACCCAAACGCATATGAAGAAGTACTGCGGTCAGTGGGTTTGACATCCAGGCAGCGCACAGAGAGCTACTCTACAGAAGTGAGACTTTGGACAGATGTAAAAAGAAAACTTCACACCAGACATGAGAGTATTAATCCTCAGCATTTCCTGGACTTTCCACTATAAACAGAAAGAGATAGTGACGCTGTTTAAAGGAGTGAACGAGGAGTGACAGACTTTCATGTACTAGATGAAACTTCTTGAAGGTTTTGTTGTTGTTTCTGTCTAATTATGGTGAACGGTTACATTATACAGAAAATCAAATTCAACCTAATGTGCCATTTGTTTCCTATTTTTTCAGGTGTGAAGAAAAATTCAAGTTCATCATGGATGTGAAGAAAAAAGAAATGGACCTGCTCAGCAACAGCATAGCGGCGTATGCGCACATCAAAGGTGAGTCACGATCCCACCCAGCTCGAACTTTAAGTAGGATGGAAAAAGCGCCAAATTTTTTAACTTATCAAGTTGTTATTTTTTCCTTACTTCCAGCAAACCCAGAGAGTTTCGGCCTTTATTTCGTCCTCGGGGTGTGTTTCGGTTTGGTGCTGACCCTCTGCCTCCTGGTCATCCGCATCTCCTGCAAGCCGCGGACCAACATCCCAGCTTCTTCCACGCCTGAGAAAAAACAACTCAAAGACATCAGTGAAGAGGACGAGGAGAGTGAGGATGACGAGGATGACGTAGGGGAAGATGTTGAGGCAGCTTTACCTTTGCCCAGCACAGAAATCCCTGTTGGTAACCACACCAGCCAAATAGACGGGACTTTGAATGTTTTCACCTCAGCGGAGGAGCTGGAGAGAGCGCAGCGGCTGGAGGAGAGAGAACGAATCATACGTGAGATCTGGAGGAATGGTCAGCCTGATATTTTGGGAACAGGGACCGGGACTATTGGAAGAGTGCATTACTACTAAGACGACACACAAGGCTTTAAGGGAAACACTGTGAGCTCTTTGGAGGACAGATAGACCTTTGGGTGGGCCTTATGACCCAGATGCCTGTGAGACTTGAGATTCTGTGCTAAATACATCCGACATCATGCAAAATGGACAGCAGTGATGACACAATGATTTGCCAAAACTTGGCTATGAAAGTGCCAAGCTATCTGATATTGCACTTCCTATGTAGCAATGTTATTTTTACTGACTACATGAATTTTAACCGAGAGATGTCTTAAAAGGTATTAATCTAAATGAAGAAGATGCAGTATGAATGTGGGAGCGCTTATTGACAGAAATGCACACAGTGTATCTTTTAATGTATGTAACTGAAAAAAGACAGCATGTGTTGGGATGATATTTTTACATGTACTGTATGTTGCGAGCGAGATTATTTGTTCCCAGTGAGGAAAACTCTCCTCAAGTCTTGTCAGTGTGTTGGCAAACGCATAAAAAAAACACCCTCAGGTTTGCTGTAAGAGGAAATGAAATTGCTTTAGCTTGAACATATCAATTTGGGGGGTCAGATTACATGTAGCCTACAGTACAATACAAAGACAATTAAAATCGGAGTCAATAATTCATCAGTCTGTTCAATCTTTGTCTGTGTTTGCAGGGATAATCCCACCAAAGGAAATTACAGAATTAAAGTATTACATTGAAATAATTTACTGTTGTTTCTCCTCATGATGCTCATATGTTGGACAAATGCAGGCTTAAATCAGAGCTCATTTTCTTTGTACCTTTAGGCCATGGTCCTTGGATTTATAACCAAGATACAAGAGAGGGAGAGCCAGGATAATAACATTAGTAGAAAGGTTATTCTTTATCATTTGTTATTTCAATGCTTCCCCTAAAGCTCTGAAAAAGGTTACAAATACAAGTATCAATAAAAGCCTGGAACTTTAAGCAATTTGACTGCAAATTTTTAAGGCTTTGGCAAAGTCAGATATGAGATCTGTAGAGGACGCTGTACCGATAGTAAAGGGGAATGAAAAATTCCTGGAAAGAAGTTTGAAGGAACGAATAAATCTTTGAAGAGGGGGTATCATGCAGTTTTTTTCTGACTATATTTCCTTTCTGATACCCCTTTAATACATACCTGCCAACCTTTGGGTAATAAAATCTGGGAGATTTACATAAAAGCATCAATCCAGTGTCTGTGTGGCTCAGCAGAAACACAGGACAATCTCTGGTTGACTGGAAACCTGGCAACTTTGAAGAAATAGTGATCCGATTCATGAATGACCGTGGACCATGCAAACTACGGGAGATTCCCGGGAGAAATGACAATACGGTAGGTGGACAGGAAATAGGTCTGAAATACGGGAGAGTCCCAGGAAAAATGTGTTGGCAGGTATACTTTAATAACTTTATGTGATTTTTAGATTTAAAAAAGGCTTAAATTTCTTACAGTGGTGCATTAAAATATTATTCTAGTCTCCCTATGAAACACTTAGTTGTAGCTGCTGTCTATTTAAGCTGCTGTCTCTTTAAGACACCCCCCCTCCAGCCTGCTTTCTTCTGATTGGCCAACTCTCCGGAGGCTTTCCGGAAGCCGGCTCAAAGCAGAGCTTGTTGTTTTGGCGCCGTTTCCTCGATCAGCTGAGCAAAGGAGCAGAGTAACCTCTATAGACATCATACATGAAAATATATGTTGTGTCCATGGTTATCGCGCTCTACTCTGGATGTCAACTCACACCTGCTGGAGTCGGGCCGTTCCGCTCCGCCGGAAGCACATCAACCAATAAGGAGGGTCTGTGAGTCTTGCGTCAGCTGTAAGTAAATCTCGCACACATACTGTGGTCGGTCTCGCATTTTCGCGTGTTTGTCCGAGATTTGAGCAGTGTACATCGACTTTCTCAGGTTATGACAAAATACCTTTTGATTTGAAACTTTTCATACAAGTCATATGGACACCGAAGTTTGAAACTTTGCAGTTGTCATTGTAAATGTAGAAAAGCATTTTACCCTCCCTTTAAAATGATGAGAAGTTTGACAGTATTGTAAGCTTTAACAGTGATGTAAATTCATATATTTCTGTTAACTATGACAGTTAGCTGTCTCTAAATTAAGCTAAAAAATTGTGTTTATAGAATTCATAGAGAACTATTCACAAAGCGTTGACAGGTTCATATTCTCATATTTACAAGTTTAAATGCTTTTCTCTGCAGCCGTTGTTAGGGTTAGCAGATTATGCAGAATGTGTTTCTGAGGTTCATTTACATTTATTTTGAGGGCCTAGCCTCTGATTGGCAAGTGCTGTGACACGTGATCAGGGTTGTCCAGGATGTTAAGTTTTTGGGTTATGTCGTAGGGATGACACGATGGCTGACGAGTAAAGTGCTGCTAAGAAAGTTATCCGTCTCCATTCTGCTGTTTCTCATCATTAGAATTATCCAACCACCTTACATCGAACCTTTACATTACAGTATTTTCAAATGGAAAAGTCGGTACCAGCCTTGATCAGATGCACCTTTTAGGTACAGCTTGGCTACTTCCCCTGTCAACACCTTTCTGCCTTTGCTATTTTTATAGTTTGGTAAAACCATATATTGTATATAGAATGGATGCCGTCTGTCTCCTTGTTCGGTGAAGCCACTCCGAGAACAGTGCACTCTCCCGGCTGGCTGCAGTATAGGTCATAAATCCGACCTCCGCCAGCAAAGCTAATGGGGCTTATAACACAGAACATGATTTTTTTGCCTCCCTGCTTGCGATGTTGACATGTAGTTACTGTAAGACTGGTTTGCGCTCAAGTCCTCTTTTTTCTGTACAGGTCCGTTTTAAAAAGTACAACACAACTGCGCAATGTTGGTTATATACAGTCTGGTATATATTGGTATATATGGGTAAAACCAATTCATCGACTAAATATCTAGCCTATGTGCTGCAAGAGTACTAATATTGTCTAAGTTTGTACACAAGCTTCTTATTTCTCTGAGATCTCTTTCCTCAACTGCTCTTTACCTTTTTATAATTGCCACCTTAGGCTCCTCTCACTCTATCTAAGTGTTGTCATCATGTCATAATTACAGTTTTTCAAGTCTGCTTCTGATTGTAGGTGCTTTGTGCAGGATCGGCCACACAAAGAGAACACTCACTTCATTATAGCTATATTCTCCTTCTTGCCTCGCGGGGAAATGACCCTCACACATACAAAAATAAATTCCACATAATAGCTGTTGTCAGACTCTCTAATGTGGTTTTAGGCAGAGTGTATTAATGTCACCCCCAAAGCTCAATTGCTCTGACTGTGGTTAATGCGCACAGGGAGTGGAGCAATCAGAGTTTCGATTGCCAATATCAACTCTAATAAATCTGTTCTACGTGAGTAACACATTATTTGGCTGCTGATGAGGAGCTGCAGAACAATGATGAATAGCCCACACTGGGTGGTTGTTTGTACTGGCTATTATGTCAAGCTTTTTTGTGGTTTGGTGATGTACAAAATCTGACAGTATGAACTCTTGGCGAGTCAGTAAAGCCATACCAGAGGAAAAATGTACCGAGTACTAATTGGTGAATATACCAAACCTAGAGCAAACACCTTCCATCCTTCAGGCTGGTGCAGCATTTCTAGGTTTTGATGTGGAGATTGGCCAAGAACTTCCGACTGAGTCGTCCTTGCAGCAGAATTGAAGCAGACAGATTCCAGGCTCTGTTTTTAGACGAAGTCCACAATGAAGTCGCCTCTGTTGAGGTCTTAAAAATGCCTCTCATGTGGTCTGAACGTTTTAAAAATCCGTGGTGTTGATGATGTGGACTATTTGAAGTAGTTGAGTAATTATCATATATGAATGATGATTACCTCCCAAAAAAGGAGCCAAAATGTGTTTTACTAGACCGTGGTCTCACAGGATGTAATCAACATATATGCAAAATCCTGTATTTTGCCTGCAGTAATTACACATTTGTGGAGCAATGTGGGGATATGCATGAAGCAAACACTAACATGAGTGGGGCCTAATTAAAGAAAGCGATAAATCTGAACCACAACATAGTGTGGGAAACATCGCTACAAAGAGATGAAGATAGAGCTGGCTTTTTTGTGGTCATTTGCCAAACCCAGAAACCAAACATGACAGCAATAACACATATAGCTATTCAGGCTATGTAACCCGTTTTAAATGGTTAGATTTATCACATTAGATCACAACATCCAAATCTGAGAATTTTCCATGACCAAAACTGCACATGCAATACGTCTCCAAGGTTATAAATAGATCTTTGAATCTCCCCTATGAACCCTTTGGCTCATATTTGAATAGCTTTTGGAATATGCAGCAGATTTATTGCCATTTCCCATGAGGCTATGCATAATTTCCCTCCAACTGCCCAGCTCTCTTCCTTGACAGAGGCGATCTGTTCTTTGTCAGTTCAGCTCCTTTTTCCTTGATTTCTAAATTTAACTCCTGCTGGATTTTTTTTGCATTTGACCTCTGAGCTGCAAACTGCTTCAGTTTTCAACACTGGGTTTTCAGCGCTCCACAGAGTGCGCTGTGCTTTGTCATTTTAGTCTCAGACCTACAGCGCTGTATTGCCTCCTGAAGTCATGCATTCACACTAGCTGGTTAGTTTCTTTTATAAGAGTATACAGAACCTTGTGTTATTGAGGACATTAGAAGTGGAAAAAAGGACATTATTATTTATGTCTTTCTGCAACGTCTGCATATTAACTTTTTCCTTTTGTTTATTTAGTTTCACCCCTTGTCTCTTCCCCATGAAGGAGTGTTTCCTTAATGACCATTACTCAACACAGTTTTTAAAAATAGTACGTTCCCATGGTAGTTTCAGAAGCCCCCCTGATGAGTTCCAGATGTCTTCCAGATGTGCTCCACAGCGGGCAACACAAGTAGGCTTCAACAGGAGCACGCCACCTCTACTAAAACCACCACCACCAACGTTTGGAGCCAAATCTATACTCCGATAACAGCTAAATATGGTGAAGTTAAAAACCTCTTGTGGGTGCGAAGAATTTCTCATTGATTCTCTTCCCACGCTTTCTACATCCATTGCAAGTGAGTCACGACGTTCAGGGTTTTCAGAGTGAGTCAGTTTTTCTCCGGGTGACACAGGATGCCTTTTCCACTTAACTGCTTAAAACACAGGCAACCACAACCTCCGTTTAACTCCTGAGACATCTCAACTACTCTTTGTTTCATAGAGGCACCACCGTCAACATCATCATTTGCATAAATGTTAACACATGCACCCTTCTGGATACATTTTTGCTGTTGTTGTTGTTGCTTTTAAGATGTGAGGCAGTTTGTAGCATCAAAACCTTTACACTAAGTCAGCATTGACTAAAAGATTAACTCCTTTTCTTGTACAGTTATCATACAGTGCCACCTAGTGGATTAAAATAGAATTACATTTGGTTTTAAAGAATCCCCTGCATGTCTACTCATGTTGTTTCCAGTGTTTTTTCATGTAAAAGAAACATTCAGATAACAGTTCCTTGACTTAAAAGTATATTTTAGGTCTTTGCAAAAGACATGACAATATTTCCTCTTATGCACAGCTGCATATATCACATGTTGCATTCATTATTATGGATGTAAAAAGTACAATTGTACAGTAAGTTCTGTGAGAAGAGTGATTGAGGTGACAGTTTAAAAAGAAAAGTATAAAACAGAAAAGTACAAAACAGTCCTCTGAACCAAGAATAACCCAGGCAGACCAATATTTAAGATTTCCAGCATTCAAATATGTTAAAACTTGAACAGTTAAAGTCTTTCAAAGGATCAGGACTCTCCAGTTCAGTGCAGGGTGAGCGTGATCCTTTGTCAAACATCCAAATTTAGCCCTCAGCGGCGTGCCAGCAGTTGGAGGGTTCGCTTGTCCTCTCTGTGCCCAGTCCATGTCAGAAAAATGTTCATCTCATCTCGTCTGCAGTGCAGGAGCTTGTATGGCGCTGTGTCAGAGCAGCAGCCCAGTCCCAGTCCGTGTTTGAGTTAATGCTTCATCCTCAAAGCTTTTATTTCCTCCTGAATGGGGAGAAAAACAAATAACAATCAAAGCCGCAGTCTGCCTCTGTATTTTTCCCTTTTGCAGCATCATCAAACAATATAACCGCATGCAAAACACGCCTCACTAACCTGCAGCGCTATTCGTTTGTTTCGCTCCTCCTTCAGTTCTTCTTTCACTTCTTGTATGTCTCGCCTGTTCAGAAGAGACAGAAACAAAACCAGGAGGTTGCAGACATGAGTTTGCCAAAGTAGGTCAAGATAAACAAAAATCAAACGAACAGATAAAAGTTCTGTCAAACTGTCAAAGTTCAATACTTTTTAATTTGGGGTTAAATTGATCAAAACAGGAACAGTTTTAATCTTTAACCCATTAATTTAGCAGCTTTTTTTGATTATACACTGAATGTAAACAGGGTCATTCCTGCTATTTAAATCTCAGATCTGTTTTATAAAGCCTTATTGCAGGTTTTAGTCCATTGTTTAGTCTGTAGCTTTTGCAACTTTGCGGTTTTGGTCCAGTCACAACAAAAATAACAAAACATTATAGGAGATGTCAGCCAAGCCTAGTCGGTACTCAGTAAGTTTGTGAATGCAAGGTTAGGCAACTGTTTGGAAAGACAGTTTGAGCATGATTTTCTGAATAAAAAGGCTTTTCTGAAATTAGATAGATAAAAATCTTTTAATTTTAAGCCCTTTATAATTTCTGTGATTCAGCTACTCAGGATCAAATCACATGCTCAGGCAGCAGGAAGTAAAGTAGGCAGGATATCACATGCCCGCAACTGCACACAGCATAGTTTACCAACCAAGCTGCTGTGATGCTTCACATTAAAGCGCTTCCACAAGACCAAATGACGCAAAAGATTCAAAGTCTTTGAGTCCCTTTTTTCTATTTTCTGAGGGAGGATTGGAAGTCTTGTTTTTGCTGCTGTTTAAGCTCCGATTAGACTCTTCCTGCTTGAGCTTGTGTCAACAAACACACACAAGATTCACTCAGGATAGGAGAGTCCGTCTACACCCTCTCAGGCAAGAACATCTGTGTGGTTTTAAGCGATGAGAATTTTTTGAAAAGTACGGTAGCTCTTATCTTTTGAAACATGACTCAGCTATTTAGGTTGTAGACAAATGAGCGGCACTCACTCCTGTCGGGTCTGCAGCAGCTCCAGAGCTACCCTCAGCTCTTTGATTTCTGCCTGCAGGCTTTCCATGGTCGGCTCATCTTTAAGGGTGACCGTCTTGCCATCTACCGCCACTTTGGGTGGTACTGGGCGAGTGGGAGGCGGTGTTTTCGGTCGGGGGTCGGGCTTTGCAGGTGACGGCAGGAGATTTTCTGTACTCTGTGAAAAAATAAGCAGATTTTACAATCCAGGTAAAAGAGTCAAGTAGATGTCAGCTGTCTGTTGACATTGTGGCAAAAGTATTAACATTTTACATAAGTAGTCTAATGTTCTGATTTGATCGTTTTAAGTACAAGTAGGCTGGTGAGAATCTGTTGCCATGACAGCAGAGGGACTATTGCTGCGTTTGAGTTACCTCAGAAGTCAGATGTCGAAGTTGGAAATGACGTCACACCCGAGTTACCAGCGTTTCAGTTACCAAGTCGGAAAAAAGCTAAATCGGAGGTGGAGAAAAGATAGCTACATCTACGAAAGTTATTTGAGCGCTTGTTATTTTAGTTATTTTTAAGTTATTTTAGCATCCTCTTTCGTAGATGTAGCCATCTTGTTTCTGCCTCCGATTTTTCTGTTTTCCAACTTGGTAACTAAACGCTGGTAACTCTGGTGTGACGTCATTTCCAACTCCGACATCTTACTTCCGAGGTAACTCGAACGCAGCATATTTTTTAAGTTGTATCTCTGTAATCATCAATTGTTTGTGAGAACTTCATTTCTTTAATTAGTAGTAGTCAGGTGGTTATACAAAGTAGGACTCATCCCTTTCATTATGCATCAGGGTCTAGCTCACCCTGTCAGGATTCTAATTAGCATCACCAATGTCCCTACAAACTCAATTCCATACATGCTTGTGCTTCACTGGAGTAGAAAGTTCTTGAGTTTTAAGTCACAAACCTTTCGTAAACCAGAAGTTTTCTCTGTCTGAGGCCTTTTTGGCGATGATTCTGAATCTGTCTGGTCGGTGGCACTCTGGGCCTGCAGGAGAGAAACATACATCCATATAAAGTCAATGGACATCATTCCTCAAAACTTTCTTTGAAAACTGCAGCTGTGCCAAATACACACCTAGATCTGACTTTAAAGCAGTCAAGGGCAATCCATAAAAGGATATTTAAGGGATTTAGGATACCTGCTTTTTCCAAGAATTACTCTAGAGATCAGGTCCAAACGAGTTGTTCATGAAAGTGGAATGGAATGTGTTTAAATCATGAGCCTTTCCTTTGCTCAGACACATCTTGTGGCTTCATTGTATTTTGATCTACTGGCTCTGCAAGTAAAGATACTGATCTCAAAGGGGCTGCCTTCCCTTTAAGCAATAAGAGAATAAATAAAACGTTTGCTGTAGCAGCGCAGATAAAAACTTGACAGAGAAATATATGACTATTGCAGCAAAGCATAACGTAAAACTGTTCTGTTTAAAGAGAGGCAGTTTTTCTAGCTTTACCAGACAAGTGTGCAAAAGATAAAGAAGGGAGTTGCCTCACTGATAATCTCTAGTTGCAAAGGTCATCTGCAGAAATAGTGGTGAGAGTTATTACTGTTGTGGTTCAGCAGTTGTTACAGGTGTCTGCCTTAGTCATGTAACACACTTCAAGCAGAATGAAGAATGAATATGAATCTATCACTGACTGCTGCGACAAGGCCTGACGGTGGTCTCCTCTGCGGGGGCTTGGCTCTGTTTGCTGTAGGATGACTCAGCTTTTCAGTCTGCGGGTCCACACCTTCGAAGTGGTTGGAGTCTTTCTCCTCTGGTTGTTTCGATGAAAGGGGAGCTGCATCACCGTTGGTTCTGCTGAAAGAAAGAAGAAACAATATTAGGCATTTGTGATTACAGAAAGGAGCACTGAAGGGAAAAGCACTGTTAGCATATCTCAGAGATGCTTTAATAGCTTCACTCGTGAAAGAAAACTGCAGGCTGTGGTTACATTTGCAAAAGAAAAGCTCTTTGAATGTGGTTTCAGGTTTCCTTAGCTTTGATAGGAGCAGGTGCAGAGCATGATTTCAAGTCTCTTTGCACTTCCCATCTTGTAGAGTGAAGTGTTTCACCTTTAAAGTGCATGTACAACTCAATTTAAATAACCTTAATGCATAGATTAGATTCACCCCTGGGTCAAGGCGTGAAAAATCAAACTTTAACACACGGTGAAAGTTTCTTTAGTAAGCTGACTTGGAAGGTATCTTGTTCTTGAATTTTTGCGTGTTAGTAAAAGGTTGTTTTCCATTAGCAGTCCCCTCAAGACAGGGCCGTTTTTGTTTTCTCAGTCTGGCATGTGTGTGCCTGTTTGTGTGTGTTTCGCTCAGGAAACAGGAAATAGGCTGCTCTCGTCTGTTTGGGCCCGATCTGACTCATCCCAGAGTTTCCACTGAGCCACTAAAGGTCGGGCATCCTGGCATTCTTCTTTAAGGACACCATGGCAACTGTTGGCGGTGACCAAAGCCTTTAACATCTGAAGGCGCCGCTCTCAGTGCCAGACTGAAGAGGAGAAATTGTTCCTGACATTTCTAAAAGGCCTTTTGCCTCAAAAAAGGTTGCTAATGAATTACCATTCATGGCCCTGACATGGAGGGATTATTCTGCTGTAAGACCTTTGTGTTTCTGCACACACATTAGTCCTTTAGACACAGAATCAGAGGTGCTGCTGTTGGCATCACTTACTTGGTTAAAACCTTGTTGGGTTTGTCTTTGACTGGGGGTGGGCTGGGCTTGTTGAAGGATGGCAGCTTGACTTTGGTTGGAGGGTTGCTTCTTAGGTCCTTACCGTCTGGTTTATCATCTGGAACACAAACTCGTTAAATCACCTCTGAACATATCTTTTAACGGTAGAGTGTCCAGTGGGAATTCTTGCGAAACCACTTCTATTTTTACCTTTTGTCTTTCCTGGTCCACCTTTCTCCATCGCTGACGTGTCTGTCTTTGCTGAAAAAGTAGCGATAAATTAACCATTACTACAAAGTTGTGATGGTTAAAAACTAGGCTTGAAACCCATCAGCTCTTGTCTGTCCCTGGAGAGATTGTTAACGGTAAAGGACTGTTAGGCAAGATTTCCTTTGAGAGTGAATGTGGGGTTGAGACACGTCATCTGCTGATTTCTAGTTACACTGTCATGCAAATATATAATTTAATATAGGTAGCTAAGTCATTGTTAGAAAGCTGTTGAGTTCTGTGACTTTGTTATGGCAAACTGATTCGACTCTTCGTATAACCCACTGAGCATTTTTTGGTCCAAAAGAGGTCTAATAGACGTCTAGATATAGCCTAGACAACTGGTCTGAAATCAGGCCCCACAGGTCTGAAAACTACAGTTTTTTAGATGTCTGAATTTAGACCAAGTTAAGACCAAGTCTAAATCTGGGCTATATCTTTACTACACTGTATATTGCTCGGCTATCATAATTATTTTGGTTAAGTACTTGGAGATCAGTTATGCAACTCAAAGTTGCTTTTTGAAATAAATAGTTATCGAATAATGGGTTAAAGTGCAACATCTAAATTCTGTCTAAAAATATACAGAATCTAGACGGTTGAAATTAAGTCTAAAAAAAACTAGACGTCTGGTAGCTGTCTATTGCTTAGTGTAAAGCTGTTTTTCTGTTTACACGGAACGCTAACGGACGATATTCTTCATACCTCTCAAACAGACTAACTTCCTATACCAATGTGGTCTGCACCTGCAAGTCTAGTAGCATTACTAGAAAAAGTCTCATTTAAGATTATTATCGCATTTTGAAGTAGGGTGGTATGAGGTATTTGTTTATAGTAAGTGGCCCCTTAGAGAGAAACCCAACCGAGAGCAGGAACAGAAGCTGCACTATCTACCACCGTGGATGGAGACAACATCATGTAGTTTAGCTAATTTCAAAAAAGCATAATCCAAACATTAATGACGTTGCAAGAGTACACTCTATTTGAAAATTTCTAGTGCTTATTTCATTGCCAATAACCCAGTTTTTTCGCTCTCCTTTTGGACCCAACATATACACGTTGCTTTGCCTGCAGGGCATCTCAAGTATTCCCTGTAGGTACCACACTTACACTGACCTTACACAACCCCACTTAAAAAAAAAACCCCTGTTTAAATAGAAAATATTTGTAGCACAAAATAAAGAAGAGAGATCCTCCACATTAGCAACAACATCAGATTAATCTCAGTCTGCAGGGCGTGCAGGTGTTTTGTGCTAACAGCATGAGGATAGAGCAGGATGTTACTATAAGCAGCATGCATGCTCAGCAGATCTATCTTTGATAGATACAAGCCTTAACACCTCATGTAGGTGTGCTTTTCCTGTAATAAGAGAAAGCTCTGATACACTCTGCTCACACTGCTATTGTATTAATGCTGCATTGTTTCCATGACATGACTGGGGAAGACTTAAATACCAGCAGTAAAAAGCTGTGGGCTGATTTTATTAGCCAAAAGAGATGAATTTGTGTTTGTTTGGAAAGCATTAAAGGTTTAATGTGGTGGAGAAAAAACGCTTCTGGTCTTTTAATTAAACTGTAATCTAGTTTATGAGCAGTTGCATGGGACGGCAGAGATGTGAACTATCACTTTGGGAGGCCGGGTCACAGCTGTATCCAATAGCACTGCAGGAACAGTTCCCATGGGTCCCAACAAGTTCATCAGGGACAGTCAGTCTGGTTTAGCTCAGAGAAAAATACAGCCACTGAAGAGACTTTTGCCATGAAGACTAAAGGAAAAGATGCAGATTTCTATCTGTCATGCAAGTCAAGCTCTTACTCCAAACAGAAGAGGCTACACTGCAGCATAAATAAATAACAGAGCAACTCTAACAAGTTAAACTACATTACTTAATAGCATTTAAAAACACATCACTTTGCACAACAAGAGATGGATAAGACGGAATGACACAACAGGAAGCCTACCTTGAGTGTTCAGAGCATTATGCAACAGTCCCTCTCAAACAAACCATCCACACAGCAGTTGTAGCTCAAGCACTGCTTCTTGTGCTGGTTGTGAAAATCTCTGTGACAAAGCTCTCCTCCGTCTCCCTCCCTCCCTCCCTACCCCCTGTTTCCTCCAAGACTCCTGAACTATGTCACATGACTAGTCTAACCATCCCCCATCTCTCTATAGTCTCAGACTTCCTGTGAAATTCTTGTGAGTGATACAGTGTGGAAAAAAAAACTGTAATTGTAATGTGGCCGCAGTGTAGATATGGCAGCACACTGTTGATATTCAGGTAGTAAATGAGGGCTTTAGCCTTGGACACCTTGGACAGAGCTTTGTCACTTGCTTGTCAAACCACTGAAAAGGAATTTCTATTAAAGGAAGTTTAAAGTTCACATTTTCTTTGTGCTTAATTTTGCCGAATTTGCATCTTGCACCACAAGCAGAACACCTCAGCTGCAGCCTGATAAGATGCCACATCCTGCTCTGTGTGCGACTCACAGATTTGTTTTGACATCTTTTTGTTTTAAAGAGTGCTGATGACTGTTTCCCTTTTTACATTACATTAACCAAAAAAATTTAACTGAATTATCTTAATAATTAAAAGATCCTATGTGGAGTTCTTACTGAAATTTATATTGATGCCTCTACATGGCCTACAAAAGCAAACTGCCCCATGAGATTACAAATAAATTATTTCTTCATCATCATTTTCAGTTCCAGAGAAGGTGATTCATGTCATCCTACAGAAACAGCTGTCTTTACATCTTCCTCAACAAAGACTCCTGCTGAGTGAAACTTTCGGAAACAATCGAAAGAAAGCAATGAAAAAAAAAATACTACTAACCTGTGCGGAACAAAATCAGCTAGAAATACAAATAACTGTTTTTACATGGGGCGCTAAAGTAGACACAAACTAAAAGTTTGAAAGAAGAACTTTCCGTCGAGGTCGAGTTCGGCACCCCCTGTGAACAAAGCTGCTTTTACTTATCATGTCCTCTACAAGATTAGGTTGTGCCTTTTGACAAAAACATCTCATCCTGGTGACTGTTGTCAGTCAAATGTGTCATTTTTGGTGATTTTTCTCATGTGAAAATTGCATCAGTTTAAGGAATTAAAAGTTGAGATATACAAATAATGAATCTCATCCTTGATGCTCTTGCTTACTTTAGGAGGGCATCATTACAAATTTCAGTCTGTTTCATAAACATAAAAAACTCCTTATAGCAGCTTTAAATTTTAGCCATACTATCTTGTTCAATATCAAGTCCTGATTTATAAACAGAGGGATCTTCTGAAGCAACTAATTTCACGGTTGTCTAAACAGAAATTCAAATTCTGACCAGATAATTGAGTTGAGAAAACACATTCAGACAACAGCTGAAAACACAATTTAGCTAATGCATCAAAACAAGAGATCTCAGAGTCTGTGGGTGAACTTAAGTAGTTTGTCAATGCAGCTAATGCTAACAGTCAACCACCTCTAACCTTTGGTCCTCTTTGCAGGTTAATGTCCAAAATACTGCCAAACTGTCATGAGCAGAGTACTGCAGTGTTATGACAGAAGCCGCTACTGAGCTCCAGCTCCAGTTGGTGGAAGACGCATGACAACCATTTTTGATCTAGAGTAGGAAAAATATTATAATTTGTTTAACTAACTAGAAACTCTGATACCAACCAGCCACGGTAACAACATCAGTCAATAAAATACACACTTCCTTAAAGCAGACTGACACAAAGCTTGTGTTGTAGTGAACGCAGCTGTCTACGGCTTATTTCATCTAAAGGTTTAAGACTGCTGCATCAACTGCACTTTAAATCTACTGTCAGAGTTGATTTAACTGTGGTGAAGAACTTTTCTGGGAACAACACCTCCCAGTAGAGACACTTTTTTTGAGACCAAAGCTCTGTTTCAAATTTTAGAACAGATCGTGCACACAGTTATCACCACAGAAATGCACCACAACCGTCAAAAGCAATACTTTCTGACAGCACTGTTCAAAGATGGCCGATTTCTAAATCACACAGTTTGACACAAGTATGTTGTTACTTTGGATATATTGATGTTAAAGGAGTAAGCTCAAAGTTGCTGCTGTAGAGGAGGAGCAAGCTTTACTGCACAATAAAACACCACTTTTAATTAGATAGATTTGTAATAATCAATTCAAATTAGCAAAGTAACTTGTAGCCTGATCTGTCAGACAAATGTGGTCAAGGAAAAGTATAATAATAGCTTCCTAGTTGTAGCGCAGTAAGAGTAGTTTAAGCGCAATAATTGAAATCACTTTATCAAAGTAGTAAAGCACGGTGCAAAGTGGAGGAAACAGAAGTCAGATTAATTTAATGAATCAATATTTAGAGCTGTAGTGGATGTGCTCTCAGCATCAGCTCTACATTAACATAATGAAACTAATCAGAGGACCAATCTGACTGCTTCTACGCCGCTCACTGAAAATCCCCTCGCCAAAACCTCTGCCAACGTCTCCATCAGCTAAAACAACAGTCCTTCACAGTCCAAACTGCCTCACCGCAGTGCCAGACTAAACACGAGTGCATCAGCCAGAACCCATGAGTCAGACGAGAACCTTTAAAACATGTCAAACAGTATTTGTCCCTGTTTGTTTGATCAGTGCAGCGCGGCGCGAAGTTCTCTTACCTGGGACTTGCTTGTTGATGTTGCGAGCTGGCGGTTGGTTTGTGGTCCCAGACTGGAGGGGAAGAAGCAGAGAAGTCAACAGGTTGGCAAGAACGTCCCCTCATGAATTTAAAGGCATTTCTATTTCACACTCTTTCCACTGAGGGAATTTTCAGTGAGTAACTCCAAAACAGAGGATGTTAAACACAACCCTGACTCACTGTGAGCTGACTTGAACGTTAAGACAAGAACCAGCCAGCAGCAGATAAACTAACATGATTTAATCCAGTTTGTATATCATAAAAAATAAGAATTACAATCAAGTAGTTCCATGGATTCATGGCGGCGCAATTCAGCTGACAAAACTCGGATATCTCGTCTGCGAACAAGGTCCTCTGATAGTCTTGAGACAGTTTGAAGTTTACTCACTTTCAGAGGGTCCATCGGTGGAATCACCATGACGAAATTATCAGGGAAGAAGCCGCAGCACCCGTTTAACTCTCCCTCCCACCAGCCTTCATCTTCTGTTTCCTTCAGACGGAGATTAAAGAGTCACATTAGGAGCTCAAACACAACAGCAGGGTCCTTTGGGATGTCAAATTACAGCTCAAGAGGTTACCTAACGGTCAAGCAGGACATGTAAACTCTTTTTTTTTTCTCTTCGTGATACCATCTGATTAAACCAGCTGCCATTTTTGTGCAATGAAAACACACGTCACCGCGCACAGTGGTGGGATATAATCTCCTTGAAGGTGACACAACTGGTTTGGCTGGTTGGACAATATGATACAAGAGTGGAACTACTTTGTAAGAAACACCCAGAGGTGTTTACAGGCATGACATCATGGGAAAACACTGCCAGGAAAATAACAACACCGTGGGTCCAGACCTTTCTCAGGATCATCACAACGTCGCCTTTTTTCAGATCCAGCTCATCCCCAGCTTTGGCCTTGTAGTCAAACATGGCTTGGCAACACTCCGCCACTAAGGAGACACAGTGACACATATTATGGTTAGTATAGTCATAGACTCTTCTGAATTATTCAGACAGAAATAACAGCGTCTAACAATAAGGGTGAACCTTGTCTTTCTTGCACACACCCAGTGCATCATGACTAAGAGAGCAACCGGGAAGAAGTTGTGAAATTTAGAGATAAAAGCTGTAAACTTTAATCACCGGATCTTCTATCTTCTATGGCGAAACAGTCTATAAAGTGGTTAATTTGAGACACACAGTAAGTCTGAATAGTTCACCCTACCCTCAAAACACTCAGGTGATAGTGCAGGGATTCCCACTTGTACACCCTAAAACCCTAAAACCACTCAGGTGATCGAGTGGGGATTTCCCACTTGTAATTTGTTCCAGGGTGTGAACAGACCTGACCATCTTCTTGACCTGTCTAGCTTGTTTTGAAATGTTTTCCCCAAATGCAAAAGGAAAGTGGATTCCTCTGCTATTAAGTCCATGCCTTTACACACAGTTAATCATCTAGCCGCCCAAACCCGAAAGCGTGTGAACTCACCTTGCTTTCCTTTGTTCCTCACACTCGCCCTCTGAGTAATCTGAAAACAGACCCAGAACAAAAAACACATTTCAGTTCAATCCACACAAATTGTACGTTAAATAAACACTTACTCTACATTACTTACCTCTTTACTGAAAACTGCATCACTGAGCTTGGGTCTTGCCTTGCCTTCATTTTGTTTAATCTCTGTAATGAGCAGTCACCAATATTCTGTGTTAGAGCCGAAGACGTGCAAAATGTAGGAGTTGAAGCATAAACAGGAATGTTAGCTTTACCAACCTTTTGGGGAAACGAATATTTCCTTGACAAAATTAGATGGAAAAGCTCCAATTTTGCCATTTTTCAGCCCCATCCACCATCCATCTTCTATCTGTTTCATGAAAATAAAATCAGGAGAGAGGGAGAGAGCCATAAAATATGTGAGAAAATATGAAATTAGCATTGTTAGCTGCAGGATAGTTTTGGCTAAAACCCACATTTTTAGCTTTTGACGCCTGACCCTAAAATCTACAATGTAATAAAGATTTTATGTCTGTAATAGAGATTGATTTTTAAGTCAAAAAAGGGAAAAAAATAAAAATGTCATTTTACAAACCTGAATGATTTTAGGTTTGGATTAGGCGTAATAATCTTTTGGTGGGGGCTAATCTAATGATGGCCTAATTTACAGAGTACAGAACGAGAATGTGGATGGATTGGCTAAAATGCTGCGGTTGAGTTACCACGGAAGTCAGATGTCAGAGCTGAAAATCTGAGACCTGAAACAAGATGGCTACATTTACAAAAGTTATCTTAGCGCTTGTTAACCATCTTGTTTCCGCCTCCGATTTAGCTTTTTTCCAACTTGGTAACTGAAACGCACAGATTCTGTGTCCCCAATAGTGCAATAAATCACATGGCAGTTCATTGCCTGTTCAGCATTAAGGTGTATGCTAACAGCTAACCTTTATAGGTTATAAGACCAGTCCATAATGCCCCCTACTATTGTGCTGTTTGTGAACCATGTAACTGTAATTATCGTTTCCGATCAGATCTTTGGACGTGTCTCTTCACTCTTTTGTCCCGCATGCATTTCTATTATTTGACGTCATGTGTCGAGAAGCTTCGATAATTATTTTCTGTGTACATTCCAAAGTTTCGAGTCACTGTTTGGAGATCTCTTGTAACTTGGTGACGTGAACCCACAGAACCAGTTAGATCACTTCTCACACATTGTTGTGAAAAAAAAAGCTGTGATTTGTCCGGAGAACATGCTTTGTCAGCCAAACACAAAGAGAGTGTAACACCAACTATCAGTGACTCTGTTATGAGAAAAATGCTCTTTATTTACACCTAAGAAAGCTTCAGCAGCAATGAAAAGAGGGGACTTTACCTCTTTGAGGATCTCTACAGTCTCTCCAACATTCAGCACCAGCTCGTCATCATTCATGGCGGTGTAGGCAAACATCACCTCGCATTTCCTCACTTGTTTCATCTTCTTTGCTGGAAAGACAAAGATTCAGCTGTTACTTCGGCGAATAGATGCAAAGTTTCAAATCAAAACGCTTATAAAGACACTGGAGCTTTATAATGATGCGTTTGGATTAAGAGGATGCCGGCTAATCCCAACAGGATGGCCTTAAGGTGCTCATTTGTGTCTCTCACATGTTTAATCCTTCTGAAGCATTGTTTGTTTTATCTGCTCTATTTTCAAAGATGTTAATAAGGGTTTCGTGAGTCCAGGATGTGGTAGATGTATATTTACAGTCGGCGTGTGCTCTGCACTGTCTTGCTGGGTGCATGCACCACATTTACCTCGCTTGAATTTTCAGGCCCTTAGAGCCTGTTGCAAGCTAAAATAAATGTCAATAGTGTGCTATATTTAAAGGGTAAAATTTAAATGTAGAACATCATAACCACCCTGAACTAACAGCAGCAGCAGTTGCCTGACGGTGCGCTGTAACAGTGCAAAAATATCTACATCTGAATTATTGAATCGAGTCCCATTCAGAAAGGGAAATACAGCAAATTGCAGTGTTCATTTTGATATCTGTGTAGTATAAAGTTAACTAAATAGTGGGTAAATATTACATTTAGGAGCAAATGTAAACAAAGGGAGCTCTGATAATGTTCTTATGATCAAATGTAGGGAAAAGGAAATGATGTCAGAGGGGATATCCTAAAAATTACAGTGTCTACTTTCAGTAAAGAAATAAGGTTCTGTGAATTCAAACATTGTTTTACTTTTTCTCAGACTTCTTGGTTCCCTCTTGCTGTCCCCTATCAAATAGATCGGCACCTCCTGTAAAAAGAGAAAAGAAAAAAAGGTCATATCTTAACATCAACACGAACACAAAAACACACATCATCGTGACGTTACAGGATGATGTTGTAAGCCGTGCAGCATTTACAGACCTTGACAAAGGTGGCAGGAAAGATGCCTCTCTTCCCTCCGAGCTCCCCCTCCAGCCATCCCTCCTCACTGGCCTTGGTGACGTTTTTCACCACATCCCCCATCTTTACTGAGATCTCGTCTCCCATGGTGCCCTCGAAGTCGACCAGCACCAGCACCTCTGCAGTGGCAGCCGCAAATGGGGCAGAAAATTAGATCCTTTGCACAAAGGCTGGAGCTCTCGCTGCACAAGTGATGTGCCCTGACATTTTAATACCCAGACAAACACCCTAGCAGTGGAGGCTAGCCAAGGGTACGAGCTTTGAGGGAATGTAAGTTTCCAAAGACAAACCATGCAGCTTCTTTTGCCACCTTTCAGTCTTTACAAGTGGAAAACATACAGCAATGAAACATCAAAGTTAAGTCAACTTTCCAGCTCATTATTCATTATTCCCAGACGCTTTTGGTAAATAGTTAATGTAACAACCCAACAGATTCACACAGCTCTGTATGCACATATATTCAGTAATATCCAAGTATCAAGGCTTCAGTTTTGTTTACTTTTCTGAGCACAGATTTCTTAAATTACCTTGGGACGATCAAAACATGACGAAATTCTGACAGTACATAAAAAAGTGTCAAAGCTGACTCACCCATTGTTTCAATTTCTCTCTTTCTTTCCTATTTAAATGTGTAATTCCTTCACAGAGCTGCAGATAAACTCGCGTAGAAGCGGTAAGGAGAACTGAAAGAGTGCGACTGTCTTGTCTAAGCCTCAGAGATATGGCAGCCAAGGCCCTTCTTCCTACTTGTCAAACATTAACATTGAGCAACTTTTCCTGTGGGCTAGTCATGGCAAGTCGAAGACAAGGAGTAGGATGGGTCACACAGAGCAGAGAGAGAGAGAGAGAGAGAAAAGGAGAGAGAGAGAGAACAGGTAAGACAGGTTCATAATGAATGAACAATAATTATACTTAGAGGGTTAAACGGGTCATGACAACAAAGTTTAACACAAAAGTCAGCTTTCATTAGTTTTATAATAACTTAAATCTAGATCTTTCCATCTGATTTATTTCTCTGCACACGCCAAAAACTGCTTCATTTCGACTTCTTGGGTGTGGGTGTGTATTGGGGGGGTGGGAGTGTGTGTGTGTGTGTGTGCGTGTGTTTGTGTGTCTGTAATGATGTTGTGCATTTAAGACGCCCCCTGAGGCCACTGAGCGACTATTTATAGTAAGCAGAACCAGGCTACGCAAGACTGGATTTCACAATTCATAACAACACACTGCAAAAAAACAAAACTCTTTTTATCTTAGAGTAAGATAAAAACATGTTTGACGTGTTCTCAATACTCATGGGCTATATTTGTCGCAACTTGTCCTTCCCTTCTTTTTTTTAAGTATCTAAAGTTGTGACATTCACTTCCTCTTTAAGAAGGGGCAAACTTTAAAAAATTCAACATTTTTTTTAACTCAGTTTGACAGCTGGAGGGCTTTTCTGTGCACACGGTGGGTTTATGCTCTGAAAGGAGTTTTTGACATTCATTGAACAGACTAAAATTCATATTGATGTCTTATCATGATATCCAAAAGCAAACTAGATCATCAGCAACAAGACTAAACATATATCCAATTATTTAATGCCTAAAACAGGTGTCTGTAGAGCAGCTGAAGAAACAGATGTATGTCAATTTCAGCAAAAATAAAAATCAACAAATAACACGTGATTGTAACGAGTCAGCAGGATGTGATTTGCAAGGACCGCTTTGTCCACAGGGGGCGCCAAATTCAACACAAACTTAAAGATCCTCTAAGGAGCTTTAAATAGCTTTGCCATTAAGTGTTTATCTACAGGGTTAGGGTTTTCAATCTAGTGAGTCCTAGGTTTTCTAAAGAGATTCTGAGTAAATACTAATGAAAACCATTTGAATCAATACGTGGCATTTCTCTTTTGGTGCATCTCTACTGATCAAGAATAAGAATGCATCATTTCCAAATTAATCAAAAGCCTGTATCAGATCAGCTACCACATACTGCAACCTGGTGGAGGAACTGTAAGTAAAAAACCATCCCCCAGAGTTTACAGTTCATTAAAAAATAAGAACTGTCTGCAGAAAATAAGCTCCGCCTCTTGGTGAATATTTTTACATTGATTAGTTTTCGATATTTCTGGTTGAAAACAAGCTTAACAACAAAAATAACATGCTTCTCTTGTGTGGCTTCACTTTTTTCACCCTCACTCCGGTGTAGCTGTGCAGACTGGTAGTGGACGCAGCAATATCAAATACGTAAACCTCCGAAGAGGAATGACAACAAAAGACGCATCAGTGCAAACAATCAGTGTCTCTTTAATTTACAGCCTCTAAGATGCTAACATTGACAGAAACAACACCCTTTAAAAAAAGAAAAAAAGCAATGTCCAATAATAAGCAGGTTACCTTTACACAACCGTAAATCTTGATAGGAGTCCTACGCTGTAAAAATTAGACCAATGCACCCTGAACAAGGCACAGCATTTGTATATTTCAGTGGTTTGTGCAGTTTGGCATAAAAAAAAAACAAGTCTGATCTTTGATGAAACATCATTGCACTGAACATCACTCCTATTCTAGAGCTAGACATAACCACAGTATATCTTATCAACTAAAGATCAAATAACATCGGGCATCCTTTTACCAAAGTTTGGACACAATATACATATATCACTGCATCATCTTTGGTTGGAGAAAAATGTACAAACAGCAAATAAACACCACTGAAAATCTATGGCAATAGGAACAAAAAAAAGGCAATCAGTCAAAATCATGCCTCGTCAGTTACAAAAACCTTTGGTGTAAAATAAGCACGATCAATATTTAAGTTCTTTATTCCAAAGTGATACTCTAGACCAACCAAAAAGCCCCTGCAAAGAATAGAAACCTTTGACAGCCAAGTGTTTCATACACAACACAGTAAATTTACAGACTGTTATCCTAATGATAACGCTATTGTCACTAATGCCTTCCAGCTAAGATTGTAGGTCTTTTAACTGTGAAATTGTATTTACAGAGCATGACCTTTGACCCTGTAGAGTTTGGTCCCATTGTTTAGAGTACTTAGCATGATGTTTTTACAACAACATGAACTACAGTGCACATATTGCTGCTACTTTAAAATGCAGGATTAGTCAAATTTTTAAAAGAGTGATCCTGTTCTTTATTAAAATAAAATTTGGGTGATTGTTCTGGATCTTTATGCACTTTACTGTACTGTTTATCATGTAGCCAGCTAACAAAACACATACTTATTTTATACAGTTAAGGCACAGGCTGGTTTGATCTAAATGTCATAAGGGAGTCATTATAAATCATACACAAATCAAGCAAACAACACATGTATCCAGATTTGGATAAGAAAACAAAATAGTGCTTCGAATCCTGCTGTGTCAAGTAAGAATAAGTATCATATATTAAACCCAAAGAAAAAAGATTTCCTGCTGATGGCGGAGTTGTAAAATATTAAAACTGCATGTGACTCAGATGACAAAGTGAGATTGGAAAACAACACAGGGGGAAACTAAAATGATCAGCGTTTTGCTGCACTGATCAAGTATGAAGTTAATCTATTCTTCCTCCCTTATGGTCCTGGTCCGTCTCATCCTCCTGTTCGCCACTCTGCTCCCCGTTGATCTGGAACTTGTCATGGGCCCATTTAGGACTGATGGTGTTGGGGCCCCCGGTGGCTTTTCGGATGATGAATCGAGCCCTTCCACGTGTGAAGCTTCCCCGTCCTCTTCCTCTGCTGTCTGCCCACTTCATCTCTGACTCACCGTCTCTGTCATCGTGCTGAGAAAAAGATGGAAAAAAGACAGAGGGGGGCGTCAAGACGGCTGTTGCAATAGAAAACTCTTAAACTGAAACTTACAAAAAAAGTCATTGTTTTAATCAAGTGTTAGTCTGAACTTGAGCATCTGCCCATAAAGCCTTTATCGAGTATTAGTGTGATAAGAAACTAAAGTTAATAAGATGATTTAATCAGGTTTTTGTGACCACTTAAGTGCCTTTTAAATCTCCTTTGTTTAGTCCATTTACAACATGTCACTAAACTAGCCCACGGAGGAACACCAGACTCTGGCTGAAGAGTTCGCCTCTCATAATTATCGTGGTCACATCAGGTTGTCCTTTAGGCTTAGAAAAAGAGAGTAGGAGGAGCTGTTCGTAGTTGTCGAAAATCTGTCACCGCACTCAATAATAATTTGTGATGCCTGAATCCTCATTTGAGCGACGCCCCAACATAGACTGTATATCGTGTGGACAACATGGCTCCACCTCCCGTCATTGTACCAATTTGAAGCCAAATGGCTCTTGGCATTTCTGGGATTTTCTCTTTTTTCCTGAATCCAGCATTGGTGCAGCAGCGTCCTATATACAGTCTATGTGTCCCAAGGTTTGTCATTGGCTAATGTAAACACACATGGCTTGGGTCTATCCTACCAAGTAGTATTTCCTGCTCTTGGGGGTGAACTCTGGGTCCCAGTCCTCAGTTTTTGGATGCGCTTCCACGTTTGATACGTTGCTGCTATGGGAACAGTTTCCCTGATAATTGCCTCTGTTCCAGCCCCTTCCGCGAATTCGGACTTGCTGTAGTTAGACAAGAGACCAGGATTGAAAAGCTGAAAGATTCAGGCACTCATCAGACTGTTGAAGTCAAACTGGCTTCATCATTGGGCCAAAAGTGTTCAATATCACCGACAAAACTTACAAATCCTCCACGGGGTCTTCCCCTCTCAACTGGTCCTGGTGACTCCCGCTGGCCCAGTCGGGCCCTGTCAAAGCTTTTACTTTTGGAATCAGACTTGCTACAGGGCAAATCTTCCTTGTGAGACTTTGTGGATGAGGAAGATGAGGATGAACTCGAGCGTGAGCGCTTCTTCTTATTTTTCCTGGAAGAACCAGTGCATAAAAAATCCTTTAGACCCCTCTGTTTACACTGCACTGTAGATCAACTTGCAAACAGTAAAGTGTTTGGAGGTTGTACATACTTTGATCTCTCATGGCTTTTGGAGAACTTTTCTTTACTAGAATCTGGGGACTCTCCCATATCTCTTCCCCGATCCTGATCATAATCTCTTTCTTGGGTGGAATATTTTTTTCGGCGCTCAATATCCAAACGAAGGTCCATTGGGTCACCTTTCAGTTTTTCCCCAGCATCCTGATCAAACCAGAGCAAAAGACAACGTCGTGGACAGACTTTGGATTAGCTTGGACATGCTATCAGTTTGCTCTCAGCTAAGCTGGTTTGTAGACTAAATAATAAGGTCCATGAGAAAAGGGGGAAACTCTTGAGAATAGCCCGCTATTTAAAACCAAATAAACTGTCCAGGGCGCTTAAAGTGCCGAACCAGAAGTTCTGCATGTTTTAGGATGATCTAAGAATCTGAGCTATTCTCCAAAGCATTTGTTTTTGGATTGATTTTCTGCCTTCAAGTAAAACGTGATGGACAAATCCACAAGAAAAGAGACTCAAAACTTGCCTTGGTTTGGCAATTCATTACAATACAAAGTTATTGGGTGGCCAGCTGCTAAAAGGAAGTGCTTTAATGTCCTTGTTTAATGCAATTGGCTAAACTCCAGGATCCATCAACAGTGACTAAGATGCTCCATGTAAAATATCACTTTTCAGCCATGATATTAGCATCAGAGCTTCTGCAACATGGCAGAGTAATTTTTTAACCCAGGAATGTATTTCCTATTATAAACGGGTCACTGCAGGTTGAATGCCATATGACACAAACAGAAGATAATATGTACTTGTATGGTGGGAAACCAATCAAAAACTTTGACTTATGCTTTGGGAAATAGTCACATGTAAATGAAATCAAGCTGCTCCATGACAGGCAAAACTACTATCGTGGCTTTGTAACGAAGGATCAGAGAGAGAAGAGAGGACTGTTCATGCTCAGTCAAGTTACTCAGTTTGATTATTTTTAGTAGTATTTGAACCTTATGTCTGCAAACGCTAGACCAATTCTACACATGCCAATTGATAAAGAAATAGGAGTCAGTTAAATACAGTTGAGGCCATATTTTCAAATACAAATGTACTGAACATTTCAAACCCCATCTTTCACAATTCCAAAACGTTCATGTTTCCATACACTTCCTATGGTCAGTCACTAATAATGTATGATTGTTAGCATCTTTAAGTGTTAGGACATGGGGTGCCACCTCCATTGCCAAATGAGGAAGGCTGCAGATACAAGCGAGTGAAGTTTCCACGGCGTGATGGGTACGTTTGGCCTTTGAGATAAAGAGCAGGGCAGTCGGAGAAGAGCAGCTGCTTCTTTGCATTGAAAGAAGGAAGTAGAGGTGGTTCGGGCATTTGGCTTCACCACCTTGAAATTTCCAAGAGAAGTAGCAAATATATTTATGCATCTGGGCCAACTGGATGGATGGATAAACTCCATCTATCCATCAAATGACATTTAGTCTAACAGAAATCCCCAGGGCTCAAAGTACCAAGGCTTAAAAGGTTCAACTGAACCCCAAGAGACAACTATTGGAGTTTGTTAAGGAATCAAAGATACATGGTACAAATTTATCCAAATCATCTGATAAACCCATATTTTCTGAGTGGATGAGTCAAAACAGGGAATAGTTTGACCACAATGAACAAAGATGTTATCGGAGGAAAGTTGGACGTTTCCAATCAATCTCAATCAAAATAATTAAGAGCATCATGTAGAAAAAAGCCTTATCTAAGAGTACTGTTGTAATACTTAATCTACAAGGATAAAATTAGAAATTTCTGAGAGAACAACAGTCCTCAGCATCCTCTAAACAGTTGACATGTAGCTCTGAGGCAACAAAGTCAGAGTATTGGAGCAGTGATCCAAAAACCCTGACTTGAATCCAAATTAAAATTTTTGACTTGAATTGAATAAAGGTGTCCAGAAAAGACGTAGGCTACACAAGTAATTGAAAATTGACAAGGCTCTATTTTCTTAAGTTTCTTTGGATTATGAACAACAGAGTGACACACAGAACATGTATGGAAACATAAAATATTTGGATTTGCAAATGCTCGAGTTTGAAAGTCCTTAGTATATGAGTAAAAGAGAATATGGCCTCAAACTAAAAGCATGGGTGCATTAAATGCTTTCTGTTTTTTTTTACTTCCGTTCATATTTTTTAAGAATACTTACGAAGACAAATGTTAAAGGTCCCTTGAACAGCTTTGGCACAGTGGCTTCCATTTCTGAACTTATATGATTCAAAGGCCTTGGTCAGGCTTGTGCCCACACTCTAACCAATCACCATGTGTGAAGGCGATATTAACAAACAACAAAGTCAAAGTGCCTTATTTTGCTCTGGCATTTCTTAGACTTTGTGCATCTCCTTTCAAGAAAAGCCGAAAGCTTTAAGAGAGTGCAGTCTAAAGGCATCTTTCTCACTTGTTCCTGTTGTTTGTTTTTCCAACATACTTCATAGGTCAAAATGTTCAGTCACCTTGTAAGTGCCATCCTCTGAGCTTTTCATCGCCTCAAAAACTTGAGAGTGTTTCTTAAAAGCTCTTGGTGAAACATCAATTCTTCTGTAAGGGAAAGCATAGTTAAGACAACATAGTTAAAAGCTCATACAGGAACGGGTGATTCATAGTGCAGGCGCCGACACGACAAACTCTGCTACGTACGATGAACAGCGAAGACGACACGAAACAGATAACAGGAGAGACAAATTGGTGGGAAAATAAGACTGACCTCCACCGAGCATGAGAACAAAAAAAGCCAAGGTAGTTTGGTGATTTTCAGGTAGGAAAGGTGAGAAAAATACCTGAAAGCTGTTAAAAGAGGAGGTGAAGCCACAGCACACTGAAGGTGAGAGGGTCACTCAATAGGCGACTCTACCTGTGTATCTCTGGGCTTTTTCTTGGCTTCATTATTTCCTTCTCTGCGGCTCGTCTTTGGTACACTGTGAATCGCTCGTTTAGAGTCATTCCAGAGGACTGAAAGTGCTGAGCTAGAAAAGGATGCAGGACATACAGCAGTTACTGTCATTGGTGAATATCGTAATCCTTCCGACCAACTCAGACTCTGCAGTGAATGAATTTTGTTCAATAGCGTTTCAAGAAGTATTTAAAATCCTTTCAAATGGCAAATCAATGACTAATCCATATAAGAGGACTCACCTTTAACGTGGTGAACGATGGTGACAATGTGTTGCGCAAAAAGCTCAGAGGGGCTCCTCTGTAACTGAGCTTTATGAACATGTTGAAAGATGGAGCGAAACTCCTGATCCTTTTTTGAGGCCTGTACAAGATCCTGAGACAACTGTCGCTCCTCAGCTAAAAAATCAGAGGAGCTGAAAATCACAACAACAATGTTCTTAGTCTGTTGCTCTCAGTCTTTATGAAAAAATGGCTAAAAACAGAAAACATACACTCCAATCAGATCAATTCACAAAATTAAACATACACATCAATGCATCATTGCGAGGAAAGATTGCACGTATAAAAGCCTGCAATTTCATGTGCAGGTACGACTTTTTGCTGATAGATGTGTGGCACCAACCAACATTACATTATACTCACCTTATCAAGTTATCTCCAAGGAAACCCATTCTAACATTAAATTTTGCTTCCTGTTTTCTGGAGGGCATGAAAGCCGAGTCATCTCCCATGATCATGAACAACTCTCTCTCAGAGTTTCTCCTGCTAGGTGGCGTAGGGGATGAGATTAAGGAAGATTTAGCCATCTTACTTGATGTAGCACCCATGTCTAGGGGCTCAAATTTTGCTGCTAATTCCCTCTTGGCAAGCGCAGCAGCAAAGGCTGTCGCTTTATCCTGCTTTCTACTGAGATAAATGTCCTCTGCCATGGCGTCAACATCACTGTTGGCTGCTTGTGCATAAGCCACATTGTGCCATTTGTCAAAGCATTCGTCAAAGAGTTCGCGGCCAGAGTGAGTGACCCTGCTCATTGGCTTTGAAGACTTATCGCCATTGTGCTGGTCCTTTTGGAGGGACTTAGAATGAGGCTTGATTGTCATCTCCTCCTCATCCTCTCTAGACAGGAAAGGGGAAGCTTTCAAGAGGCTGTTTAGAGACACTTCACCATCATTGTCCTCTGTGGACTTTACTGACATTGAGTCAGTGATGGTCGCAGATCCTTTGCCATTTACTTTCCCTTGTTCCACGTCATGTGCCTCTGCTTTTTTGCCATTTTCCAGAGCTTTGGCTTTTTTGTTTTGCTCCTCCAAAAACCTAAACAATGACAAAGAGATTAAAACAACTGAATGGTGATTTCAGAGCTGACAGTAAAAACAGCAGACAATGTATTTTAAGAAGAGTTCGCATCAGAGCTAAAAAAAATCTGGTTTTCTCGTACAACATAAAATATGTATGAGTGAAGTATTTTATTTCCGTAAAGAAAGACTCAAAAGATTATCCTCAAATGAGATGAAAAAGCCCAATTTGTTTTACTTCACTCCAAAAAAACTTGAAATGCCAGGATTCAGTGACTTTGTAAGCCAAAAACAAGCATGTTCAATCTTTATCCATAGTTTCTAACATTTTTAAGTTCATCTGTCTTTAAAATAAATCTCATGATCACGTTTAGAAAAAGAGTTAACTCTGTCTTACTTTCCAAAGGCAATGGAGATTGCTGTTTTATCTCCATCCAGGTATTCCTCACTGGAGAAGAAGTCAAAACTGGAGAGCATTGGGTTTAAACCTTCATGTAAAAGCTTTTTAGTTGGGGATGAAGTACAGCCCATCTTTGGGGAGGGGGCGCCATTGCAGAAGCTATTACTGATTTTCGGGGAGGGAGTAGACTGCTTGGTCGTTTGGACGTTCTGACCAACAACAACTGCAGCAGAGCTTGTCTGGGGACTTGTTCGTTTTGGACTGCTGTTACAGTCTGTCAGGCCCTGCCAGTTCCCCTCAGTTTTCCCACTGCCTCCACCTCCACTGGTGTCTCCTGCCAATACTCCAATAAGTTCCTCTGGCTCCCCATCTCCCCCTCCTTCCTTTTGGACCTCCTTGGAGACTGAAAGCTCCTCTTGCTTACTCAGCAGCGAGAGTGGCCTACATTTGGGAGAGGAGGAGTGGGAAGAAGAGGATGATTGCTGTGAGTGCCTGGATAATGGTGAGGAAGATCGGTCAGAGCGGTGAGAGTGACCATGAGACGGGCTTCCTGAGCGGTTCTGGACATAGTGAGATCGTCCTCGTGAATGGTTCTGCTGCTGCTGTTGCTGCTGCTGTTGTTGTTGCTGCTGCTGTTTTTGGGGGTACTGCTTATAATTCTTCCAGTTTTGGCGGAAATTATTATTGTTGTAGCCTCCACCCCCGCCACCACCACGCTGGAAGCGTCCACGTGGAAAGAAGCCCCGCCCCCGGCCTCTGAAGTTGTACGGCCTCCGGAAGCCGCGGTGGTAACCCCGGAACTCCCGGTTGTTCTGGTATCCCCTTGGATATTTCTTCTCCCGGTTATTGGACGGTGAATAAGATCTTGATTTTGACCGAGACCTCGATCTGTGGGAAAAGTAAGAGGGGAAGAAGAAAATTCATTTCCAAAAGTTTCTAAAACTCTTGATTGAAGCTTCATTAAAATGTGACACTCTTCATAGTCAGTGATAGTAGCATCCAGATGAAACCAGTTTTATTTGTGATAGTATTGCTCAGTGTGTGACACAAAGAAAGTAAAAACAGACAGTATCTTGACCCACTTTTTTCTCTATGACTAAAAAATTTTTTTATAGACCATGATAGTGCCAGAATGAAAGAAACACAAATGTCTTACTTGTTGAATCTTTGCAGTGATGAAAACTTAAATCTAAATGCTGCAAGATGATAAACCAGCAAAGCAAACTGCCACTTCTACGTTTGTTTCTTTTACTCTAAAAGTCTCCAACAGAATTGGAGAAGCTGTGAGCCCAACATATGGAACATGTTTAAGTAGATGTACATCCCATACCATCCTTTTCCATTTAAGATTGGCATAACACACGCGAGAAAGAGCCAGCAAAGAATTACCACATGCAGAACACCAGAGATTTCACTGTGTGATCCTAAGCCAGGCTGCAAGGTCAGAGTAGCCCACATGGTGGCTCTGCTGCACTTCTGATTCAAAAAAAGAAAAAAAAAAAGCCTCCTCCAGTTGCTCTCTAGCCTGAACTTATAACAAGGTCTTTAGATTATAGCCGTGAAACAGAATGTTCTCTCCTTCAAATCAATGATACAAAGAGCCAAACCTTTCAAGTCTGACAGCATGCCAACACAGCATCTATAGCTTTCTCCTGACATCTATGGGATTGGCAGCACATCCAGTCTAGACATTAAACCACTTCTGTAACAATCTGTATTGTTCTAGCTCTATAACCTGATTTTTAGCGACTTAACATACCTGTAGATAAATATAAAAAACACATAGTAGAGCATACAAAGCCATATTATACAAAAAGTGTATAAATACACTGTAAAGGACAAACAAAGGCCACATGTACAGCCGAACCATATTTAAGATTAACGTAAAACACTGTCACTCTACATGCGAACACAGCGGTGTATAAAGTCTAAAAAAAAAAGTTTCAGGACTCACCTAGTGTGTCTTTTCATTGGAAGACAGAGCGATTAAAGAAGGCAGCGCACCAAGCAGCACTGCACGCTCACAGTACGAGCCACAGATACTACATCTCCTCTGGACAACTCTGCTGAAGCACTGAGTCACATGGACTATATGAGAGGGGAAAAAAAGTACTGGAATCCTTTCCCTCAGTGCATGCCAACTTCATGCGCTGTTCAAACAGTTCAGTAAATCTTCCTAATGAAGACCTATTAGACGTCTTTTTACTGCTGTTCTGGAAGTTCAGACCGAATACTGCAGATAAGAACATTTTATGTAGCCTTAATGTTATACATTTCAGCAAGATAAGTGCCTGCTTCTTTCGTTAAATATACGATATGTGTATGTGGTAAGATGCTGACTCACAGTGCACATCTGTGTCCCATTCAGCCACTGAATTGATAGTGTTGAAAGCAGCAATAATGATAGAAAAAGCTCAAAAGTGGAGCCGTCTCTGTTTTTGATTATCAGATATTTCATCTGATATTTCCCAAGAAAACAGGACAAATTAGTCATTTCTGTGTTTTTTCTGTTTGTACTTGCTGTTTTGTTTCGGGACAACTTAAACAAATGTGTGCACCCATGCTTGCACACTTCCAGGGTATCCATCCACTCATTTGCAAATGTGCAAGGTGTGTTTAGAAAGCAAAAACCATCAGATTCTTTCCACGTCTCTTGTTCATGCAAATTTTTTTAGATGCTGTGACTCTGCCAGGAAATGAGCCACCCTGCCATTTTAAAGCAATGCCACACTCATTCTGCCAGAAACAGCACCCCGGCATCAGAGGGGACTATTACTTCTTTCTTTTTACACATCACAGCTGGTGAATAACTCTACAACCCGGGCAGTTTCTCCTAAACAAAACAACCAACAAATGCTTCCTTTCAGCAGGCTTGAGAAAATATTATTGTGTACTAACAGAGTCAACTCACGGAAATGCTTTCCTGTGCAGAGAAATCTGCAATAACATTCACTCTAACGTCAGTAAAATTCTCTAACCGGCAGCTGAACCCTTTCTCAAACATCAATTTCCTCCTAATACAGAAGCCGACTCTGGAGTTTGGGCCGGACCCAAATCCATTTATACACTGCACCAGAGTACTGAGTAATGTCAAAAAGTTCAAGACAGGACAAGACAAGGCTTTGCAGATAGAAATCACCAGATGTGAAGCAATCAGGCAACAAATCATCACAAAAAAACAAACAACCTGCATATTTCTACAAATCACACTTCACAATCACATTGCATGGTTGATCCCTGACTGTTTACTAAGATTTAGACTAAACGGGAATGTAGCTCGGCAGGAAACAAAAGATCAATCAATGCTGGTGTCTGTGCAGTGAGGCAGCACTTTTCTGGCTGCACCTGCTGCCTGTTATCCTTGTCTTCATGACAGCTGACTTTATTGGGTTACTGCCATTCATTCTTGAAGCATTAGATGGATCAAAGCATTTTTCGTTCATATGTACTGAATAATATTTTTCCACTACAGCTACATAGAAAAGCACTATTTGTAAATCTGATCATACATATAAAACCATTGAGAAATAAGAAATAGTGAGTCGACTGTCAAGGTAGATGTTTATTAAACAAGCTGACTTTACCTGTAATAACGTTTCCTCGACCTAGATCTGGAGCGGCTTCTGGAGTGAGAGGTGGACCTGGATCTTGACCGGGACCTCGAGCGACTCCGAGACCTTGAGGCTGATTTTGTCGATCTGGACATCACTGCAGCCAACCCACCTCACACTGCCACGAGAAAAAAAAAAACATGTAAGTATCTTAAAGATTTATGACTAGAAATGACACACTCGTAACACATAATCAATTAGCCACCTTTCCAATGGACTGGCAGCATAGAAGCTCAGTTTTCTAGTCGAGGATAAAACGGTCGATTATCACCAGAATAAAATGCATTTCTATGAGAGCCAAGAGTCCATGGGATACAGTATCCAACAGAGATGAGCCATCACATTCACTTTAAAAGTAGTCCGAGTGAAAAGACAGAACAGCTGTGAAAAAGGAAGAAAGCAATCTGTAGCAGTGTTGGGCATCCAAACAGAACCAGTTTTATTTAGTCACTGATCATTTGCATAAAGGGCAGTCTTAGGTAGGTCATATGAGTCCTCTACTGTTGAAATGCCACTTTAAAAACCTCACCCTGCGCCGTTTACTAATGCATTTGCTCTGCTGTAGAAGGAGTGCAAACAAATAAAAACTGATGACCTAATTATTGATTCTCCTCACAGAAATTGCTGAATTTCTTGAACTGATTCAACTTAACACTTGAGTTTCTCCAAACACACTTCAATCTATGTCATTTACATGATTTTTTTTCTATAATAGTTCATAGGCATTAAGAAAAAGCTAAAAAAGATAAAAAGTGGCACAAATGACTAAGCTGATAAGTTTGGGGTAGTATTTACCACCATTTCAGATTACCGTTTCATCCAAAATAGTCATTTCAGTGTTTCTTTTCAGAATATATCTCACTGGTCTGACTTTGTCTTTGTTTCCGTCATTTGCCTTGTCATTTGTAACTGAAAGTCCTGGTTACTGTTAAACTAACCTCAAGGTAAGAACTTAAAGTTACTGTCACCCCAGTGGACTGATGTGAGAGGAGCTTATTTATTCCGTGACTACCTGACCGTATCTTATTTGCTTGTGGTTAATGATCTGCTGTGAATCTACTGTCAGGGGGATGCTCGTTTCAACAAATTTAACTTCAAAGAGTGTTTTATTTCTTCTCCGCCACCCGACATCTACTCATGTATACTCCCCATTGTATTATTAATACACTTCTAGCGTAGAAGCGCCAAGCTCCTTCCAAGGTCCCCATGGCTTTATCTATGACATATGATCCCCAGAGTACAGTAAATGCCAGGGATCAAATAATTGAGCTTTCATTATGAGAGTCATCTTCAGGGACTTTGGGAGGAGGATATTGCAGAGTAGCCTGCACATGACCAGGATTTCAAAAGCGGGCCAAACCATCACATGGTGGTCGCAGCGCGCACCCTTTCCACTATCCCAGTGAGCACTGAGGTGGATCGCTCCTCCTCGCGCTCTATGAACTTCCCACTCTCCTCATTCCTGGCAGCTTGTTGTTTTTGGCTTTTGGAGAGTAATTTCCTGAAGGGCCGGCCTAAACGGACCATCTATTTAGCTTACTGTGCACTTTTAAAGAATAGTATTCAGATGTGCCCATTTCCAGCACGTGGTAGCGAAACAGTTAAACAAATAAACGTGAAAATCCTTCTCAATTTGTCTTCATGAAACCTAATCATCTGATGGGAACTTTGAGGAGACTTTCATGAATTACACCCTTTATTAGAAAAGAGGAAATAAATGAGTAAAGCCAGCACAGCTGTGTTTCAGAAATTTTCATACGGCTGTTTATAGTTTCCTAGAAACTGCTGAAAAGGGAGTAACACCCCTTTTCAGCAGTTTCTAAGACTATATGAGAGGGGACAACCATATATCAACTTCTTCATAATGGCAGCTTATTTCACAGACAAGAACCCTAGTTTCGCAAAGGGTTACAGCGAGTATATATACTGTATATGCATGAGAAGTGGATGCCAAGCCCTGCCCCTTTTAATAGAAAAAAAAAACTGGTTGTCAGAATTGGACGGTGGCGGTCTGTTTCAATAGGCTCAATTTGAAAGCTGGGCTGATAATCAGCTGCAGCTGTCCCTACACACTCTGTGTGGGCTGCAGCCTGATCACTGAGATTTCAGCGTCTCAGTAAGCCTGCCCTTTAATCACTCACTACTGGATTTCACGCACAGGAATACAGTCACTGACAAGCACATAAACGCATACACGTGCGTCTTATCGTAGTTGAAAAGGTTTAATGATGTTTTTGAACCCTTTTAACTTCCTTGTTTTGTAGCTGAGCCGGACAAATATGATTTTTTTTAATACCAATACCACAACAGATAATGAGGGCATTGTAATGAATTTTCAACGTAGATTGAAACAACTTCTAATACAGATTTTCTAATGGTCTAATTATGCAAATGAAGCTTTTAAGAGTTGTTTTCAAAGTCCAACTGTGACTGATTGGTTGTTTTGTTTTTTGGGGAGGAGAGATTATGCCCTGGGATAAACAGTTACAACATTTTGAGATTAAACACAAAACCACAAAACTGTTTATTGCTAATTATGACCATACCACACAACAGATAAGGTTACACAACACCAGTATCAACTCTGAGCTCGCCATCAAAACAGGAACAATATGCAAATCTATGCAGGCGGGTCCTCATTCCTGTGGGACAATTGCAAGGAAGAGCTGAAATAAACTGACACAAATGGTGCATGCTGTATTGGTGTCATGTTTACATTGTAGAACAGAATTAAACTGATAATGGCTCTCAAGCTCAGGACCACGCGCACACGCACACATGATTAAGGCTCCCCCTTGGGCGCAGAGCGACAGCTGGATAATCCGCATCAGCTGTTTATTTCGTGTTACGGCAAAAGTAGCTCTGATCAACAATGGAGCTGCAACTTGATACACAGCTCTCAAAGCGTTGGAGAAGAAACACTCCACTCAATCAACTGCCCTATCATTAAGACCAGGATGCCACAGTGGCAGCTGGAATCACATTTGCTATCTATATGTTCCCCAGAGACACCCAGATCGCTATTCCAGAAAAGCCGCAGCAACTGTCATTGGCACAATCTTTGTTTATTCAAATATGGCAGACCCTTTGTGGGTTTCTTTAAGACACTTCACATGCAGGGGCAGTTAATGGATAGCAAAGCCACGGGGCAGAGCTGTTGGAGACGAGATAAGTTGAGTAAACCACGTGAATAGCCTCATTCATTCAGCAGCGTCTGGATGAGTTTAGCTCACTTTTTATTCAAAGAGCTACCGTGACGTTAGCCAGAAAGACAAACGGATGAGCTCATGTAGAGATTCCCCTGTAACACAAGCCTTTGGTAATCGTCAACAATGACAGACAAGAACGCCATTTAGCTTGGCCACGAGATGAATGATAATGAGGTCCCAGTTGCAGCTGAGTTTCTGCTCGCTAATGAAATCTTATATCACTCTGTTCTAATCTGGTACATATGAGGCTCCTTTTGCCTGGAAAATGGCTCACAGTAGAGTGTCACTAAGGCATCCTTGCACCAACATGCTTCCATGATGTCTGTCAACACCGCATCTGCTGCATGAAAGAGGGGACTCATCAGCTGCAGGTCCTCTTTATTTTGGTCAGTTGGTAACAGCCTGATAAATGATGAGTTATACATCCAAAATGAAGTTTCTCCACACCCCTGAGTCTGACACAGTCGCTGTTTACGATGGGAATTATGAGTGACATGTTGCATAAACAAACTAATTTTACTTTTGGTGTAATGACAGTTTAATTACAAAGTAGTATCACCTGCTCTCTACATAATAACCTTTCTACCTTTTAGAGAAAGTTACCTTGAAGGACTGACAAAAGTTTGAACATACTCAAGACGTGACTGTGCTGCATACAAACATGGTAGCTTACTCAGACAGGTGACACACCTTTTTATCATGTGTGTACTCAGATAATACAAGCTGGTATTTGTCAAGGGGGATCGACTCCAACTCAGATCCTGCCAAACAGGACTTGCTGACTTCTTTTTTGGATCACTAAACCCCAGACATGAACCACGAAACCTCGTTTAGATAAGCATTTACAGTAAACTCAATCTTAGGCGACTTTTTCGACTTTATAGGACTCGTAAGGCTGTGGCTGTTTATAGTAGGTGGAGGGATAACTTGGTGAAACCTGCAATCACCCCGGTCATGCTGTCATTGTGCTAACCACTAAAAGCAGCAGTCACACTACTCCTCAAACTAAACAGGACCTTGAACTGAGATGCTCCTTGAACCCTCCAGTGGTGGTCTGAAGATGCAAACGATAAGCCTCATGATCTAAATCTTGATAAACATTAATGTCTCAACCACAAACTCTACATTCATTATCACTACACACTCAGGTAAATAGAAGTAGCTGAATCCATTCTTATTAATATAGTCTAGTTAATAATTTTGAGCTTGCTTGGGAGTCTGTGGAGAGTTATGGGGGCTGCCTGGATGTGGGATGGAGGCAGCATCATCATCCAGTGCATTGTGTTCATCATATAAACAACGAAACAAACAGAAAAATGACCCAAAAAAGGCAGAAAAATACACTTGACATCACACCAGAAGAATAAAAAATGCTCAACTTCTTTGGTTGAATTTCCTGAGAGTGTAAGAGTCCAAAAAAAAGATGTTTTAGTCTGAATTTAGGAGAAAATTAAAGCCTCTTTAGCTTCACAGTGAGAGTTAAAGTGAAATTTCCCTTTAAACGACTCTACTGTGGGATTTCACTCCTTAATTCTGGCACTACAACCTAAAAACCCAAAACGTTAAATTCCGAAAAATGTCAAGAAAGAAACAAACACTGGAAAAAGATTGACGACGTACCTGTCGGCGTCGTCCTCTGATTTCGTCCTCCTGTCACATTCAGGCAGCGAGGTGTAAAAGTGAAAAAAACACCCAGCAGAGACCGGTTCTCCTCTGTCTGTGTCTGTGTCTGTGCTGTTGTGAGAGCCGCTTATGACAACTGCGTGTGTGTGCGTAAAGTAAAGAGTATGTGTGTATGTTGTTTTTGTGTGTGTCGCTCGGCTGGAGTCTGCGGTGTTAAGGCAGAGGGGGCGTGACCGCTCCGCACACGGCTCACAAGTTCCTATTCCCTTCCGGCTTCGCTGCTGCTGCTGTTCACCGCTGTCTGTCTGTCTGAGGACGTCCGTAACATTAACATGGCAGCAGTGAAAGGGAGTGGAGGAGGAGGAGGAGGAGAGGGAATTAGAAAAACAGGCTGAAACAGGGTCAGATAGAGTGACTTCATCATCATGTCCTGGGAGTTTAATGAGAAATCCCTATGGAGACCAAAAAGGGAGCCGAGCTACTAGAGCTACTGTATGTTTGCTGTAGGGCTGGGTGATAGGGGAGAGTGGGAAAGGATGAGCCATTTTTCACATTTCAGATCACTACATCAAAGCAGTCATAGTTTAGTCTCTAACTAGTGTATCCACATATATTTCAAGATGTTGTGCATCCCTGCAAACCAACAGAATGAGTGTAAACATAACTGTCTGAATAATAGCATGACAAAAAAAGTGGTCTCCTATGGTCAACTTACCCCGTGTATGGGGTAAGTTGACCATAGCTGTACCATTTGCTGTATTTTGAAGTGTAATTCTCACCGCTCATTTACTGAACCTGTGGTTAGCTCTTTCTCATATTTGTCGGCTATTTGGATGTACCCCTCACACTTTCTCCCCATGTCTACTGATAGATATGGTCCAGTGCTTGCAGACTGTTACCAAACACTGGGCGGAGGTTTCCATTATCACTTGAGCTGTGTGTGATGTGTGTTAACTATGTGTTAGATAACACCGTTTCTTAAAAAACAGAAGTAAAGCTGACTGGAAAAGGTAACATTTTCTAATACATTGCAGTTGTTTTTATGACTAAGTAGCAGCAGCAAATCCCCTCAACTCCCTGAATATATATGAATTTGAGGACCTTGCGCTGTATTCATTTATGATTTACTGGGTTTCCCCTCTACTTTTACATAAACTTAATTCACATGAACACCTTGAGTCCACTTCTGGACGAAAGTTGCAAGCCCAAACCAAATTTCTTTGAACTTTGTCTTTATTGAGGTGAAATTTTCTGTTGTGAATTCTCAAATCATGGTTGACATTTCTCAAGTTTTGTAAAGTTGAACTCTTCTGTGTGAATATTTGGAGTTGACACAGTGAATTTCAGTGTATCGTATGGAAGCAAGGTCAAAAATCAACACATTATGCCCCCTTTGGCAAACCATTGTAAAGCTGCTGCCCCCTCCCTATGAAATTATGAGAAATAACAACACCGCTGCAACTTGAATGGTACATCATACTTAAAAAGAGAGTTCAGAATTCAGAATGGCTGGCCTTGGGGTTTTGACTTTATGGGGGATCGACTTCGCAAATCATCCGTACTGTAATATTTAGCACATATTCCACCAATTGAATTTATGCTGCTTATGTTGGCTGTAAAGGACTTCAGAGTGACTGTTTCTGTAAAAGTGAGGAATGATGTCTTTCAGTAGGGCTGTGTTCAAGGCTCACATATCATCTGGTTTCCTCGGCTTATTTTTGGTATCAGTATGTTCTCAATTCATGACAGTTGTGAGTCCATGAGGCTGCTGTGTGGGCTTTGTTTTCCTTTCCTCCATAAAAGATCTATTATTGTTATCGTGTCTGCTGTGCACAGTGGCCGACAGAAGCGACTGCTGCAGGGGGAAGATGTCTGAGTCCCACTGGGAGCAAAATTGATAACAGAAACATAATATGCTGGCATGTACATCAACCCTAAAATGGTAAACATCATGTTTGAAACATTTTTATCTATGTTCTTCTCAGACGTAGCTAAACTCTTGTCTAGAAAAACAACATACTTTGGGATTTGCTGCCTTGAAGTGAAGACATCCTGTTGGATTTGGACCCTTTGGTCTCTTTGTAATCTCCATAAATTTTAACCCAGACCAGACAACATTTACAGGGTGATAATTTTCTTAAAAGCTGCAGTAAGACAGAGTTTTGTTCTGGATTTACAGAAGCTGAATTTGAGATTTATGTGGCTTTACAGTCATCTGTGCAACTGATGGTCACCATGGTAGTGAGTGAGTTGGTCTCTCTGTCCTTTTAAGAAACATTATCTAATTCTATTCTTAAGATAATGCTCTGGAAATATAGAGTATGGTACATTTTCTATTTGGTCTTTTAATGCTTCATTTCAGTGCAGATGCTGAGGAGTTATATCTGCTCGCCATACATCTTTCAGTCTTTTCAGACATACTGTATCACAGCTAACCACAATTGTGTATTTGCATTGTAAATAAATGGCTAGAGTTTGTGTGCACAAGTCACTGAAACATCCCGGAAGTCTCTCTGAGATTAATTCAACTATTTACGACCAGGAAGCAGACACAGAGGAATAAATCAGCTCATGTACTCAAATAGTAATTAAAGTAATTACGGGATATAAGGCAGATTAGGCAGTAAGTGGTATGTTTATGTATATTACCCTGCAGAGGATGATTGCCAGGGAAAGGCGGTGTTCAGTTTGAACGGCTATGAAGTTTAGAAAATGAGCCCCCACTTGACAGAAAATTAGACAAATCTAATGTGAGCAAAACCTGATTTGGTTTTGTTTCCAGTCTAGAGTGTCGTCCACTAATTCAAGTCTAAATCACTTCGATCTCCAGTCTGATATTGCATCCACTTCAAGGAATTTTCATTAGAGAAAGGAGATTCATTTTTTCCAAGGCAATGATGAGATTTCTCCAAATGACTCATTTCTCATCACAGAGATTTAAACTCTGACTCGCCGACTTGTCTAAAGGTAGGAAAACACTAAAACAGCCAATACTGAGCAGTTCATTAAAAACAGCTTGACACTAAATCACAGTGTCTGCAGGTCAAATTGCATGGTCGAGTTTTGAAGGCAGAACCAGCACCATCATCCTTGTCCTGGTGAAGCGGTTAGATGCCAGGTGAAGACGCAATCTAAATACAGCCTTATGTCAGTTTTCTACCCTTTCAGTGTGTCAGAGCGAATGACAATCAATTAAGTAGATTATTAATATGGATATTAATGATTTCTTTCTGGTGTCAAAGATGTCAAATTGTTAAGTCAACTAAACACGTAAATCCCTGCCAAAGATCTGCCGGGCCAGAGCAAAGGTTTTAATATTAAGTGATGCAGAAAACATTTACTGTCAAAAACTGGAGTTAGTGTCTCTTTTCCAAGGCCGATGTCACTGTCAATGGTCCCTCCTGGTTCTGACAAGTTTTTAATTTTTGATCAGAAAAGCCTCCATTTCATACCTCAGTGCCAAAACAACCCGATGAACCCGCAGACACACTCAAAGGTCTAAAACCAGCCAAGTTAATAATCAGTTCAACTGGGCGTGAAAAAAACTCCTTAAAATATTTGTTTTTATAACAGGAGACTAAACATTGTATAATGTTTCACTTTTGTGGACAGAGGCACCGTCTGTCCTCAATTGCTCTTCCACAGCTATCAGGGGGATCGGCACAAATGTGTCTCAGTCCCAAGTGGATGAGGTTTAATGAGTTTGGTGATCCCCTGTCAAACTCTAGGACCACTGAGGAGATGAGTAAAGTGGTTTTTAGGAAATGTTACCACCAACTGTCTGGATGAAATCATTAATTCCCACAACTGTACCCCTCAGGAGAGCTGAAGTCATTTTAGATTATTCCTCTGGTTCCATCATCTGATTAAATTTGAGCCTGTTCAACATTTCTTTGGAAGCAGATTTCCACATCAGACTTAGCTGTGGCTTGTATTTACTGCTAATTAGGAAATCTAAGATGGTAAGCACAGTAAACCTTATATCTGCAAACAACATCATCACCGGGCAGTGCCATTCTGAGCATGTTGGCAGAGTAAAACTAACATTTAGCCTGAACCCTCCTGTGTCCGAGTATACACTTACCAACTTCTTGCATGGCTGTGGTCTTTTATTTTATAATGATAATAATGTTCGATTTGAAGAGGTTTTCTTTGACTGTTTATTTGTGAGACATATTTTCTCAATTTGCCAGCTTGTCTTTTTCCATGTCATGATTTCATTTCACCAAACTCCTCTGTGAGCTTTAACCATCCAAATCGAGTGGTTATGATGTCAACTACTTTACAGTTTGATGAAGTGTTATCCCACTACTATAAAAAGGCACATCCTGTCCCAGTTTGCTTTTTGCTTTTCTCCGCTATTTTAAAAAGTTAAGCGGCCTCTGCAGAGTACATTATCTTCAAAGAACATATTTCCACACTCCTAACCTTGACACCGTCTTTGCTGACAATCAGTCCTGCCTTGGCCCTTCTTTGGCACCTTAAGTTTCCCAGCGGCCTTGTTCCATCCATCTCTCTTGGCCTCTGAGCTCTGCATCATATCGCCACTGTCCAGACACCAGGCAGGTTATTTTGAGCAATCCCTTGACACCACTTTCTCCCTCTGTGCTGGGACAAATCCTCTCCACCTGTTAGAGCTGTCCGTCTCCTCTCCGACATCTCTGAACTCGCAGAGCTTTAGCATTACCTCTAATTACTGCAATGAAAATCTCACAAGGGGTGAAGGACTGTGGAAGAACCAAATGTTACAAAGGACTGATGTGATTTCTGAAGATGTTTTGCTTTATTAAAGGCTTTGGTAACACTTTATAATAACCATAATTTATAAATGGTAAATAGATAGTTTATGAATGTTTAATCATCATGTAAAAACAGCATATAGACCAATTATAAATGGCAAATAGGTAGTTTATTAATGTAAGTTAATGGTTACTTTACCATTAACAAGCAATGAAATTATGATTAATAATGTTCATTCATTATGAATGGACTAGTTATTAAAGGTTTATATAGGGTTTAAATATTGGTTGTAAAACGTCTAGATTAAAATGTGTGTCAGTAGCACTTTGTAAATGGTTAATATTTGGTTTTCGGTTCAACAATATTTTTATTGGTTTTACACAGATATACACAGGAGACACATTACAAACCCCCACTTTCCCTTAAAACCCCGTCTACAGCTCAATATTCCTATTACTTTGTTTAAATAACAAATTCTGGAGTACATAAATTAAAAAAATTAAAAAATACAAGTAAGCGCTGGAATTCCGGTTTTATAGATCTTGAAGTACATAAGATGCTGAGAAATAAAAAGTAAAAAGAGAATAAGTTAAATGAACTACTGTGCGTTAAGAGAAATACATATGTAAACAAGTTGCTTAAAACTGAAAAAGTCCATAAAAGAGATAAGAATTTGAATTATATGATTATAAAACATCACAGAAATATATTTCAAAAGGAAAACAACTAGAAGAGGAGAGTGCTGATTTGGTGTTTAAACCATCTATAAACATTACTTAGATGGTTATCGTAAAGTTGCAACTGATGTTTGTATTACTTTGTAAATGATTAAATTGTGGTTTATAAACCACCTATAAACATTACTCATATGATTATTTTAAAGTTAAGGTTAGGGTTAGGTTTTTAAAATTGTAAAATTTGCGATTTATTAATGGTCTATATGCTATTTATAAACGATGATTAAACATTAATAAACTATCTGCCTACCATTTATAAATGGTCTACTTACCATTTAGAAGTTATGGTTATTGTAAAGTGTTACCAAGGCTTTTAAAACTACACTAACAAAAATAACCTCTAAAATATCCATGTTTTGTTGGATAAGGGTTGGTATTTGTAAATCTTTTAAATGTCAGGTGGAGATTTAGGTGAGCAAAGACAGTGCCAGGAAGAAATAACTGCTCGTTAGGACATTCTTCGCCGGTCCTTTTGCATAACCTGACTTTGATCTGGTCCATCTGGTTGCGTTTACCTTTAATAAAGAGCCAAACACAGATTATAAAAGCTGATGCTGTCTGACTCATGGTTTAACCCATCTTGAGGGGCACTTTGGTAATCCTTTCAGGTTTTAATTGTCTCAAAATAATGGTACAATTGTTCTCCAGAAGGAAACTTTTTGTCCTTTTACAAGAGTCATTCTCATATAGCCAAATCAGTCCCACACCACGATGAGAAAACATCATTGCTTGTGAAAACACATGGTTGGTTTCAGTATGACTCAGCAGAGTGAGTCTGTGTCAAAAACTGTGTCAGATCCAAGTTCACAGTTAACTCAGCTTTGAAGGATCTCAAACCCTGGCTCTTCCTCTTTATGCAATCCCCTACAAAGTCTTGATGTTTGGGTTTTTACAGCTTTGCTATGGTCCACTGAAACCCAAAGGTTGTTTTTAAAAGAAGAGGAGATGCCTGCTTTGAATTTGATGTTTTAAGGAAACAATAGACCTGCCTATTATAGTGGATTTGTAAACTAGAATTACTGTTCTAACTACAAATCAGTTTTTGGCAAAAGTACATAAGAGTTAGGAAAAAGCTTCATTATCAGACCTTGATTGGATCCATGCGATATATTTCTATATTTTACACTGCAAGGACTGCTTCTACTAAAGAATTAGTTTGCTGTTTGCTGCTCTAATTAAGTACTCGGAAAGTTCAAGTGCACACAGAGCAGAAACTCACCACACCTTGTGGTTTTCATTTGTAAATGCTGTAGAGAGAAAGCAAATATGAAGCTTACAGAGCATTTCAAAACAAAGTTAAAATCACACCTAAGGAAAGCACAAGTATAATAGTGCTTCTCTCATAACTTAGCAGTTAATAAGCAGCTGGGAGAAACACTGAAATTTATGTCGCCGGCGCTGCCAGTGCAAAGAAGTACGTAATAAGACACAGGCCCTCAGGAGCACAGTGAAAATGTTTTGGTTAAGTACCATAAAATTGTTGCACTGAAACACTCTTACAGCTGTGACAGTCAGTACATTTACATGCACAGTTAAGTGGTCATAGCTCCATGAGCTCCACTGACAAAAGCATGTCTAACTCTGCTTTAGCAGGTGGCTACATGCCCCATCGTCTCAGATCAATACTATAAAACAATCGTGATAACGAGAGGCTGACAGGATGTTCACCGAACAGTGAAACCACAGTCACTTTTACAGGCAAGAACG